TCTACAGTTATATAATTTTCATGTTATAGAAATAAGGACAAATACGATCGTTGGATGTTAGTGAAGGGACAAAAATAAATAAATCAGGCATATATATAGTTGGGATAAGGTGTTAGTTATTTACGATTATCACAAACCGAAAGCGCCTTCCAAGCCGTGATTATTATTATTATTATTTTAACCAAATACTGTATACGTGATTTGGTCGAGGTTACTATTTAGTAATCTGAATTATTATTGGAACATTTTAGGATCAGTCTTCGTGTGTCGTCTGTCACCCAGGGGGAGGGGGTCATGATGGGAGGTTAGTGGGAAGAAGATCAGAAAGGCGGCTGACGGAAGCGGAGTTAGTAGAGGCGTTAAATAAGTCCCAAGGGTATATAAGCCGCCACTGGGCAGTAAATAGCCATATTAGTGCCTGGCTATCAACGGTGACCATCCCGGGATTACTGACGTGCGTTCCGGAAGACTAAAGTCATGTTGAGTTTTGCCAGGAGTGTCGACCATGTTAGGGGACGAGGGTTAGCACTATATGGCCCCTCGTGGTGTGAGATTAGCGATGTAAAGTAGAGCAATTTGTCAAGAGTTGAGGTTGTGGTGATGGCTTGGGGAGGGACGGGTGGGGGAGACAAGTGAGGGAAGAAATTACCTTATTGTAGGGGATGGTGTCTCTCTCTCTCTCTCTCTCTCTCTCTCTCTCTCTCAGGGCACACGTGAGATACAGTAATAGTAACATACTGAGGAGGTTGTTGTTGTGTTTTTAGCTTGTCATGGGTGGGTGTCGGAGTCAGCCCCCTAGGGACCTTATAGTCTCCTCTTCTCTATAGGTTTTGTAATATACGGTACCTCACGCCCCATGTCTCTCTCTCTTTTCGTCATTGTTATTTTCCTTCGTTTTCTTCACTATCTTCGTTTCGTTACTCCTTTCTCTTTTATTATTCTCCTTCGTGTTTTCGTTATCTCTTCTTGTTTATTATTACTCATTGATTTCTTCATTATCTGTTCGTCCCTTTCCTCCTTTAGTGTTTTTCTTAATATTCATCTTACACACACACACACACACACACACACACTTGGTCCCCAGAGGTAGTAAAAAAATATGAATGAGTTGGGTTCCAGCACCACTAAGTTAACTAAGAGACAGACAAGAGGACCTAAACTTACCTACAATGACGAGGGGTAGTTTGAGGGAGAGGGTGCTGCCGTGGGCGGGTGGATACATTACTGGTTGTCCTAATTAGAGGTCACTGGTTCGCGTTCAGGGTATCTTTTATGTGACTAGTTTAAGGAAGATAGTGGGTCTATTGCCGGGTCACATTACCGAGCTTTACTGATCAATAATGCTGGACTCCACACTTGTATTTTGTTGTGTCGAATATAAGGAGGCACACACACACACACACACACACACACACACACACACACACACACACACACAAAAGTCGTCTTAAAACGAGGTAAAGTTTGAAGCTGTACCCCCAGCAATTACCGAGGTCGTCAACGAGTCTTATTAGAGGTTGTTGTCGTGTTGGTGTTGCTGTCGTCAACTGATGAGGAGGGGTGGGGGGTTGTTATTGGGCTCTGATTAGGTGCCTGGTTGATGAGCAAGGTTAATGGTGGGAGGAGATTAGGGAGGGAGGTAGTATACAAGGTCGTGTTTATTGGTGGACATGTTTTCTTGACTCATGAGTACATTGTGTGTGTGTGTGTGTGAGCATGTAGTGTCACCAATTAATGTATAATTTATTTGGTCATAACATTCATTAGTGTCAAAACTCACTTGTCAACACCATGAGTCAATTTGATGCTGTTTAAACCCCAGAATATCCACTTACATGTAAACAAATACACAAACTTTTAAACATATCTAATCAAAATAAGTATGTCATGTCATCAGGACTGTCCTTACTGTTTGCAAATCTCCACCTGTGTAAACAATATTAAACAAAATGGTATCTGATTATAGTTTGATTCGTCAGAGTTGTTTGTTTCCCTTGAATCTAGATATTATTGTAAACAAACAAATTAAAAAAATATTAATCGTCATTCATGAATTTATTTCTTGTTTACCATCTCGCGTAAACACAGGAGAAAGCAAACAATTTATTAATCATCTGTGTACTGCGGTTTAACTAGGCAAAAAATGTCATAGAAGGGATAGTTTGTTTATGAGTTCAGGTGAAACTGTAATAAACTATTTTTGACACACCCTTCACACACACACACACACACCAGCACAACGATAAAAGGCACATCAACAACACGCAGCAAACATCAATAGCTAAGCTGGTGATGTGTTGGCGTGTTTGTGAACCATTGTAGTCAGAAAACACATAAACAACACTACAGTCACACACTCTAACACTCAACAAACTGCTAGGAACCTTCCTTATTTGGTCGTGCATCTTTGGAACGAATTCAACGTACAGTATTGTCAACAACCAGCAGTTTTCATCTTAGCAAACACATAAATACTGTAAATGATTAAATATTTCTTTCGTATTTGCCTTTACAAATAAACAGTAAAGTATTTCACGAGTCACTAATCATAAAAATATTTCCCTTTCTGCCCCCCCCCCCTCTCCCCCTCCCACACACACACACGTGTAAACAGAACAAACATGATCCAGCAAATAGTGTTTCCATGGCGTGTGTGGTGGCGGCCGCCCTCTAATCAGCTGACCGTCGGCATGCACAGGCTAATCTCTTCCACAGATGTGTTTCGCTGAAATCATTCGCGCCTTTTTTTTGTGTGTGTGTGTGTGTGTGTGGGGTTGTGTCATGCATCCACAGTCAACAAAAGCAGGGCGGAGGAGTAGGATGTAAAGAGAAGGAAGAAATGGAATGTGCTAAAAATTTGTAGCCAGCTGATAGTTGCTAATGAATATAGTAACTGTAATGAAACGGAAAAACATCAAATTAGTAGTAGTTATGGTGGTTGTGGTAGTAGTAGTTGCAGTAGTAATGAATTATTTTTCTTCAGAATTTATTATCAGAACATTATTATTATTTTTTTTTTGCCGTAGCCTTAATGAGTCAGTGAGTTAAAATTTCACGTGACCAGTTTAGCGATAACTCCTGGCACCCAAGCGTAAAGTTTTATAATTAGTCAAACATATTAGACAAGTTCACTCACGCGGAAAAACATTGTCGGTCAGTCAAAGTTAGGAAAGACGGACATTAGGCTGACTGACGTAATCAAAACCTCCAAGAATCCGGATCCTGAGTTGATGTTTACAGTGTATTGCAGCAGATTAATTATCTCTAATTATACCCTCAGGCGCTTGATCTTTCACGAGTCGTCTTGTAGCACCACGGAATTTGCACTTCAGTGATAATTAGACTCAAGCTTTTTCCCAGGCCTAAAAGCACATTACTGAGATAAGGGACCAAGTATGTTATCAAGTGGCCAAAAATATGATGCTAACAAAACCAAAACAGAAAAGCTCGAAAATCACAAAATAACGCCAAGACAAGCAGAAAAATCACGCATACAAACATGTCGACAAAAATGCATATGCAGACAAAATTTTTTTTTGGTTGGTCAGACAAATATGCAAACGGACAGATCCAAACCAATCCAAGAGACAGACAAACATGCAGCCAGAGGGAATGCGGCGCCAGAGAGCAGTGGTGCAACAATAACAAAACAGGGAGAGCGTTGGTCCTAACAGTGACGGCGTTGATCTCCCCACACCATAAACCCGACTCACATTAACGAGCTCGTGATGCCGCTCTCCCGACACACACACACACACACACGTACGTACATACTCTTCTCCTTGCACAATATACAACAAAACGTCGAATATGTCATAAAAGACGAAGGACGGGAAAGAGAAACTGGCGGGGCGGGAGAAATGGCGGGAAATGGAATTTTTGGCACGTGGGAAAATTGTTGGGAAGCGTGAGCGGGTTGCGTGCACGAGCGATGCTTTTAAAAATCCTCAGCAGCGATGATTTGAATAACAAATTGGGCAAGTTTCTGCCTGGCGAGGTTGTGTGCGTCATGACCTGCTCCCAGATAAAGGAAAACTAGTCGCATCTTCACTATCTCTGACATGGTTTGTGCTTTAGCCGCTTTGATATTAAGATAGCCGACTTAATATGTGGTGTGTAAACAAGAATTTTGGAATGTTTTGCGTAACTTGATGTGAACGTAAACAAGATTATTGCGTTTGTAGTTGATTTTAAGAGTTTATTCGTGTACAGATATAAATTGCATATTACTACAGATAGCAGTTCTACCAGATTAGTTTGTCAATAATTTTAAGTTTATTTTTCATCTAAAAATAATTCATCACATTCATCTCTTTCGTAGTGTAATATATGATTTATTTAACGATTGAAATAACTCTCTGTCTCTCTTTAAGATGAAATAAGACTGAAGAGAAGGGAAACCAAGAAAAAAGAAAGTATAATATTATTCACAATTCTTTGCTTGCCTTTATGTAAAAATGTCATGTGTGTGCCGCATATGTGAAGAATAATAATGGTGTATATTCATAACTTGTGTTTGTATGTGTGTATTGTTGCGGTCCACTAATTCGTTCTATGTTCATTTGGTAATAATATTTTAAATTGTTTGAGAGTTGGGTTGTTCAAGACGAAGGTTCGGTGACGGGATTCGGGAGCTCACTGTTTCATTGTAAAGGGAACAAGGAGTAAACAAGTAAGTCGAGCATTATGAGTCGAGTCCGCGGGCTTTTGACAGTTGAGGAAATGTTTGTAATTTGGTGCAGTATGTTTAGTAAAGTGAATCCTACGGAAACTCGGTAATATTATATTTTGTTTTTACTATATCCTAGATTGTTGACTTTAATATATTATAATTTTGATATGTCGTTGACCTTCCTCTTCCAGTGTTTCAAAGGTTGGTATCATGATTCCTCTCGTGTGTGTATGACTAATCCTGCCGTCTCCAAACACGATATCGGTATTATATTTCTCGCCCGGGTATATACGTGTGTGTTTTGTATTATAAGGCCTTTGTGTATGTGTATTAATACCCTGTTTGTTGTGTCTCTTACAGCGGTGGCAGCGGCGATGGTTTGTGCTGTACGACGATGGAGAGCTAACCTACTCCGTCGACGATCACGTAAGTACAGTACGACTTGTTTACGTCGTTTTATAAGTTGAGCTTAGAGTCGGCGGAATATTGGAACTTTCGTGCGATACACCGACCCTCGCTGACCTCTCAATACAAAAATGCAGACAGCATTCAAGGGTTTACCATTATTTCCCACCTCGCTTCTGTTCACTATTATCGAAAGTTTTTTTTCCCTTTGATCCATAATTGATACGAACAGATTCTCTCTTCATCATCAGATGTTATCACTGCCGTTTATTAACCCCAACACTTGACCCACACACCTCCTCTGAACTCACACTTGTTCTTTACCTAAGTCAGTCTGAACCACGATTTTCTCGGTAATGACGTCCACACACTATCCCGGACAAATTTAACAAACATACCTCGTATTCCTTTGTGATAATTGCTTTAGTTCTTGCTTATCATACTTTACACAGGGGGACTGACTGTACAATCTCTCTCTCTCTCTCTCACAAACCTTGGGTAGTTGTCTCTCTCAGTTTGATGCTAACCTTCAAACTCCTGTCGTCCATTATATAACTTATACACCTCTTCCTCTCGATAACATTTCAACGGTGATTCTATCGTTTACCCCCCCCCACCCCCCTTCATTGCCTCTGTAGCTGAGTAAGGTTGATAACTCCCTCACCTCTATATCAACATGGAGGACCAGGCCGTCACCAACACCTTACTGAGATGATTATTAATGAGTTATTGATCTAGTAGTCACTCTTATGGTATACCTCAGGGTGCGTGTGCTACCAAGTTGGGCGGGAAAAAAGGTAGGCGTGAAGACGGAATGTGTGATTTGGGGTGGGTGCAAGTTGAGTGGATGGTGCAGGTCACTAGTCAGGTGGATGGGACGTGGGTGGGTTGTTGGTTGGAGTACCGTATATGTGTTCTAGGTGGGTGGAGTGCATGTGGTCAAAGTGGGCGGGAGGAGTGTGTGAGGGTGGGATGAGTTGGGCGGGAGGAGTGTGTGTGTGGTCGGGGGCGGGCGGGATGGCAGGTACTCAAGCGGCCGCCTCACCCCACCATTACTACGTGACCCGAGAGCCAACTCCTGCACGGTGCTCCTCCACACCCCCTGAGTCTTCCCCGTCTTACCTTTGGAGTTTTCCCATGACTAAGAGTAAGACGACGCATTTAAGTACAGTTCAGTTTCGACGACATTTTAGCCTCGCTGTATTTGCACCGTGTCTCAATTGCGCCATTTACATGCATTCTTGCATACCTTGTTACGGAGAAAACTTATTCTATGAAGCTTTTAGAATCCGGGTTCAGTTGTTGATACCGTTGCAACCCTTAATATGGGCTGATATATTCACATGTACTAGTAATTACATATTTGTATACAGTGTACAGCAGCGTAACAAGCTATTGCCTCACTGGTTGATGATTACACATGGCGCCACCTGATAGATTTATGAAAACTTTTGACTAGGCATTGGCAAGAGAACCCGGGTGTTGTGGGAAATATCTACAGTTTTACTATACTGCGCATACGGGGAACCCGCAAAAACATCCGCTCTCACAGCCTGTGAAACAGATACCCAGATTGTAGAATATCCAACTCTTTCTTCAAAACATCGGATTACAAATAACGGTTGGTAGGTGATTTTAGTTATTTCTGGTTGATTATAAGTAATGTAGCTTAAAATAAGGATATTGCGAGCTGTCACTTGAATTTTCCATTGGCCGACGGAAGACCCCTCCTCACACCAATAGAAGTCTCACTATAAATATTATCTGTGTGAAAACCACACACACGGGCATAATTATCCCTCTACTGATAGATCAGTATTCCCAAGACCAATTCACGGGATATGCTCAGGTCAAGATATTAAAGAACAATAACTTTATTGAAACTATATCTGAAACCACATGTGTAGATAGATAATTTGTGGTGACTTATTTTATTTAAATTGTGCGAAGTATGTGTGTGTGACGTAGCGGTAGATATTTTGCACAACACCGGGAGTTACTGATATTACTACTGTATGCAACTCAAACAGTGCAGATTTTAAAGTACAGATGGCGCTGGTGCTGTCATCATCCTCGCTGACCCTGGCCCTATTGTGCTAATACAAACACTTCCAAGCCCTGGAGCTGGTTTATAGCCTCAGTGCTTTCTTACTTCAAATACATTATACTCTTGTGAGTCAAATTCTGCCTTTCTCCACACTACTACATTTCTGCTGCATCATTGTTTGCTGTTGCAGGTGTGATATCTACACTATTGCTTTAGATATCACAGTCCTACATTTTCTCCTAGATTGAAAACGTTTTACTGTTAATGCAAAACTTTTGTATTTTAGAGAAACTGCTCTTCAGCAAAACACAAGCAAGAAATGCCATGTTGAAGTACTGTTAGCAAGCACTACATAGCAACACCACTTGGGTAGTGGACAATAGTGGTTCAATTTAAACAAAAAGGTAGTTTGAGAAATATGGCCAGCATGAATATGTAACAATATTGCTCAGAATACTAATTCCTCGCAGGCGTTATAAGTTTAGATTTTTATGATTAAAATTACATACATACCCAAAGCCATGTATTGTAACGCAGGTGCAAATACTGTACACCGGAGAAGGACTTGGGGCTGAGCTGTTGTCAGAGGGGGTGGGTGAAGTCGCCAGAAGCTCCAGGAGTGAGGCCAAATTACTAACTGAAAGATAGCATTATATACATTTAGGTGGTAATAACCAGGTGGGCGGGAGGGGAAAGGAGGTTCTTGGTATTGAGGCACGGTGGCGGGATTTAGGGCACCCAGGAAGCTCCCTCTACACTCGCCCCTTTATTCTTGTATTGACACTTAGGAATACACATACAAATTCCTACATACACAAGAAACTTACATTAGTATACATTCATGCAGTGGGATCATACAATTATATAGATAAGATATATTTAGATGCATACTCAATTACACATGGTTGACATCTATACATATATCTTATATGTATACACACACATGCAAAGGGACATTATATATTGTACAAGGAAAGAGACTCCCTAGATACATTATTCATATGCAATACATAAATGCACACTAGAACTTCAGGAGCACACATATACATACATGCATAAAGTGGGGCGTCAGTTCAACAAGGAGTGCACCTGCATACATGTGGCTTGCAGGTGGCGGGGAAGCAGATCTTGTGACATAATACCACCAGCACCACGGATCTAACTGTCTGGGCTGGCTACATTAGGGATGATCCTTCCCCGCCCGCCATCTCTTCCTGTTGTGTCAGTATGCGTGAGTGACTGTTTATCTTCGCGTATAATAGACCTCCCCCTCCCTCCTATTTCTCAATATTTGTATTCAGTATCTTCAATGTACTGTCTATACATCTTTTATCATACTGTTATACATCTTGTATATTTCCATTTCCTCGTTTATGCCTCCATTTCCACCTCTTCCTCGTGTCCCCCTAGTCAGCCTGTGGTGTGTTGGGGTCACTAGGCGGATTGGTGAAGTACTGTACACAGGCTGGTCATACGTTCACTTTTAACAAGATGAAAACCCAGAGTAACCTCTGTTGAAGCCCTTCAAGTTAACACACACACACACACTCACTGGTTACAACGAGACCAGTGATCCCTAAGCTTTGATCTCTCTCTGAGTTCATGCCAAGTGACTCACAGACGCTCATAATGAAGCCAAGTGACTCATAATTGTCTAAAATGACACCAGGTGCTTATAATTAGCCAGGTGAGGGGAGAAGTGACTACACAGACGGCTACAATGTGTGTATAAAGTGGTCTTACTTATCAGCAATATCCTTCACTTTGAACTGAAATTCTAACTCTTTGTTTATGTTGACATTTTACTTGGAGGTGCTGTGATATAGGAAGTTCCAGTATTGACGAGTTGGTTATAAATTTATTTTATTTATTTATTCATGCTAAAACCTATTACCATTGTTTCAAGTTTTGTGTTGTGTTGCAGCCCGCCACGATCCCCCAGGGCGTTATCGACATGAACCGGGTGCTGGAGGTGTCGCAGGCAGAGGATGTGACGGGTAATCAGTTCAGCCTCGCTATCACCGCCCCAGACAGAGTGACTTTTATTAAGGGCACCTGCAGAGAGGAGTCACGCTGGTGGATGGATGTTCTCTCTGTATTCCCCCGGACCCACAAGGTTAGCACTGACTGTTGTTTGTGTTGGCGTGCTGTTGTTTCTGGCATTAGAAGAATTAAAAAAATATCCTGTTAATACTTATTATTACTGTACGTTTTGAAACTATGGTCCAGTACGCTGTACAGTATTGCTCTTAACCATCTTACAAGTTTAGAATAATAAAAATAAAGCATCTTTGTTAGACTGTGGCCAATAATGTACTTGAATACAGTATATTGGACACCAGTACCCCTGTAGCTAATTAATTACTGTAACCATATTCTCTTCATTCTAGCAACAAGGTCGTCACAAACGAAATGCAACCTTCCCGGGGATCAAGTCAACGACAGTGTTGAAGCAGAGTATGGTGCTGCAGTCTCCATCAGCAACACTTGGTGAGTCACTCGTGGTTTAACGCCTGATTTACTTTGTGAAATGTCACCGTATGTGAAATAAGTAGCTTCTGTAACCCTTGTGGATATTTGAACTTTCATGTGTCCAGTGACCAGCATCCAGAGTTTGGATCATGAAGTGTATTTTTTGTGTGTCACATTATTGCTTGATCTGATTTTAGATTGTCAAGTCTTTTCCCTCTCTATAATACTGTACTGCCATTATGGAAGAATATTTTATTTATTTTTTGCTTAGTTTCATTGGTTTTATAATGCAGTGCTGCAATTTCTTTATAACTGGGCTTTGTTTTGTGCATTAATTTGCTTGAATTTATGCTAGGTTTTGCTTAATTTCTATTGTTATGATGTTTTTTATTTGCAAATATTTAATTGCTAGCTTTTTAGATTGTCAAGTAAGTTCCTCTATGAATGAAGGTTTTGTTATGGAAAGTATATGTAGTCTTATGCTGTGATGTCAGACTTGCATTTTTGGGTTTATTTGCTTGTGACCTTCCCTTCACTTCACCTGGTGAACCCAGCACCCACGACATTCGAGACACCGATTGGGCAACGGGTGCGATTTCACAGCTGCACCACTGACCCTCTGGGAGGGCGACCCCCTTCAGCCCCTGCCATGGACATTGATGAAGATGTTTTCCCCACCAAGGACTCCTCAGTCACCAACACATCCATCCCCCATCCCTCATCCAGTCAAACACATGCTCCCTTGTACCACTCGACCCCTCTCTCCTCCCTTCCTCCATCAACCAGGATACTGAGGGATGAACATAAAGAAAACACACCACCCTATACCGAAGGTAGGGCACTGCCCGAGTGTGGCAGACAGTGTGGTGTATAATTGGTGTTTTCTGGTAATTATTTTTTGTCATTGCTCATTTAAACTTGAATTACTGTATTTGGCATGTTATAGTTTTTGTAATTACAACATGTCGGGTGCAGCCACCAGTGTGACAGGTCCAACACATATCAAACCCAATTTTTGGGGGGTAAAGATGAAAACTATAAAAAGGAAAATATATTTCTCACAAAGGGTTCAGGAAGTCACGTATGAGAATGTGTGCTTGGTGGTCACACCCTTCTTATAGTCTGGTAGTATTGCTGTAACATCCCAAACTAACTGGCCTATAGTACTTATATGAGTTTGGAGAATTGATACAGCACATTAAATGGGTTCTTTATTTCTGTTGACAGAATATTTATTTTGAATACATTCATGTGTTTGAAGAACTATATTATCTAAGAAATCGAGGTATTAAAGTCATAGTAAATTGCCTAAAAATCAATTCAATTTAATCAATCCAATCTACAGTACTTGCATAATCAAGTTGTACAGTAGTTACAGCTGTTACTTTAGAAGAAATAAATTCACTTAAGAGTATGACCCACATCTCTTTAAGGGTTGCAACTTAACTTGCTTTTCAAATTTGCCAAAGATATTACTGTAGGGTTAATACAGTACAGTACTCTCAGATATGTTTGACAAATAAAAATTGGTGGCTACATCTTAGTGTCATTTGAACCATAATTAATATGAGGAAGAAATAATATTTTGATAAGTAGACCAAGTAAGAATAGGGAAGTAAGTTTCATCACTAATTACATTATAGTACAACACATGGAGCACGAAAGTCGAGTGGATACAGCACTCGCCTCCCATTCTGGGGGTCGGTGGTTCGATCCCCGGGTGCTCCCAGTTGTAAATAGGTACCTAAGTTTACAACTTGGGGAAGTGAATGCTGTTGAGTGCAGAACTGGCCATGCTACCTCCTTGTGTACTGAAGGCATAGTATACAGTGTGCTGTATCTACACTGTCCCTTACAGGTAGTCATGCCTATGGAACTCACTTTCACATAACACTAATGTTCATCTCTACTATTTCAGATTACACAGATAATCCACCCACTTCAGAGTCGCCCCCAACACAGGATAAGTTGAGTCACAAGTTCCGTACTCGCCGGGCAATCAAACGTGAAGCTCGAGGCCTCACACAACCTAGGAGTAAGTCGGAGATGTCGGCCCTCTTCCCAGCTAACCCACCATCTTCAATGTCTGCTCTGAGTCGTGGGTCTTCCTCAACCACTGGAAACACCACCACTTCCCCATACTCCTCCGGGAGCACCACCACCTCTTTTACTGGAAATGCTACCTCCTCCCCTTACTCTTCCACTGGGAACATCACCGCTTCTCCTTACTCCTCCTCTGGTTGCACCACTACCACCACCTCTTCTTACTCCACTCCAGAGGGTTCTCGTTCCATTCTGTCCCCCACTCCACCTGCTGTGGTTGACCCACTAACTTCTCTAGAAGGACGTGGTATTCGTCGTGCAACCATTGCTGTAACCTCTTCTCTTTCCTCTTTATCATCCTTGAATTCTTCTTCCTCTTCTAATTCTTCTACTGGGATGAACTCCCTATCATCCTCTGTTGGTGGTTTTGAGAGTGGTGGTGGTGACAGTGGCGGTGGGCCATCATCACTCCGGAGCCTTGATTCAGGCGTGCATGTTCCTACTAGACCCCATCCCCGCACGGCGCCAGACAAGCCAGGTGCGTGTGGACTACTAACACGCATAACTTCCTCACATTGTCAGAAACTTTTAAGAAGTTTTTCCAATTATGAACTTTAGCTCTGCATTTATGGACTTTTTTAAATTAAGGGTTTTGCATATTTTTTAAAAATCAATCTTCTCTATTTCTCAATATACCCCTTATTTACCACTGGACAAAAGTGAAACTCATGGCAAAATTTCATACATACAGGCCTATATTTTTTCCAGTTGCAGACTCCAAACTTTTTAAATAACAAATTGGTTATTCTTGAGTTAAATTCTTATCAGGGGACAAACGGATTATGTCACAAGCCATCCAAAATTAATTATCAATCCCCAAATAACATTCTTTGCTTTAGGACAATAATACAGCAACAAATACATACAAAACATAAAATTCTAAAAGATGAAAGGAGAGAGAGAGAAAGTTGTTTACTTTACTCATTGATGCAAGCTGTCTTTTTGCACCCTTGAGGGCAGGTGCTGATCAGCAAAAGGCCTGAGGGCTTTAGCTGAAGTCCTCCTCTTCTCTTGACTTCAGCCTTGGTCATACGCTGATAAAATATGAAGATCACAACACAGTCACAAGAGTGGATGTTACCAAGATCTTAGCTTAGTTTAATAATGGATGCTTTGTACAACACAATAAGCCCCCCCCCCAATAGGTTGTAGACAAAATAGAAAGGCCACTGTACCTAGCATGCCTGAAGATCATCTGGATCTTTGCTAAGAAAGCTGAATGTAATATAGGTTGCATTGTGTGCTGTTTTGCATGTTCATATGGGTATGTATTTTAATAGTAAAAAACTTTTCACTTTTTAGGGGTTTTTGCCCTCCTCCACCTCCACACACATTCAACCCCAATCTTATATAGGTACAGTACTCACCACCAGGGGCCCCTGCCTGTTGCACCCCACAAAGCAACTCACTTGACCCTCTACCCAGTTTCAAAATTTTTATGTATTTGGTGTTCTCAGGCTTTATATACAGTAAGACATTATTAATTTAATTCCATTCTTCACTTGTCCCTTGCCTGACCATGAACAAGACTTTAGGGAATTTCTTAAAGTACAGAATTAGTTGGGATTTATTTTTTTTTGCGTGTGAAATTAAAATAATGGACACGAGGAATATTGAATTAAAGATCCTGCAGATGCACTTTTAATTATGGATAGGTGAGGAATTTTGTGCTATTACTAACTGTATTATTGCATTTCTTATATATTAGAATGTTTTTATTGTGTATATAACATGTAGTGTTATGAATTGCAAGTTACCATAGTCTGTGTTTGTCTTTATATTCTGTGTATATATATTTTTTACTGTAACCTCCTTTGCATGATGTCTTCATATATGTTATTAGTGTCACGCATAAGTGGATATATAATGTATCCGGAAACTGACCTTCACATAGTGTTAAGTGAGTTCAACTAACCTGTGCTAACCTAAACATTTTATAGTGGAAATGAAGTATTGAAGGTACAGTATATGATTTGACACAACTTGAAGTTAAATGTGACTGATATATTTGTCAGTGAATAATATAAAATTTCCTTAGCTACTGGAGGTATTAGGATGATTATATATGAGTATATATATATATATATATATATATATATATATATATATATATATATATATATATATATATATATATATATATATATATATATATATATATATATATATATATATATATATATATATATTATACATATATTATACAATACTTTATAATCACATTAACTTGGTCTTTAGTGATATATTATTTTATGTAAGACTGGGACAGTAAGGATCATTGAGAATTTGAGTGTTTATCAGATTATGTTGGTCTTTATGGAAATTCTGCTTTGGGTAACATAGTTTTCCCATTGTTTTGAAGACTTGATTGCAGTTTGTATCATGAAAATTGGCTTGTTTGTGAAGATGTTTGAGTAAGACTTGTGCATCAGATCTGAGGGGTTGATGACAGGAACTTTTAATGTAGTACAACTCAATTACTACCAGGGTAAAGTGTTAAGACCCTTGACTAAAATCATATGTCATATCTGGGAAGTATAGAATATGAATAGTCAGTGTAGTTATTCTGTTCCATGGAAGTTATTGTGTGTATAAATCATTAGGTGGAGGTAAATGGTGTGTGTTACCAGTCAGAGCAACGTGTTTATTGCCAGTTATTTATTAATTCCACGTAGCAGGTGACGTGACGAGACGACAGCTCATTACTGACTTAGAGGAAACCAAACGAGAGGAGAAATTAAAGGATATTGCCGACTCTATCACACGACCCCGAGGAAGTTCTTCACTCGCCTACCTCAACACCAAGGTCAGTAAACAAAGTGAAGAGTAAGTTGAACACAGATTTGTACAGTACATACATACATTAAGTCTAAAAAAAGATATACAGATGTGAACAGCGTTTAAAATATTTCATCAAAAAATAAATGAATGATAAATCAGGGAAGAAAGACTTTAAGGTAATAGAAATTAACAATTAAGAAAAAGAAACATGATATTTTTTCTTCTCTGCAGCCAGGAATAGGGGATGTAAAGCCTACGCGAGAACGTGATGCTCAGGACGAGACAGAAGGTTCACCAGATCTGACGAAGACTTCATCCCAGGATAAGACCGATTCATCTCATCCAGACCATGTAAGATCACCGGTAGTTGTTTGTTGTTTGTTTGTGTGCTAAAAGACGATGCATTTAAAAAGAATTGTAGTATAGAATAAATTAACCTGTTTGGCTTTAGTTGAACAATGGCTTGATAAGATTCTTATAGTAATAACTGCATATTTGTTGTTCAGTGTGTTGCTGTAGACAGAGGGACAGAGAGAGGTACAGGTTCTTGTTCTAGGAAGAGATAAGGGAAAATAGGAATAGGTTTGTATGGGTAAACTACCACTAAATGAATTATTAAGATCTTGGGTGTATATCAAAAGATAATACCGGAGAAATGCTATTGGAGATCATGTGCATTTGCAGTTATTGTGTGTGGGGGCAGAATGATGAATGGGAGGTCGTTCTTACTGTTTACTCATTGACATTGTACAGTAATGTGCAATGGCAATAGATGACGTTAGATACAGTAGTCTAGGTAATATGGACTTCATTATTCACTTAATCATATTGAACAAATGTTTGGGAGAATTGGGTAGTGTTTGGTTTTTGTGTGAAACATTTTGCAGTGGATTCAAAGATTACCAAATACAGTATACAGTTACTTGTAAGATAGGTATTGAAGAATATAAATTTTTTTTAATATTTGTTCTTTGATGGGGTTCATATTAATTCTTATACTATGTGAAACACTTGTCTTCTTTAGATTTTGAAATTGAAAAAAGTAAAGTTTCTATTTTACATTTTTCAGGTGAGGGGAGATCCAGATGGGTGTGGGTTAGAGGTCTCCCCACCCTACACAGTCAACCCAGATCTCCAGCGAGTGGATCTCCCAGCTGAGGACCTCCTTTACATCAAGAAGGGTTGGCTCATGAAGCAGTCTCTTAACCAGGTAAACTAAACTCTTAACCCTCTATAGCCAAAGCATAATTACATCTCTTATTAATAGTCTTTTTTATAAGGATTATAATGACATATGTATTTTAATTAATAAAGAATAATACTCTGGAAAAAAAATACTGATTATCAAATTAGTATAATTCCTGTGACTTGAATTACTCACTGCATGTTACAGTGTAGTGTTGAACTGGTACAGTGTGTAGTGCCCAGGTGCTATCATGTGCTGCGCCGGGCTGTTACAGTATGTACTAACTAGACAGTTTCATTGGGGGTTGTGTTATAAAGATAAAGAGTTTGATTTTATAGTGTGTCAGGCTTTTACAGTGTAGGGCTGATGTGTCACTGTGTTTACCAGACGGGTCTTGTCATATGTGGTACTTTATTGTTCCGAGTAGATCATTCTGCAGTATGGTTAAGGCTCCCTGATAGCATCTGTTTGACCTAAGGAAGACAGTTGATGTGTATCTATGTGTTGGATTGTATTTTGTAGATGCTGGGCTTTACTTACTATATATAGGTGGATATCTTGGAGTCTGATAAAAAAATTAACAGTTCTCATCCACCTAAATTCACAGATACTTGTTTAAATAATAACGGATATTAATGATTTGACTTTCTCACACGACTGTTTTGGTTACCATGATCTTGTATTATTCTTAGTAATATCTCTCAGCAGCTTCAGTGTGCACATAGACTGATATTTTTTGTGTGATACAAGTTGAGTTTTGTTTTGTGTTTAGCTTGGTTAAAAAAATTTTTTGTTTTTTGTGGTAATGTCTTTGGGATTGTCATTTCCAACAATATTTGTTTAGAATTTTAGAGTTTAAATTTTCAAGGTGGCATTCCTCACTGACTGAAGTATACACAGCTTCATTATAGAACACAGACAAGGAAATGCCTAATTCAACGTCCATATCCCATCAATCCTGATTTTGGTATGAATTGCAAAGCATTTTTAAGACTTTCTTAACCTTCCATTTCAAACATTCCAAATTTTGATTACAAGCATACCCCACACTTTGTAGATCTTGTTTTGTGGGCACCTGTGAGTTATTTATAATATTTTGTAATTTTGAATTGAAAGGAAAACAAGGTGAGTGGAAGATATTTTTTTCTTGGGGACACTTCTCCCTTTATATAATGAAAGTCACGTGGATTAGTTTGAGATGATTGGACTAATTTGATACATTATCCAGGATCACGTGTGTTAGATTGCAAAGGGGATAATTTGATACAATATAGTATCATCTCTTCATTATTCTTTTGGAAGTTTTGTAATATAAATGTTAGGGCGAGAAACTTGATGAAAGGTAAGAAACAAAAGCCTGTGCTATACATTGGAGTGGTACAAAGGCAAATATTGAGAGTCAGTTCACAACAACATAAATATGAATTAGTTGGAAAGACACTGACTTGCTTTATGTTATCAGGACTGGAACAAGTATTGGTTTGTGCTCCGAGGGACAGGGCTGATGTTCTACCGTGATCCCAGTGCTGAGGACAATGGAATTCTGGATGGTATCATTGATCTCAGTGTTGCCAAGTCAATAGAAGAGTGTGAAGTTGCTAGAAATTATGGTTTCATGATTATGGTGAGTAGAGAACCTCAGTACTGTAGTCACAAAAGGTAGATACTGGTAGATGTAAATATATTAATATTAAATATAATTTACCGGTACAAAGTTTTTGTCTCAGAGTCTGATTTTTTAAGTGTAGTTTCTCATATAATCCACTTTAATTACTGATATTTAAAGAAAAATTAATTACCCCGGTAAATTTTACGGTTAAGGCAGTTTTTAATGGATCATTTATTCATCATCCTTTTCTCTCTTGTGTCCAACAGACATGGGAAGAGAAGAAATATGTCTTCTCTGCTGTAACATCAGGCATCCGGGGCAATTGGGTACAAGCTTTAAGAAATGCAGCAAATCTAAAGGAATCCAAAGACCGACCATTGACCCTCGGAGAGCAGATTGAAAGAGAGATTGTTGCTAAAAGGGAAAGACATAATTCACAAAGGTAAGCAATTCTTGGTGCAGGAAACTGTGACTGTATTGAAAGAAAATATACAGGTTATTTTACCACTAACAAAATACAATCAATGGTACGTAAAGGAACTAGAATTAGTTTAGATCATTTTTGTTTCAGTAATTTAAAATGACAGTTTTAGCTGCTTGAGAAACCTGTATGAATCCGGTTCTTGGTTGACTAGCTGAGAGAACTTTTTGAACAGCTCACACTGACACAGCTTATGACCAGTTCTTGATCATAATAATTGTACAAGATTTAGGATAATCAACATTTACAGTACTGTATTTACATCTCATAATGGGTAAAAAAAAAATTTCATGTGAATTGTTTATATGTAAGTGATGATTTATGAGTAGTAAGCCTGATAAATTACGAGTAATAAAGCTCGTTTTGTATATATTCTTTTTTTTTTCACTTGCAAACTCTTTCTCACCAGGACACAGGGTACTTGTAGCTCGAGTCAAGAGCAGTGCAAACTGTCCCTCATTTGTTTATTTACCTGCTTTATCAGATGTGTTCTACTGTGGTGTTCCCCATCCACATCAAGGCTCTTATAAGTAGCCATATTTTTTACTCCTACTGTTTCATATACAAATAAAAATTTGATGTCTTAAACTCATAGTTGATGATTGTTCTATCTCATAGTTACATGAAATTCTCTTTACATTGCATAAAAATTTATGTAATTGATATTCCATTTCAGTTCCAATTTTGAAAGTACGTGTATGGCAGCTGAGCGTGACCAGGGTAGTGATGTGCACAATGAGTCCATCTCATCAGCCAACAGTCGCTACGTCTTTTCATCTGATGATGAATATCGAACCGCCTCGGAAACTTCTGCCAGCAGCCGCATCCAAAGTAATGATGATTACTTTGAGTGGGGTGAGAAGGAGGGAAAACATACCAAAAAACTTCTCAAAGAAAAAAAAGTCTCCCAAAACCCTGGTAGTTTACCCACCACTGCCAGCTGTGCCTCCTACGACAATCTCGCTCTTAACACCAGCCAGAGTCTCCCCAGCTCCCCACCCCTGGCTCGTACTCCTATCTCCAGGGTGAAAGGTGCATGTTTCCCCTGTTTCGCCTTTTACTTTTCATTTACCTGTACTTTATTGCAAGCTTTATTAACTTGTATTTTTTTTTATTACTTTGTGCTTAGTTGAAGTTTCTGCTATTACAGTTTTTGATGTGTACTCACCTGTTTATCCATTTGCTCACCAGTACAACCTTACATCACTTTTCTCCCACCCTCCATAGTTAACAGCATTATGCAAAAAGTATCAAGTGTGTAACAGTGATATGTTATACGATTCTTTGTGTACATCCTTTGGGCACTTGAAACAATATTTCTAGTTTTTGGAATGTCATATTGCAGTCAGCAGGAGCACGTATGTTTTACAAGCAAAATTTGAATTTGTGGAGGGGGGAGGATAAGTTTCTCTTGTATACAGCAAAACAAATTGAAATATGCCCTGAAAGGCACTCGTCATAACTTTGTTCAACACAGTCTCTTTTCACCGGGTTTGGTGTGTAGGTTCTGTCTAAGTGTCTTCTTCAGTTTGACTTTTAAATGTTTGTATTGGGATTTAAATGTTTTCTGTATGCAGTAGCACACATACTATATGCATTTACATTTATATTAAACCTTTTAAGTTAATGCACACCTCAGTACTTAAATATCCCCAACTTCCCTTGACTATTTTTTCTATATTCTACTTTACTTTTTACTCCCTTTGGATACTCCACCATAAGCTGTGCTCTATATGTACTCTCTCTTACCTTGATACTCCAATTTTTACCTTATCAGTCCTTCTTATATCCTCCACCTCTCATTCCACTCTCCTGTTTGCTCTCAGTCCTGTAGTTGTTTTTTGAGGCAGCTCAGTCATAAGGATGTTCACCCAGGAAGTCCTCTATTTCCCTGATTCATTACATATATACACACTGTATATGTACTAATAATCAATACGTACTTGATAATTATATACATTACTTTATTAGTTTCATCACCTGAAGAATTTAGACTTTGACCTATACAAATTAATCTTCATCCTCAGTACAGAATTTGTCTCTTATCATCACTTGGCTCTTTGTTATATACGTCCCTTTTACCCCAGAGGATTCCACCAGATTAAGGAGTGAATTTAATTTACACGTCTGAAGTGTTGTTAAACATATTTAATTACTTTTCTGATGTACAAAAGATCGTCTTCCAGCGTTTCTTCTCCTAATACTGTCCCTTACAATCATCTCTTAGCTGCTGAACTTTTACCCTAGCTTGCCGATAATTATTGTAGTGACCTGTTGTCCGCAAAACCCATTAACCTCCTCACTCTGAAGCTCTGCCTGGGTGTTACTATAAAGGAGTTTTGTTCAGAGTTTGTTGATGGGAGGCAACTGTGTTTGTTTTTTATTTGTGTTTAAACCTCCTATGGTTTGATTATAGTGTGTGTCTTGTAGCCAAAAGCCCAAGCCAAAATATTCCTTTAAAAAAAAAAAATTGGGATGTAGGTGGTTATGTCTAATTAATTACCAACCCAGGACAAAATCTCTCTTTAAAACAATAAAATGGGAGATAGGTGGTTGTACATGCACTAGATTACCTCTATATGTGTATATCATCCATTCTTATAGTTATATCATAGAGTTATCTTAATCTTGGAAGAAAAAACTTTGAAAACATTCAATAATAATGACCATACTAGAAATTTTCAAACATTGCATATATATAGTACTGTATACAGAGATATCTCACTTCTCTCCCTGTTTTGTGGATACTTCCTCAATCACTGTTTGCTGAAATTATAATGGAATGGAGGATAGGAATTTGTATTTATGATGACTGGATGAGGAAGAAACCATTTACTTCAGAAATGTCATTATTCTTTAACTGTGGTCATGTCTATTGTGTTGTTGCAAACCACATAAGGAAGCAAGATGTTAAAACTCCTCCAATTGGAATAAAAGAGATTCTATACCATGTACTTCTCCTTATAGGCCCTAATATACTGGTGAACAGATAGCAACCATTTATAAGCCAAGTTTGCTCCCAGGTGGATTATTAGTGTCATCTGTGGGGAGAACAAGCCATCACAACATTCATCAATAATATTATTACCAGACTTGAGTTTTTTCTTTGTAATTTTTGAGTCCAGTATTCGTAAAATTTATATCATAAAAGTATTTTGTTTTCATTACATAACAGATCGTGCACGGTCAAGGTCAAACTCCAGGTCAAGGTCCAGCAAGAGGTCAAGATCCTCGCCACCGTCATCACGACGCAGCACACGGGATGACTTCCCAACTGTTACCAGAGATGACATCTTGGTGTCGTGCTTCTCTGAGGCTGGATCCCTTCACTCTATCCCAGACCTAGATGACAGACAGCAGCCTGAAAAGGTAACAGTCTCTTGTTTAAAAGAGTTGAAAAATAAATAAATTTTAGTTAAAAATAAATACATATTTAAGTGTTATGACTTTATATCAAGAAGAGAAGACATAAGACATTTGCTAAAGATATTTAAGTTTTTTGGCATAATTATATTTGAGATTTGTATGGTGGAATATGTAGGAACCTATCACCCTGACCCATCTATTCTGTAATGTACAAGTACAGAATTCCTTATAACAATTTTTATTATTCTTTGTAGTTGAAGTTTCAGCACAAGTAGTTATATTTTAGTTTTTATCCTTGTTTATATTTTGCAGGATATATTAAACTTCTGTGTATTGTTCACATGGATTTTGTCCTAACTATTTCTGTTCCTTTATCACTTTTCCTTAATTTTTTATATTCCTATTTGTAATTATCACAATAGGAACTCAAATGTCATTGCACTGTCATGTTAACTGAGCACGGCCTTACAGGAAAGTAGTGCCACAACCCTGACGGGCTCCGGTGATGCCTTGCTCGTTGACCTTCTTGAGACCCAGGTAGAGAGTCTCAAGGCAAAGCTGGAACAAACACAGGTAAGATTGATTTCAGTGACAAAGCATCTTTAATGGAAGCCCATGATATCATCTTCGGTAAGTGGGTCTGTTTGTTATGGGGAACTGAGAAAACAGAAAGGAGAACTTTTAGTGTACATAACTGTATGTAAATGTCCACGTCTGCCTTTTTTGTTATCTTCTTATTTTGATAATATTTTCATGACCGGAATCACAGTTGTATTTTGGGAGATTTTAAACTGAGTGTTTTTGGCCTCGTCTGTAAAGTGTTTTGCTTTTCTGTAGCCTTAAAAACAAATTCCCTTGTAATGATCTTAAATTTGCTTGTATTTACCATGCTAAATATTGTTTTGATAATTGCTCTTCATGTATTTATATCACAAAATATAAAGAATGGAGACTTTTCCTTGAAGGATTAGAATTTGTTTGACCCTTGACTGTAGGAACTGACTCATAGACTGGTTGATGGCAGATGATAAAGTATCCAGTACAGTACTTTCAAATATTCAAGACTCTCATCAAATGTCTGTATTTAATTTTTTAATTGGAAATGAAATGTTCTGATTGTTGCAGCTTTGTTGAGGTGTGGGATGTTTTCTGTGAAGCTGTCAACAGTTTCTTGTGCCTGGAAGCTTTTAGTTGATTTTACTGCATTTTTACTCAGTAATTCTTTTCCCATTTTAAAAGCTGTGGACATCACTTTTAGAAATCAGGATATCTTTGCCCCTTGACACCTTCATAGTCTCAAGTGCTGCAGATGAAACAGTTAGTGCCCAAAACATTAACATATACTTTTGAACTTTATATGTGGTAAATTCTGCCATTTGATCACAATATGAGATTATATTGTGTTGAAAGGAGACAGTGCTTCAGGCAAGTGCACTCAATATGGTAATGATAAAGATGACAGTAAAGGGGGCACTAAGTCATAAGATAAGGGAAATACTGGTAAAGTTTTCACTCATACTTCAGGATACAGTACAGCTCTTATTTCAACGTCTTGGGTTCAGGCAGTTGTGTTCTACATTATTTGTGGTACATAGGGTAATGTGAGAGTCAATTCAATATACAGTATGTCTAAGTTAAGAATTAAATTACTGTGATTAGCAAAAGTAATCAAGGCCAACACTTTGAGGTACTGTACAGTACAGTATGTGTCTATTGCATCAGCTCATAAGGAAGGATTGAGCAATGTATTATTTACACTGCGCACATAATTATTGAAGACTGTTATTATATGGTGCATTAATCAGGCCGACTATCTGGAGCTGCACAAAGAAAATTCTGGCCTGAAGACTCGTCTGCGTGGAGGAGGAGCTACCCCCTCCAACACGGCCACTGGCGCCCACCACCACCACCATCATCTTCACCATCTCAGTCAATCTGACCTTGACCTGCTCCACCAGGTACTAGGCATTGCCAATCTCCAGGAGGGTCAGAACTGTTAGAAAACACATTCTGGAATATTGGAAAACAAAATCCCCATCCTGATGTAGGCTCAGTACATCAGTACACTGTGACCTGAGGGTCTTGTGAAGGTTCATGTTATTGGCCTATACAAGGGAAACTGCTTTTCCAAATACCAGAATGATAATGTTTTCTAATACTGTACCTATGAAATGATACCTCTTTGGTCAAGGAATGGGGCCTAGCATGCAGAATCCAGCACATGTGAATAACAGCTCTTGGTGGTTAGGGGATTTACCAGCAGATGGCAGCTACTTGCAATAATTCCTCATCACAACACCAGTTTCTTTTTCTAGCTAACACTGGTCATTTCTTTAACAATACATACACAACAGATCAACTTATGCACTATGTGAATAGTTTGTGCTTTGATTTACAGAAAGACACCAAGTTGTTCTGTCCAGCTTAAAAATAAAAAGGCCCTGTATTAGGCCTAAAGTACAAGTTTGTTCACCCAAGACTTGAGGTTATTCCATCACAAGCCTTGATTGGATGTACAAGGGTGTCTTGTTTGTGACACTGCATTGTGGGTATCTCCCTCTTTTTAGTACATGGAACATGACTCGCATTGAAAATTTACCTCATGGCCTGAGTTGTCATGTGTTTAGACTTCTTCCAGTCTGTCTCTTTCAAATGGCACAATATTTTTGTAGCACCCTGTCCTTCCAGCATCCTTTCTTGCATGGTACTGTACTTTACACTGGAAACCACAGCTAAGGTAGCATGAACCATGAACTGTGTTGACTTTGAAGTGTAGAATGTGTTTGGGAAGATTGAAACCAGTCGTGCTCTATTTGGTACAGCAGCTAGTATGATAACATTAATGGATGAGAGGACCTGAATACACTTCAGTAGGTTCAAGACAGTAAACATTAGTGACATGCCCCTTGTTGCTTTCTTTGAAGACCAGTAACACATCAGCAACCTAAAAGCTGATTGGACATACCTAACGATTAAGATGTTAATATTTCTAAAACTGACCTACCAGTACTGTAGTTGTTACACAAGACTAACCAAATGAAACCTTCCAAGTATCCTTCATTAAGGGACAATTTTGATTCATACCTGACCTGTTAACATGTGGCAGAATTATAGCAATCAGTTGGATGATAGTTTTTCTTCATTGCAACAAATTGAATTAGGATGGTTACCTAATGTCTGTCCCAAAACTCATGGATGGACAAGTCACAATAAAGGAAATTAAAAAGAAAATGGGGACAGGTTGGAGGATCTGCATACCAGCCTCCTCTTGGATTTGTACAGCAGTTGTTGTGGTGTGTTCACATAACATAGTTGTGAATTAGAACCAAGTAATCTCACCTCAAGTATTTTTGTTACTAATAGAAGAAAGGGTTGAAAAGTCTTGCATATGTGAATGTGCACAAGCGGCTAAGAAAAGTGTTATTGAAATCGTGATGAATGAAACAAACTTGGATGCCCTGGCTCTGATTTAAACCAAATTTAATGCACAAGGAGAAGTCTACTTCATAAAAGCAAGGGGTGTAAAGCCAGGACTGTCCGAAAGGTTAAGAGTGAAAAAGATGTGATTTTGTTGTCGTGCTGTAAAATATGGGGATGTATGATAGCATATAAGGAGGGTCACTGCTGAGTACCTAAGATCAGGTTAAAAATAGAATATAAGACATGGGGTACTGTGAGTAATTACATATCAGGAAAGATGGAATGGAGAAGTTTGGGGAGAATCTGAATAGCTGCACTGACGACTTCACTGTGCGAGTAATCGTGTGGCTGAAAGGGAAGATGATGAGATAGTTCCAGGAATGAATGGAAATGACGAGGTACTGAAAGAAATGTGTGCTGAGAGGATTCTTAGTAGGGATGCACCATCTAAAATGTAGGAAAATTCACAAGTGTACATAGAGGCATAATACTGGAGAAGACAGAGGGTATTAAATTATGTGTTGATTGATGGAAGATTGTGTTTCATTTTAACTTCCAAAATACCCTGAACAGAATCTTTCCCCATTTGTCCCCTCTCCTGGAAACCATGAAGCGTTTCTAGGGTGAAGTTTCAAAGGTAAATTACGGTTAACTTCAGTGGCCCAAAGCTATGAACCTTTAACCAACATCTAAGGAATTCTTACTCCCTCTTACCTCAGTGTTAGGTAGAGAGCCAATTAGGATTTGCTAAGGTGTTACTGACATATTGTAAGAAGGGCATTGAAAGATGAGTAAAAAAATTAAATTAAGGTGATTGGTAGGAGAGAGAGATGAATGGGGAGGTAGAAGAATGGGAGGAGGGTGGTATTGGAGGGAAAAGGGGTGGACATCTTAGAAGTAGCAAAGTGCATGCATGATTACAGAGCTTGGTGGGTTTTTATCGTTTTCACTATTTATCAATTGGTCTATCCAGAGTTTGTACAGGAGGAAACCGGAGGCCAGGGAAACCTATGATGTTTGGTCCAGGCTCGAACCCTTGCTATATAGTATTGGTGAGAGATACAAAAGTTACCACTGTACCACCACCGCCCCTTACCACTGATGATTTATGGGATAGATGTATTGTTAATTGATGATGCTGGGCTGTGTGAAGCAACGGCAGCAGTAACTCATTTGGAAGGCTGTAGTGTGGAAAAGGAACAGCTTAATGGAATTCATCTGGAACAGCAGTTAGAGAAGATAATTACACAAGTGTTGCTTGTGATTTCATCCATCCAGCAATTTGGTAAGAAAATATTTGAGAAGAAAAACGTCACTAGGCCTCATCACCTGACTAAGAACCTGGTGCCCCATATTCATATTGACAGTTCAAGGATCAAGAAAATATTGGCATCAAAGCTGTGTTGCATTGACAAGATGGTAACTTGCAGGCTGGCAAATTTTTTTGTAGATCTGGTCAGTGATCTTCAACACAAATATCATAAGTGTTTATAAGAAACTGTAAGAACTTGTGTCAGATGTTGCGTCTGAAAATGTTATTGATTGTTGGCCATCAGCTGTTGTACTGTGGGGGGCCATTGTGAATGGCACTGGATGTACATCATGTTATATCATGCATGTGTGTGAGTCAAATTTTTGAGGTGGTTTGTGTTTTCTGCTTTACATTGATAAATATATTGGGAAAGAATTTTGATTAAACATTCACAGTGGTTAATGTACATTAGGTATTGTCCTACTGTATTAAGTCTCATTTTTTTTTTTTTTTCAATATAAAATTACATCCACCCTCCTCACCAGGTAGACATGTTTTACCTCTTCCCAGTAGGAATACTGTAATGGATTTATCCCTCCAGTAATTTGTGAGGTGATTTGGCCCTAATTTTTTGTGGGGTCAGCCTTAACATATGGTGAGAGAATAATCTTGAGGTACAGTACTGTTTCTTTAAGTCAAACTGACAGTGTTCAAGTAAAGGTAACCCTCCACCAGTAGTGTCTCCTATATGTCTAGGGGCTGCTGTGGCCGTACATGACTTCATCTGTTTCTATGTATATTTGTTTCCATGTGGTTGTGTCTAAAGGGATAACTAGTCCAGTTTTAACCTTTAGAAGAGACGCAATGCACTGGTCATGATCAGATAGTTTTATGCAAGGAAGAAAAGTCTCTAATACTTGACAGCCAGTTTGTTGGTGATGACTAACATAGTAATTCACATTAATATGTAACCCTAACAAATTTTATGATTAATTAAATTTTTCAGTAGCAGTTTGGGTTAAGAATAGTACAGGTAGTTAAAATAATTTATATTCTTGAAGTACTGTATATAAGAATTTTGAATGTTGTGTAATATATTAATTAGTGATATCTGTTGTACTGTACTATTATATGAGCAGTGCTGTATATATTGCCACAAGGATCATTTAACATTGATAAAGCTTTTTTAGGAGTTACAAAACTCAGAGACTAAATATTGCAAGCTGTTTTGAAGCACCTTTAGAAAGATCCTTTTATTCTTTGACACTCTACGTAACAAGCTTCGCGGTAGTATTGGCATCTTTTCCCTTGCAGTCCCCTTCTAGTAGGTCAAGAGCAAAACTTGAGCTTAGTCTGGCAGAGGCTCGGGAGACCATAACGTCCCTTACGGCTGACCTAACTCGACTACGCAAAAAGTTGGAGGTGTGTGAGGGTGATCTGGACAGGTCAGAGAGAGAGGTTGATAAGCTGAGACGTGACAAGGATGAGATGACCTCGGACACGTTCAGCCTGAGGCGTCGTGTGGCCAGTCTTGAGATGCAGGTAAATAACTCAACCTAGGAGGAGGGTCTCAGGCAGTAGTTGACCTCCAGAAGGTGGGGTGGGAAGGTGTATTTTTGCTGCTGAATTAGGCATATACCATAATGCAGTAAGTATGAACTCTTAGTATAGGTAATCCATAATGTTTGAAATACAGTTTACAGGTTGTGTAAGGTTAGTTTGAAGATATTGGGGTCAATAATGTTCTTTTGATTTTCTTTTGAAGTTTCATGTTGCTCTTATGCCACATTAAGGAATACAGAAAGTCTAGTACAGTAAATGTAGAGACAGTTTTCTCATGACTTAATGATTATTTAATTGTAGTTTTAATATATATTCCTCAAAAGTTTAGACAGATAAAGCATTGGTCAAAAAGGATGGTGGGTCATTTATCTAGGTCTTAATTGCTTTTGTAAGTTAGTGTTCACAGTAAATTGGGAATATTCTTGAATAGTCTCTTTGGTATTTAAAGAAACTGGATACTGCTGAAGACTGTAATGAAGGTGTTGTGTTTTGTATTATGTATCTTGAATATCATGTTAATTAGCTGGAGAGTTGATGGGAATGTTTTAAGTATTTATAATGGGTAACTAAGGTAAACATTGACTTAAAAGATAATATAAAAAAATCTGCAGAATTCAATGAATGCATGTGTGGTAAGTGGAACAAATATTAGAATGTTGATTGGCTGTATTTTGAGAGTTGCTAAGTAGTAGTTCTGGTGGTCATTGGTCAAAATAGAATATGGTTGCAGGTCTATAATGATTTTAAGGTCATTTTCATCTTGTGATTAACCAGATAAAAAATACAGTATAAAACCTTTGAATATTTAGCATTATTCCTTGCCCCAAATTTATGGATCAAGTTTTGTTGGGATAGCATGAGAACTTTTGAAATGCAGCCAATATTGTGTGAGTACATGTATTATAATTTGATGGAATGCAGGCTTGCAGCAATCTTTTGGGGATGGAAAATTAAAAGTCTTAAGTCTTCAAATGTCTAGGATTCTCTATATTGCACCGTCTTTCACCATTCTGGAGCCCTTAATTATATAGCATGGTAAAGTATTCTTTTTTCAGGTGTCTGTTGCTATTATTGTCTACAGTATGATAAGAAAGTATTATTTCTTTAGTTCCTTGATGTGTTTAAGATTGTTACCTTTAAATTTTGATAATCATATTACAGTGGCTGTTGCCTTAGTGAAGACCACAGCTTCATACATATATGTTAATAATATTGTAGTTTGTGCTGTCCCAGGAGGGAGACTTACACTCTGTTATACTGTATATTTATCTGTTTATCCTTGTGCTTGTCTTAGCATCCAGGAGTTGTGAATACATTAACTTGAACAGGTAGTAATGGACTTTAACTCAATTTAATGTGTGTATATACTGTATATATCACAATAGGATTTCAGATATGGTTGATGATCATTAATTTCTGTCCTTACTGTCCAGTGTTGTAGCCTCTTGGACTTTAATGTGGCATGGAGGGGTATTTGGCCACCTTTAATGGCAAACTCTTCATACATTAATTCACCAACACTACTTGTCAGAGTCAGTCTCCTCACAATCCTGTTATATTATTTCTTATATATAAATTTGGGAATTTCAGGAAAATATTGAAAACTTCATCTTTGATGTAGTTTTAATTTCTTTGGAAATTATTTTCCCTTAACACATGCTCCATTCTCCCTCCAAAACTTTAAATTGCATTCAACAATTTTTTTTAACCTTTTCTTTAATGAAATTGACAAAAAGTAATGTTTGTATTGTGTTCATGGAATTATAAAGGTTCCTCTGTTTCATTGATATCTGTCTGTGGTGTTGTACCATGAACAAGTTGATTCAGTCCCTACTGGAGATGTGATCTCTCTGCTCTCTTTACAGTTTCTCACATCTTTATTTGTGACAGTACTTTCATAATGTTTATATATGACCAAAATCTCAAATTTTGATTTTACTCATCAATTCATCCTCTCGGTCACCCCTCAATTATATTTAATGTATACGTAATTTAACCTGTATTCATATTTATTCCTGTTTCCAATGTAGATCAAGGAACTGCTTGACCGTGTAGAGGAGCAGGAGCACGACCTCTCTGAGAAGGCGTCCTGTGCCAATGAACTCAACGAGATGAGGAAGAAGTGAGTCAAGCCAGTTACTCCCACACTTTTGTACTGAGCTTGTTTATATTCTTGTTTTATTCAGACAGTTCGCGTTCTGTAGGTTTTCCTGCAGTAATAGCGTGAGTTCTTAAGCATTCTCCTCCTCACTGTTAAGTTGGTTTGTTTTACATCTTTATTCCTCCACAGTTTTTGTTTGCTTATATGTAACTGACCTCATTGTCTTAATCTAGACTCTTTACCATGGTTGTGTTCATTCATCTCTGTACTGTATTTCTAACTCCTTGTTGCGAAGCATCCAGTGACATTGGTTGTAATGGTTGTTTTCCTCATCCTTATGTATACTTAATGACATAATTGGATGGTATAATTTACATTTCTTGTTATTTACTTGTGCGCTCCGTTGCTTCATTTAATTACGTAATTGGCCGGGATCGGCTGTGTCTTGGATCATGTTCTCTTGCCTTTTGATAGACACTTTATTAAGGTATCTTTCTTTGTCTAATTGAATTATTTAAGACAATGTAATGTTACACTCACGTTGTTGGTAGACATTTGCAACCCCTCTCAGTGTCATTATTCTTCATACTTTTGGTCTTGCTTGCTCTCAGTTCCTCTCAGAGACTAAGGTTGAAAATGGTATACATGTCTTCAGAGTTTCCACCTTAGGAAGTTCCTAATTAGGTGTGGGAAGTGAGAGTCCCAGTGCAGACCACTTACTTGCCTCATTCACATTATGTACCATCTGGCGGGTGCCAAGGTTGACTCGCTCTGTTCCTCCTGTGCTGTTGTCTTGGAGACTTGTACACTGTGCTGCTGAAACACATTGATTGAATTTAAGTTAACCCCGAAAAGGAAAAATATTTAGGAGTTAATAAACCATACATGTGGTGATAGGTTTGTGACTTGTATGCTTTTTACTCACACACACACACACACACACACACACACACACACACACACACACACACAGGTTATTGAAATAGTATAGTGATTATAATTGTATTGTAAATTTAATACAATAATCATAATTTGTGCTGTAATGTATATGTTTGTTGTTGACCAATATGAACTTTTCCAAAATTAGTGGGCATGAAATAATTATAATTGGCTTTGATTTTGTGTTTTAGCTTTGTGTGTAACTAAAAATGTATACAATGCTGTAGTTAATGTGAGCATGTTTGTGTGTAGGTACAATGAACTATTGGAACATCTGTCAACCCAGTCTGAGTCATATGGAAATGTTGACTGGAAGCAACACTTTGAACTTCTGGAGAAAAAGTAAGGCAATCCATTTGTTTTTATTTTTTTATTATTATTACTATTATTGGAGAATGGTAAAAGAGTCTAATTATAGATCCGTAAAAGTACTGTACTGGTGCATTCAGTACCGGGGTGACTGTTGCCACTAGTAGTAGCTCAGTGTTGAGTGGATCGGACTTGCTGCTCCACACCAACTATTACAATATTATACAGAATACGGTAGTTTGTGTAAGGAATTTTCCTTTGCAAATTTGTAATACCAGATACTGTACTGCAGTTATTTATATTGGATGATGGCAGATATATAACAATTTAATCTTTTATGGACATTTTCTCTGAGTTCCTCATGCCTGTAACTGTCAAACTCATGTGATGTTAGTCAGATGCATTTTTTGTTTTTCACTATAAAGAAATTAAAAATAAGATAAATGTCCTTTCCAAAAACTACTGATACATCATAATTATACATTCCTTCATAAAATATGGACAAGAAATATAAAATTGTTGGAAATTTTTAACTTTTGTTGGTAATGTAGTGTACCGGTACATAAATATGAAATATGGAACTTTTTAAACTATTTCTGCAGTACAGTACTTGTATTGAAATGGAGAAGATAAAAAGGCAGGATGGTAACACTAATGAGGTAAAGAAAGGGAGCTTCTAGGGAAAATGGTTGTTAGCATGTAGAAGTTTCTCACAAGTGGTTGGGGTGAGCATGTGAGGAGTAGTGTTTAAACTGCCTCGCATACCTACTGAACTAGGAGGCGACACATAAATATAGATAAGTGATGCTAATTACAAGTACTGTATGTCTTCTATCAATTTGTATACTGTGTGCATGTGTTCTGTAATTGAATTAAATAGTCAATGACTTCCATTTGTAATACAGGTATTTACAAGTGATTCAGTAATACTGTAAATATTAAGAATCGGTCATATAACAACAATGAAATTTATAATATTGAAAATTAAGTGTAAACAAAACAGGTCTTCCAAAAATTTATTGAATGACCTGAAGTATGTACGAGTATCATCAGCCTTATTTTATAGAATTTTTTTTATTGTTTTTTGCTACACACTATTGTTTGCATTACAATAATATAGTTGTAATTTACATTTTGGGATGTGAAATGAACTTTGCATTACATAGTTAATTGCTGTAACATTATACTGTACAACAATATTGATTTAATTTTAAATAAATCACAGCTTTAAATGTTTGTGTATGTTAGAAAAATAGTTGTCTGTTTGCATGTTGTGCACAATTAACACAATCACTTCTCCTACATCTGTCTTCACCAACACCACCTGCACTCCACTTTGCTCTGCACTGCACAAAACAAGGTATGTGAAAGAGCGAGAGGAATGGGAGGAAAGAGTCAGTACCGAAGAAAATAAATATTTGGAACTTTCTGCAACCCAAACAAATCGACACGATGATGTTCGGAGGCTTAACAGGTATGAGATCTTCTGTTTGGAGAAATTGAAATTTTTAGTTTAGGACCTGCAACCTTCGTGCTTTTAGTCCCCTCTTACCCTGCATGTAAACTACTCCTCTTTGTTTTCTTTGAAAAATTAATGGCTACTGATGTTAGGAAAGGATTTATTATGGGCTATCTTGATATACAGTAGGAAGCGAGGTAAGAAGTAGAGCAAATACTCCTTACACTCCTTTCAAGGTAATTACAATACTTCTTTTCAAAGAAGTCATTTTCTGTCATAAGATAAGTTCATGTGGTTTGTCAAATCTTTGTTCCTACACATTGGTTTTTTACCTATTGAATTTAAGCATTATGGAATTGGTCCTCTTTTATTCTTTTAGCATTATAAAAGGTAACTGGAGCAGTGTAATTGTTAATGAAATAACTTGCCCGAGACAAATATAGATGGATATTGATAAGATACTCATTTGACAAAAGGGAAGCCAGACCTAATAATGATAGAATTTTGTTAAACAGCATCTCAAGTGACTTCTGTATGTTTTAAACTGTCCTTGTACTGAAATTTCAGTAGTTTATTGAAGAAATTATAGAACTTCATTTAGATATCAGGGATAAGGAGCTAAATCAATCTCTTTGCTGGTGGATATTATTTTATCACATGCAAGACCTTTCCTATTATAGCACAGAGTGACTGGAATGAAGATGAGTGTAGAAAGAGCTGTTATGGTATCTCTACTTAACCTTTTATTTGGACACATGATTGCACATATTTTATGCTTTTCAAGCTGGGCAGTGATAAGATCTTCAATTTCAGGTCTCTGCAGGAAGCAGAAACACGCATACAGGTACTTGTATCAGAACTAGAAGTTGAGAGATCAAACATGAACTCTCAGAGGAAGATGTCCGCCTCTGCTGAGGTGACAGGTTTACGACGAGAAAATCAGGAGCTTACTAACAAAGTGAGTCCCAGAGAGATGAGCTGTTTAGGAGATCTATGATTGTGAATAATTGAAGATTACAGTACTATACAGTATATGTTTAATTTCAAAATTTATTTTATAACTTGACTACAGTGAATCATTAAGTATTCTGTACTTTCAAAACAGGATTTCTCGTGCTGTAATAATTTTTCCTCTTTTTATTCTGCTATATATGGGCACGATGATAACTTAGGCATCAAGATTGATTTCCTCAGAATCATGTGTGTAGATTGGCTGTTGTGGCAAACTTTTCATATTTTTGTTTGGCTTAAAACTTTTAAATGCTTTGACTGATTTTTAAAATGTGACAATGATTAGTCAGTCCCAAGTAAGATCTCTCAAATTTTAACATCCACAATCCAAGATTATGAAGCATTAGCTGTCAGATAGGATGCTGCCCTAGTCATGTTAGAAGGCAATTAAACAGTGTTGTTATCTTGCTCTAAGTTTGTCTTAATGTGTTACCTTTAATAATGGTAAATTATAGTGCTTGGCAAAGTAAACTTCAATACTGTACTCTAATAAGTTTATTACCCAATTTCAGTTGGAGCACCTGACAAATGACCTGGCTCGAATGCGTGATAATCTGAAATCAGAAAAATCTGAAGCATATAAGTGGAAAGACCTGGTGAAGGAACTACGATCATTGCTTGATGGGAAAAATGAAGAAATTGAAAGGAAGAGAGAAGAGGTAAGTAATTGCCATACAGTATGTATAAGATGTATACAACTATTACAGTTGAAGGTAAAGATATAAGCTGTACACTACTGTGGGAACAAATTTGTGTGTGCATGACTTTTGTAATAAGGTAATAATAACTAATAGTTTTCAGTTATTTTATGAATAAATTCTGTATAAAAAGAATAAATATTTTGTTTAATTAGCTGGTAAAAATATGCGTACTGTGGTCTTATCATAACATGTGACAACCAACTGCCATGGTGCCCCTCGACAGTGGTTCACCAGTCAGTTGATTGATCTTGAGGAGCACAAATGTTCATGATGTAATATATATACAGTACAATATATATATATATATATATATATATATATATATATATATATATATATATATATATATATATATATATATATATATATATATATATATATATATATATATATATATATATATATATATATATATATATATATATATATATATATATATATATATATATATATATATATATATATATATATATATATATATATATATATATATATATATATATATATATCATGTAGATCACAATCGTGGATAAGATAAATCTTGATAAAATCACACGGGAAAAGGGAAACAACGGAGCACCTTAGCTTTCGTCTTTATTCAAGACATCTTCAGAGGCAACTGGATTACATGGACAGAGAGAGGCTTAAATATACAGGGTGACCTTATTAAACATGAGGTCCAAAACTGATAATATGTTACATAAATTTATTTGTCAGTGGCCCAAGGTTAAAAATGCTTTGAAAACCTTGGATCTAGAAGTAGGATAGTTATTTAGTGGGCCCCTTATTTGTGACCTGACCTGACTAGTCACGTCGCCCCCTTCTCTTAAGCTCCTCTACGTGTGTGTTGGTGTTGGTATTAGTGGATGACATCATTATGGCCTGACCTCATGTTTAATAAGGTCACCCTGTATATTTAAGCCTCTCTCTGTCCATGTAATCCAGTTGTCTCTGAAGATGTCTTGAATAAAGACGAAAGCTAAGGTGCTCCGTTGTTTCCCTTTTCCCGTGTGATTTTATCAAGATATATAAATATATAATTGTATGATTGTTCAGCAAGATTTAATAATGAGTAAAATGTTGAATGAATAATGAGATGTGAATGGTGATGTTAACAGGTGATTGAGACACCTAAATGGCAGGCCCTCCTCACCACTCCCTCCCTTACCACGACTGTCTACCCTCCTGCCCCGCCGAGCAACACCCCCATCATAGTGGTACTGTTTAGTCTATGTTCTGCTCGTGCTTTCAGTGCCATGTTTAACTTGTTTTTGATCAATAATAAACTGGTGAAGAGGCGTGCTTGGAATATTTTTTTAGAAAATTAAAAAAAAATGAAATTACCCACAAAGTAATACTACAGCTTTAACTCAAAAACATGTCCATGTACTGTACTTGACAAGCTTATTTCAGCTTCAGGGTGTTTTGGAAAAGATGGTTTATTAATTTACTAATAAAAAGTTTTAAATACAGTATGTTGCTTTTGTTGCTTTTAATGATTTCTTGTACAGTATTTGAATACAGGCATTAACTGGCAGGTAAGGTTTTACCACTGAAAATATAAGTAATGAGGAACAGTGTGTGCTTTGTAGAAGGTGTTCTTGGTGTTTGTGTTCTATCTATGACTTCCATTATCACACTTATTATATTGATATGCTAAATAATACTTAAAAGGTTTTGGATTTACTGTTTTTATTGAATGATTTATTCTTTTTAATAGGTTGAAGGTCTCCGTGATTCATTGAAGACCACACAAAGAGAGCTGGAACACACTGCTGACCGCTTACATCGTGGCATTGAAGAAAATGAAACTTTGTGCAGCAGGATACGTGAACTGGAGCGACAACGACAAGATAAAGTGAGCATGAAATGAATTTTGTGTTGTCAAGATAGTAATTGATTTGGAGATGTATGTAATATGCACTGGAGATTATTTACTGATGATCACTGAAATAGATATTGTGTGAAGAAGAAACCACAGCTGATCTGGAGAGAAAAGCTGAGGAATTTGTAAACACAAAATCTGTTAAAGAACATTGCTATTACTAATAAATATATTAAGACATACAGTAGCATTCTGTTGTAGATGTAAATGAAAATAGATGACACTGGATATGAAGGACAGTGTAAACTCACATATCTATTTCTTTTATGACTATAAACATGCTCACTTTGTGATTTTCTTCTTTCCTACAACTTGCAGGCAAATTCTTAACCTCTTTGTGTATGAGGGGGATCTCTGGGCTGAATAAAATCATCTAGCGTTAGCCAAATGAAATATTAAAAATAGCATCCCAGTAGTGAAGGGGTTAAACTGTTAAATTGGTGATTGATATACTGTACTGTCTCGTGTTTAATTTACAGTTATATACAGTTTGAAAATATTATCCAATAAGCTGAGTCCCCATTCTCTTTTTTACAGGACCGACGGGCTTCTTCCAATCTGTCCATTTCCAGCAGCCGAGAGAGATTCTCATCTAAGAAAAACCTTCCCCGCATAGATTCCATCAGCGACCTCACGAACTTTGATTTCACTCTAGAACCAGATGAACTAGACAAGGAACAGTGAGTACAGTCTTCATCAGTGTTAATGTATATCTAGTTGAGAAATTTAATTGTGTTAAGCTTGATAAGTGTGAGTTTTCATTTTACTACAGTAATGAAGTTCGTGACTTTATCTTTAAAGCTTAGGTTTGTAACTCCTTTTTCTTTAATGTAGTCAACTTTGATAGACAGTAAAGTATGCTTGCCAAGTAGACTAAATCTTTAGCCAAGCCCATATGGGATTTTACTCTTGAGAAAATCATTATATACTGTACTCTCAGAATAAAGGTAAGTTCTTTTATTTCAGAATGTTCAATGACTTTTGGCATATCCAATATTTATAAATTTGTTGCTTGTACTTGAAAAAAAATCTTTTTGGACAACCTCTTAGACTAGACTGAACTTAAGTACGTACAATTATTTTCCATGTAAGGAATGAGGTTAAGCACAGCACAGTACAGTACAGTATGCAAACCAGAAGTAAGTGTTTAGTATGATTTGTTCATTGTCACTAATATTGAGGAACCTAGAACAGTTAGCTAATTCTAATTTATCAAGTAACTAATAATGCAGAATGATGATGAGACCATTAAGTTGGTCAAATAATTTATTTTCATCATTTAATTGAAAATATGTTAAGACTATGAAAAGTTCATCATATACCTTACATTTTCCTCCAAATAGGTTGGTTGATGAATATAATGAGCTTCGGTTAAGGTTTGAAAAGGCTGTTAATGAAATCAAGGCTCTGAAGAGAGAATTCCGAGAGATTCAAAATCAACAGGATGAAATGGAATTGTCCAACTTGAAATTGAAGCAAGACTTAAAAGGCAGTGAGGGAGACTTCAATTCTCAACTGAGCCTCATGACATGCAGGATACAAGATCTGACTAATAAACTCACTAATTCTGAGAAACAGGTAAATTCACTGGACTTCTTAAGTTAGTGCAATACCTGTCTTTGGATAATAATGTACAGAGACATCCATTGGGAGTGGAATAAGATAAGTTATTAATTATTGTGGTATCATCTAAGTACAATCTTTTCATATTTTGTCAGAAAACAATATATCTTTACTGTGTCTTTGGAAACTGAAATCTTTTTTTTTCTCAGGTTCGTCTCCTCAAGCAGAAGATTAGTCGTGCAGAAAGTCGAGATCGCAGACGAACTCAAAGTCTCAAAGGACGGGAGTCATTTGCCCTTTCTAAAGACATAGAGTTAAAGTTGTCTCAACTAGAAACAAAGATTGAGCAGCTGCTGCAGTCACAGATCACATTACCAGGCGTAAGTATTGCCGTGTTTATTAGAGGGAAATTTATTTGGAAAAGTAATTGCTGAATCCTTCCATTTACATAAAATATGAGAAGTAACGGTTGCAATCCTTAATAGTTGTCATAACACTACTGCACAGTACATAGTACAGTAGCTATTAAAGCATTTTCATACATGATAATGTTAGTATTGTACAGTATTAGGTAAAAGCAGATATCTTAATGTGATCTTCAATGCATATCATCATCATCATCAATATTTTATGGCCATTTTCCACACTTGTGTGGTTTAGCTGCGATTACCTGATGGCAATTATCCATGATGCACATTCTTTTTTCAACCTTTCTTGTCAGGTTCTTAACTCTAATGTTACTTCTTACAGCCTCTCCCCATGTCATTCTTGGCCTGCCCCTGACTCTCCTCTCATTCTCCACATATCCAAACCATCTCGGCCTTTCTCTTCACAAAACTTCACCAATACTGTACTCTCAATTCCCAACCACCTTCTTTGCTTGGAATAGGTTTTCCTGTCTTTCAGTGCTGCATTACACATCCACTTAACCATTCTCATTTCAGCTTACTCATACCTGCATTAGTATACATCATTCCTTGGGTATAGTTCCTGTACTAATTTTGCTATTCCTGTCCCATTAGTACTTCTCATTATGTAGTCGATCATAGTATTTTCTCCAGGCATCCTTAATTTCTTCATTATCAACAACTGCTCACTAACAACATTTTTGTTTCTACATAACAAAATGTTTTGCTTTTCTGAGTATATCTTGCATCTACAGTGTTCAGCATATCTGTGAATGCATCCTGTTTCTTAGCCTTGTAAACCTCTCTTCTGGCCCTGTGCTTGCCACCAGATACTCCTTGTCACCACCCATCATCCAGGCCTTATACCATGTAATATTTTTATTCTTCTTCACCATTCTTTCTACTTCATCACATCGTTTCACCACCATGTTACTGCATACCTGGCTGGAGCCTTTGTCCACCTGCATACAGTATCTTGTTTTTATTACCAAGGTGGAAGAGGAAAACAAAGGTGAAGGTGGATCCAGTCAACCCAAGGAACCTAAAATGCCAAAGAGATCTAAAAGCTTTGATGAATCCACAAAGTCTTCTCGTCTGCGCAGGAAGTCACTTGACAGCCCCTCAAGTTCGGAAGCAATGAAGGCCATTGTTCGTCTCAATACACTTGAATCCAAGGTGAGAAGATGTGAGGGAATACAAATGTGTGTGAAGGGGTACTGGTAACTATGATAACCTTCGGCATAATTCTGATAATCAGTAATTACTCACTTACAATACTTGTTTAATATTTTAAAATGTGTGCCATAGGCAAAGTTGCATATGTGGCAGGCTGTCTAGGGACCCCTGTAAATCTACATAATTACTTGAATGTGGGTGGGAAAAATTATAACGAAACAGTTGCGTGAATCTTCCCTAAAGAGCTATGGTTTCAACCGGAATATATTACTAATCCTTGGATAAATACCAGCTGCTACTGTTGATGGTTGACATGGGTTTTCAAATGCATCGAATTGATGGGTAATTCATGAGTTGTTAATTTATGGTCTCCATCATAAAAAAGGAATTTTAGTCAGTCCTTCATTTTTAAATGACATGTTTCTTAATACAATATATATAAATATTGATTCTAATGAATGAGTATTGGAACGGCAGGTATCAAGTCTCACTGGGGAAGCAGTAACAGTAACTCCCACAGATGTTACTAGCAGCAAGACTTCAACCCGGCCAAGGTCACCAACTCACCCAACATCACCTCTCAAGTCAGTACTGTACACTAGTTTGTTCTTACACTGAAACTATCCCAATATATTAAACCTTAAAAAGTGAGGAAAAAATATAATTATCAATGTGACATTGTAATTCATTTAACAAACAGTCAAACTGTATTGCTACTAAGAAAGCAAAAAAAAAAATGGATGAAGCTTAGTTTGTGGATGAATTTATTACAGTGTCCTGTGTATAGTACAGTATTGTCAAAAGCTTCATTTATTAGGATGCCAAGATTTCAGTATTCCTGGTATGCTAATTAACAATTATTGTACATGTTCAGAAGTACTATGCATTCTAATAGTTAGTGAGAATAGTTTTCAACTAACCTAATGTAAAATTTAGTACATTATATGGAGATGTTTCTCATACAAATTTAAATTATATAAAATATTAATGCAAACATTGAACCACCAGATCTCCCATGCGATCTCCATCTCTGCCCAGGAAGACATTGCGTTCACCCCGAGTCACGCCTGAAAAAGCTGTCAAGCTAAACCGTTCGGACTCTGAAACAAAACATTTACGAGAGAAATTGGCTGCTTTAGAGAAAGTCTTGTCAACACTACAATCACAGGTTGGTCAAATATATTCATTATATGACAGTACAGTATAATGCTTGTGACATAATTCATTCTAGATTATAAAATTGTCTGTAGAGAGATTGGAAAACCATTTGAAAATTCTGGATTAATATTTAGTTTTCCAGCATTTTCCTATACGTAAATAAAATTGAAGTACAGTATTATGAAATTAGTTAGTTTTTGTAGTGTTAGTAACCAGTAAGAGAAAAAACTCTTGACAGAATAGTGAGAAATAATTTTTTTTTAAATATTTAGGACAAAGGCCACTGGTGTTCAAAGTATACACACCAAGGGATTAGTTGGTGGTATCATTTTTCATTAACAGGCTGTCCCTAATTTATGAAGATCCAAATTACAGATCTAGTTACCAAAGCATTATTATTTTTTTACATAAAAAGTACAATGCTATTATTTTTCTCGCTTGTTTTCTGTAAATTTGGCAGCATCAGCAGATGTTGAGGTGCTAACACAGACATGTCCTGGTATGTTTATAAAGACAATTAAACAAAAAACAACACATAGTACACTAATACCTTGCTTAGCACTCTGGATATATTCCCAAAAAGAAAGCGCAAAGCAATTATATAGAGCTAAAAAGGGTCATTATATATTATAACAATATATAGAGATGTGTTCCTCAAGCCATTACACTTACCTATGGGTGACATGAATGCTTCATTTGGGTACTGGCAAACACAGTTACAGTACATCACTGTATTTATTGAAATAAGCAAATACATTTACATACTATAATAATAGCATGAACCACTGGAATGAGAGGCAGTGGGTGGTTGAAGTGGAGGATATCGATGGCTCTGTTCTGGGCGAGATGAATCCATCTCTTCATTACTGAAAGGAGCAGAAAAGGCATCTGATCAATGTGTCCTGGTTCAATCCCCATCCTGATTCTGATGTTAGAAGGGTATTATCCAATGTCACCCTACCAAACATGGCAGGTTTTTCCCAGGTTCTCCAGTTTCCACCTGCACTAACAAAGGCCAATGAAGGCTGTAACAAAGCAACAAAAACAAACCGACCATCCAAACGGCTAGTAAGCTGATAAGTGGTAGAAATGATACAGCATGCTGAATTTGATTATTCTTGACAGAAAAACTCTCAAATCTTCTCCTTTTTTTTACCTTCAAGCCAAGTTTCTCTTCACAATAAGACACACATACTGTACAGGTAGTTTGATTTTTAGATAAGGTCAATAACTTTTATCCCTGGTCCTCAGATTTTACATAATAGTTAGGTGGATATACAGTCATTCTATCACAGTACAGTTATGGAGTGAGATTTCAGGAACAATCCTCCTTATTTTTTTGGTGGTGGGGGGGGGGGTTCAGATTGAATACAGTACAGTGGTGGAAAATTTGGTTGAAATATACTTTTGATAATTTCAAGAATGAAAGACCATTGGTACCCAGTGTGTGCTTATTGAGGAATTATTGGTTGGAGTCATTTTTGTATTTTAATGAAATCTGTATGTAAATTTTCCAGAGAAAATTTTCTGAAAATATAGCAGAAGAATTACAGTATTGGGAATTTCAGAGATGATGACCATTTGAATCAAAACAATCCACATAAAGGGATAAAAGTTTTTAATAACTTTTGAGATTAAGAAAAAAATCTAATGGGCTCAAAGATACCTGCAGAACTATTCATTTCATTTTATGTTTTTGTCACAGAAAACTTTTTTGCTAACTGTTGACATTTATGTTAGTGGAATAATGGAAACTTTGAAATTGTTTGTTTGTTATCAGACTTTACAAATCTAATTTTGTCACAATATTGCAGTTGAGTGAGTGCGTCGCTTGGGCTGGATCAGTTGAGTGCGTGTGCTCATGTGGAGCTCCTGGGATCTCCTCTTTACAGCAACGTTTAAATAGTGCTATAAAGTTGGCTCAGCTTCGACACTCTCCACTCGACCAAGTTCAAGTCAACAAACTGCGTCCAATTGTTATGCGCTTACAAGATATGCTCAGGGATAAATTGACTGAACTAACAAATCGTCGAGACCATCTTAAGGTTTGTGCTTGTCAAAAGTGGTGGTAAATTATTGTGAACATTTTTATAACCCATATGTCTTTTTAAAGTTTGTTGGTAGGATTACCCAAAACTTTTCAGCACAGAGCAGTGAAATTTATAGGAGTATTTATACTATGCATTTTGTAATGCCAGTACCTAACTAGATTTTTAGGCTATCAGATATTCTTTGCTCCAAGGGCATACACATGTCTTCACCAATAAAACTAATTAATAAAATAACTTTCATTCATTATTAAATTTTGAAGATTTGCTGTTATAAAGAGATTGGGATTGTAATTAGAAGTTGATTTTATACCTTCTCATAGTCATTCTGAAATATATTGTTGAAGAAAGTAACAGTGAGTAGGATTCATTTGGACAAATTGTTGTATGGTAGCAAAGGAAACACAGGGACAACTTACTCCTGACATTTCATTGTGAAGGACTTGAAAAAGTCCTTTGTAACATAATGTCAGGAGTAAGGTTGTTTCTGACTGTTTTCTTTGCTACCATATAAACAAAGAAGCAGTGGTTGTACAAGTGTAGTTAGTTTAGTTCATATTATTATTATTCTTTCAGGCGGCTGGCAAATGGACAAGAGAAATGCAGTTGAAGCTGTTTGCCGAGCGGCTGGCATATGAGACAGTAGTACTAACACAGGTAGCACAGGTTGTTCAAGCAGCCCAGCGGCCACATATGTATGAGGCGTCGGTCAAACTTCAGGAGCTTATTGAAGCCCACCGTAAACTTTCATTCCTGGAGAAGAAACTGACCAACCCAGACTTTGATATGGAAACAATGGCACCATTAGATTTTTATACAAGTTTACTAGCAGAAAAATTGGTGGTCCAGGGAGAAGTGTCTTTAACTATCAACCCTAACTCACCTGCAAGCCGAACCCCCACAGTTCCTGCTGCCCTCACAGAGACATGTCGGGACCTTCAGTCTCGACTACTCGAAAGAGAAAGATCTTTAGCTAATTTGATTACACAATACAAAGAGGGAAAGCTTCACGAGGTAGCTGTGGTGATGGCACGAGAGACTGTGACTGGTACTGGTCCTCCCCATGATGACTCGGTGTTGCTGGAGGAGGTGAGGATGCGTGAAGTCTGGTCAGTGGCTCAGGACCTGGTTGGACAGGAGCTAGTCAATACAGAAGCAGCTCAGTCACTCATGAGAATAAGTAACTTGCTCACTCCAAATGATTCATCAGCAACAACAGTTACCCATTCATCATCAGCTACATTAGAACGCTGGCACACTGCAGCTGAAGAGTCACTACGTCAGGAAATGGAAGAGGCTGTGTTCACACTGAGCAATAAATATGAAGCAGTGCTTGCACAATATCGTGCTGGTGATACAGCTGTAATTAATTCTGTTTCAGCAACCATGGAAATGGTGCTCTCAGAATTTGCAGCAGTAGTAGCACAGAAAGCAGTAATTGATGGCCAGTTAGCAGTTGTCCAAAGTGATGGAGAATCTACATCATCTACCTCTGAGCCTTTGACCATTGTAGAAGAGACTCGTGATTCTGTTGGCTCTGCAAGTGATGTAGTAGCTAGTGAAGCACACCTTCTCATGTTCCTTGGTGGATGTGATTCATCACTGGAGAGTTTAGTTCAGCCAGCCCTTGATCAAGCTGAATTTACTTATATGTACAATAAGGCCAGTGCTCAAGGCAACAGTGAACTGACCAAACTTGTTATTCAGGCTGCAAGTCAGTCCAAGGTTGACCTTTCCCCAACCTCCTTCAAACCCACCTCCTCGGCTTCTACTTTGTTAAAAGATGGTGAAAATGAGTCATCCCTCAGTCTAAGTCAGTCTTCTCCGTCTAAGATGCCAGCCTCTCCTAAAGTCAAGAGGAAAAGTGAGGGTCGCAGGTCTAGAAGAGCATCTGACATTACTGGAATGACAGATGGTTGCCGTCAGTGTGAGGAGCTCAGACAAGAGGTGGCAAAATTGAAAAGGAATTTAGATACCAGGCGGGTTAAAGAGCGAGAGGCCGAGTGTAAACAGTGCCTAGAGTACATGAACACATTGAAGGTTAGTGATCAGCTAAAAATAAGCTTCATGAATGTATTGCTGTAAATGCAGAATTATATTTATTCTTCTTAACAGATCTGATTAATTTTAGATAAAGTGTACAGTAGTGTAAACAGTTGCTTCTTTAGTTTTTTCCATTGGTCAAAATACTACATGCTTGTATAAAGCAATAATTCAGTTGAATAGCAGGACTAGTGCATTCTTCTTTCTATTGTTTTTTTTTTATCAACAGGCACTTGAACAAGATCACAAAGTGGCACTATCAGCTCTTCAGGCACAGCATGATGAAGAGATATCAAGATTACGGAAAGAAGTCCGACATGAGCCGCCAACTCGGGACAGTGATGATGAACTGACCGAATTAAAACGAAGACTCTGTCTCCTTGAGGAGGGTTATGAAGCCCAGATTACTGCCCTTAAACAACAGTATGAGGAAGCTCTTGGCAGCCAGCCTGATGTGTGTGAAGAAAAAGTCAGACAGAGATACCAAGTGGAAATTGAACATCTAAGAGTAAGTTTGAGAAACTACCATTTAGAACAATTCTTCTTCAGTTTAGAAATAGATACTGTATACCCCACATAATGACTTAATAAAGTGGATTCTTTCTTAAAAAACTATGTTAAGTGAAGCAGGCTTCCTCAGAGTCCCATTTTATAAATTGAGATACACAGTATTCCAGGCTATAGCTTGCCAAGTGCTTCAGATGCATTCCATTGTATATTGTGGAAAGTTCTGGAAATTTTTAGTTTCTTCAAAATCTTGGTACTGTAGAGTATAAATACCGTACTTCTTAACACTCAGTAAGGATGTGTGATCAAAAGGTTGCAATTTTGGTCATTACACCTAATTTCATTCACATTGTAATCCAAATTACTCGCCTCTTGCAATTACTTATATTGATTTTGGGGGTTTTCAAGTTAGACTTCATTTATACAGTACTATGGATTAAGTTAAAAAAATAATAAATAATACTTGGATAATGTATACTGTATGGGAATTTTTAGTTTGATTAAAAAAATTATTAGCTGCTCAGCAGCTGAACACATGGCTTTGGCTTCTACAATGCATGTGTAGTTCACCACTTTATGAAATTGAAAAGGATGGAAGAGTAGTTATACTATATAATTTGAAAGCAAACATTCAGTTTTGAACTATATTTTATAATATTTATTCATATTACCCTTATGGAATATGGCAAAAGGCATTTATTCTTGAGAGTTGACATTACCTTAAATTTTCCAGGGCTTATGTGAGAAAGGTTTGGGAGCCATGGAGAATTCACATAAACGAATGTTGGCCGAGTTAGAGGAGAAACACAGGCGAGAACTGGCAGCTTTACAAGCAGAAAAAGAACAAGCCCTTGCTGAAGAGACTCAGGCCACCCTAGCTGCCCTGGATGCTATGCGGAAAGCACATGAATCAGAGGTGCAGAGGGAAATTGCCAAGTTTAAAGAGGAATTTATCCGGAAAATGCAGTCTGGGCATGACATAGGTGCTATCCACAAAGAACATGAGGCAGAAATGGAGGATATCCAGCATGAAATTCTCTCCCTTTCCCAAAAGTATTCCATCAAATGTCTAGAGTCTGCTGCACTTGAGGAAAAAGTGGAAACACTCAATAAACAACTGACAGATGCCAGCAAACAAGTGTTTGATCTAGAGGCCCGCAACAAACAGCTCAAGGCTCACCTATCTGCCCAGGTCTCACAACTCCAGGTACAAAATATGGTTAACATTAATAGCAATGTGGTCATAGCTATTGTGAAAATTTCATGTTATTAGAGTAATATATCGAATTATCATCCTTCTCTGTACCTGTACTCTCTTTTTATAATGCACTTGCTTGCAGGAGCCTTATAGATTGTGTGGTTCTTTTTTACAAGTTTTATGTTGTATAGTAAGTAGTATTGAAGACTTATCTCACTCATTTTACATGATCCTATTTATTAGAGTGTTCGTATATTATTTAATACCTTGGTAATAGTCGATGCATAAATCTTCCTACAACCAGAGTAATTTAGGTCAGTCTTGTCTGTTAGTGGTAGGGTTTCCTTTTATCCTCTGTGTATACATAAAATAATACACCCCAAGACATGTTGAGTCTTAGTTGCGCTCTTGGTGATCATAACACTCGTGCTCCGTTTTCTCGAACAATTTTGTTTTAAGATCACAGCCATGCCTCCCAGAAGAAAATTTATTGATAACATTGAAAAGTTTGTTATTGAGAGGATTTACTGTATAGAATTTGTCACTTCTTTTTAATTCTTTGTAGGATGATTCCGGGAGAGACGCAACCACTCTGCTCCGTCTACGCGAGAGTGAGTTGGTTTTACGTAATGAAGAGGTTGCACGACTGACTCAGCGGTTACAACAAACACAATCTGTGAGTATTGCAAGTGAATCAAGCCAACAGATGTGAGGTGATGATAGCCAAGTCTCTTACATTAAGCACAAAATACCTGTACTGTACAGTAATTTACTTAACTTTCTTTTATATTTAAGTTTGATAACTCAATATTGTACTGTACTATAATATAAAGCTTTCAAAGATATTTATGTTTATTACATCTCGTATAACTGTTCTGATTGGCTTTCTCTAAATTTTAGAAACATATTAAAATCACTTTTTACTAAAAGATGTGTAAAGTAAGCCTCAACGCAACAAATCACCTCACTCGGCTTTAATATCTTAGAAATTTTCTTAGTTGAAAAAGTAGAGCCTGTTTAAATGTACTCTAGTCCGATATTTTTTTTATCTACGTTGAATGTCTCCCCCTGTTTAGTAACTGTTCTACAAATCTCTCCTTCATGATTGCATAAAGTGCATTAGAGGCCCTTTTAGATAGATTAGATTTCAGGTACACCACCAATTTTCCGGGAACTGATGGTCCGGCACCTCGTTTAGTCCAGACAAAATTACAAGAGGGCACATGAAATTCCCATGACTGCCAGACTAGTTTACTGGGCGCCACAAATGGCATTGCATGTGGTGCGCACTCATTTAATTTACACTGCAGTTGTTGGTGGTGATCCCTCGATTTTGCTTACATTTAACCCTGGGTATGGCTTCTGAGAAAGGTGCAAGTGTCAGTGGTGGTGTCAAGCGTAAACACCAATCCTTATCAATACAAGATAAGGTAGAACTGTTGAAAAAACTGAACCGCGGTGTTTCCGTGCAGAAGCTGTGTGATACGTATGGTATTGGTTCATCAACTGTTTGAGAGTAGTGACTGTTAGTCGAGTGTCGTCTGTATTTAATTTCCCTCCCTGCCATATTTCACTGGATTTACTGTTATTATATGTGTTTACCGATATAATAATGCTTAATACTGATTAACCATGGCATCGTAGCCAGGTTAGACTTTTCACTGCAACCAGCAGGCTACTGGGCCAAGCTGTGAGGTGTTAAGGTTGTTTTTCAACTCATATTTTTGGGTAGATATATGTAACTTTCTTCATTTATTTTTACTCATTTATATGCACACACCGTCTTACATACATATTGTGAAAAACAGTAAAAGTAATTGTCCCAAGGGAACCTGTACTCAAATGTACCAAGTTAATTACTAAAAAATTTGTTTAACGCAAATTATGGGATGTTTGTACTTAAATTAATTACTATCTCAAGAATTCTAGCAATGTAAGTTACATTCTATGTCAATTCAGTGCCATTTTATAAGTGCAAAACTTATAGACTCCCTCTATTTGACTGATAACTACACACTTTGTTATCTCCCCGCTGGCTGTCAACGCCTCGCCTCCACCTTCTCTCAGCCAAGGTGATGGAAGTTTTTATCTTATAAAGCGTCACTCACTAGACGTAGCAGAATATAATTTGCATTACTGGAATCCTTGCAAGATCGTGATTAATTTGAGTATAAACATCACATATTTTGCACGAGATAAAAATATTTAGTCCTTTAGTGTAGTACGTACATTTGAATACAAAGTGTGTACAGTAATATGTTGCTCAATATTATGGCTTTTTCACAGCCCATAGTGCTTTAGAGACATGGGAGGTGTATAATTAGTGGGTTACAGGTATATTGTTGAATTATTAATGTATGACCTCGGTTGGTCCAGCAAAACGATAATCCGGCAAGGGTGCCAGAAAATCGGAGGTGTACTTGTATATCTTTTATGTTAGTTTGGAATGATTTTTCAAGTGAACTTTTCTTCTAGCAAGGCTTTGGTAGATTTTTTCATATTAAGCAAAGATTTGCTTGTTAATTGTGTTAGCTTACAGTGTGTCTAGTACATAAATGGTGTCCACTTAATGTTTGCATGCGTGTCTTTTAATGTAATTATTTCTGGTATGTTTGCATTTGTCTGTGTGCCTATCATGTGTACATGTTCGAATATGTGGTGGGTGAGGTAAGAGAGAAAAGGAAGGACATAGGGGTATGTTGGATTAGAGCTAGTGAGTTGATGAGTGTTGCCGCAGCACGAGGCCGACCTGGGCGAGCTCTGCCGCCAGCTGGGCCACTTCCTGAAAGCGGAACGACAGTTGAGGACCGACGAGGTATCTGCTCTTAGAGAAAAACTTGAGCACATCATTCTCACCGCTGCCAACATGCAAGGTAACAACAGAGCCAGTGCTGCCATACCCACGCATGTCACTGCAGCCGCTGGGCGGCATGCAACGGGAACTCGAGCAAACACTGGTACATTGCTGTGAGCTGAGATGGTGTGCATGCTCAGTAATTTTGAGTAATGGAAGTGGAGTAAAATATATATATATATATATATATAGATATATATATATATATATAGATATATATATATATATATATATATATATATATATATATATATATATATATATATATATATATATATATATATATATATATATATATATATATATATATATATATATATATATATATATATATATATATATATATATATATATCTATATATCTATGCACATGGTTGAATTGTATCAATAATTCCCCAGATAAATATTTTAAGTGTTCTGTCTCTGTTGGGATCATTGTTTCACCCTGGCACTTGGTGGCTTTACATTCTAATCTTCGGGAACTTTGTATGTGGTAAATTCCGGAAGTTGTACCATTTATTGTAAGCAAGTGTTGGTTTTGAGTGAAATTGTAACTGTGTACAAAACTGTATGGGGTAGTTCTCTATATCTTGTCCTGTCTTTGTACACTATGTTTGATACTGTATAATTTTTTCATCATATTTCCATTCTCTTTCAAAGCACTGTAGTTGGAATGGCTGTAAACTGATACTAATATTTCTTCTACTTTCCAGCACAGCTGCATATTAATAACGCCATTCCACCTGACATATAATTGATATACTAAACCACTTGAAAGAGGACATGTACATATTAAAACTGTCGTAAATGCTTGAACTTGTTAAATTGCAAATGATACATGAAATACAAAAGATATTTGGTGTAGTAATGCCGCCATAGATAGATTACAAAATAATCACCCCTTTTCCCATAAAGATTAGAATCTTAATAATAGCAGCATGCATTTCATACTACAGTAATCTTTCATTACAACAAATATCACATTTGCAGAACAAAGGAGGGACGTCAACTCGGGGAGCAATACTGAGGATAAATCACCACTACGGAGAGGCACAAGTTTGAGTGCAGCACGGGGCAAAGGTATACTAATGAATAAACTTTAAGGGGAAATAAGAATTTCACACTATGTACTGTATATATAACACCAAAACAGTTTACCTTCAAGTTGGTATTTTTCAGGTATTTTATATATGTATGAATGTATAGACATACAAATGCATGTACGAGAAACATTTCCCAGTACAGTATACCTGAAAAATTCCAGGGATGGTGAATACAGGGTCCCAATCTACTGTACTGTGCTGTACTGTTTACTGTATTGTACTATACTGTTCAATGTACTGTACTGTATACTGTACTGTTAACTGTACTGCACTGTATTGTTTACTAAACTGCACTGATAATTGTACAGTACTGGACTTTTTACTATAATACTTCTACTGTACTGTACTGCACTGTTCTGTACTATACTGCACTGTATTGTTCTGTTTACTGTACTGTATTGTACTGTACTGTACTGGTCTGTTATGTTTACTGTACTGTGCTGGTCTGTTATGTTTACTGTACTGTATTGTACTGGACTTTTTTTTTACTATACTATACTGTATTTTACTGTAATGTACTGTGTTGTGCTATACAATAATGTTCTGTTTAGTGCACTGTACTGTTCTCTTTACAGTAGAGTATAGAGAACAGTACAGTAGAGTATAGAGAACAGTACAGTAGAGTACTGTTCTCTTTACTCTACTGTATTAACCCCCCCCCCTAAAGTTCTCACCTAAAGAATCACCATCAGCTTAACCAGCCTTAAATTGAACCACTCCAAAACTATCTGGGGGGGGGGGCGCTAATCTTCAGGTGATCCATTTAGGTTAAAATTGTGAATGGTCTTGGTGTCAATTTCACCACTGGTATGTAAGGATTTCATGTGGATACATACAGTACTACATTTGATGTCATCAGTTTCACTTTTTATCACCTTTTTCTCTGATATTTATTTCAGAGTTGATGCGTTCTCCTAGCTGCCCTCGTCTCTCTGGATTTTCGTCTTTTTTATCGGTTGGCCCCTCCCAGGGGGTTACGGGGCCACCAACACAAATCTCAACAGACCTACCCTCTCCCCTGGCAGGGATGGTCGCCTCACGAAAGAAGGTATTCGAGACACACAAAACATTTACAGAAAATCTGTAGATGAAAATGGGGATGAGGAACAGTTGGAAGATATTGTGGAACAGTTAGATGAAGCCCAGGAAGAGGGGGATATGGAATCTCTAGTTATGCAACATGTGAACAAAGATGGGTTTGTTCAGGAAGTAAGTACAATGTGTGAGGAAGAACAAGGTTCTGGTGTAGTGCAGAAAATGGTTCGCAAGTTTAGTCACCGTGGCTCAAGACCGAAGCCCTTCCTTGAAAGAAGAAACACTGTTGCCCGATGCACCGATGTTGCAAATGATGTTAAACAGGGGAAGCACAATCTTGTTCGGCATAACAGTGAAAGCCAGCACATTATTTGGGATTACAATGTAACTGGTGCTGATGCTGCAACAGATGTAGAGTTCGCATCACTTATGGATCGTATTAGTGTCTTGAACACAGAATCAAATGAAAGAGCTCAAACTCAGAGAGATTCCACAGAAAGTTCTACAACACTTAGTCGTGACTCTTTTTCAAGACAGTCTCTACCTACAGGAGCTCTGAAATCATACATGCGAGGCACGAAAGCTTCTGTCATGAAAACAAAAGAAGGTAATATAACTCAAGATCTGGAAGGAGAAAAAAATGCATCAAACTTGTGTCCTCCCTCACCTAGTGTAAGATTGAACAAAATTAATCCATTGTTGGAAACTTCTTCACAGTCTCAAATTTCTAATTGCAGCAGATGTGATAGCAAGTCTAGAAACCAAAATTCAAGGTCTGAAAGCAGTGAGACTGTGCGAAGGAAAAAAGTGGTTAATGTAAAACCCAATATTCCACTTGTATTATTAAAAGGTGCAAAAAAACAAAGTAGTGACACATCTGCAACTACTACCTTAGCAATTAGTCATAAAGATGTGACCAGTCAAACAATAAGCAGTGCCTGGGAGACAGCCCCAAATGAGAGCCATGTATCTGAAAGTGATAGTCTTGGTAAGACTTTGATGTCCCCTCAGTATCACCTTTTAAGTGGCAAGTGTGAGGAGAAATGCAATCACTGTTTACTTGTTGATCTCTGGTTCACAATTTGGCATGTTGAATTTAACAAAAAGTGAATTGCGCAAACAAAACGTACTCTTTTTAAATCGGGCTTGTCAGGTATTATTGTTACTGTACTATATATTTAATCAATTGTATAACAAGTTTTATTTCTGTTACATTACATCAGAAGTTAGGTTACTGCTTAACGATATCGACTAACAGCAAGGCATTATTACTGTGACTTGACCCGTGGAAGACCACAGATGACATACATTTTGTCACAGTCTAAAGTACTATAGTGTATTTTTTCTCAGCAGAGAAATGATGCCCTGCCCCCTTCTCAAGAGTTACAGCTGATTGGCAGTTTCTCAAACCTGTCCGATTTCATCCTGAAGTAATGCATTTCTAAACGAGTTTATTCATAATTGTTGGGATGACCATTTCTGACGAGAAAGATATTTAGCTAAATTATATAAAGATATATACATTCATTATTTCAAACATAAGTACGTAGGAAGTTTATCATTAGTATTATACATGAATTAACTGTTAAACTCTGGTTGCAAATTCATGCTTTTGGAAGATGCATTTCATATATACTTATTTTTACCAACAATAAGGCATACTAAGACAAATTACTTACCAGTAATACTACATTATACAAAAAACTAACATTTAAAAAAATTAGTATCACGTTGAAATATTTACACACCTGTCAGCAGAGGCTGGAAATACGACTGCGAACAACTTCATATTTTCAGCATCTGCTGACAGCTGTGTAAATATTTCAATGTGATTCTAATCATTTAAAATGTTAGTTTTTTATATAATCTGGTATTACGATAATTGACAAAACATAATTACCGAAGACTAACAGAATTATTCTGTACTGTTATGACAAACTTCCTATGTTACAGCTGCTTATGTTTGAAACAATGAATAATGGCATAACATAAAATTGCTAAAACATTCAACAGTATGAACTCATCATTTCTTCAGGACAAAATCGGACAGGTTTGAAACCACCAATCAGCTGTAATTCTTGAAAAGCGGGTGGGGTATCTTTTCTCAGCGGAGAAAATTTGCACTATAGTAAGTTTAGTTAAGAGATTATATTAATCTGGAGATTTAGCAGAGATTATTTTCTGAACTTTATTTCTTAGACATGTTCATAAGCCAATTTACTTAGCTATACTTTGAAAAATACAAAACTTTTTTTTTTTTTTTTACATCTCTGATCTCTGTTGGTCCCAAGTTTAATGGATGGTTTGTGTGATGTCTATCCAAGTTTAAGTATTTATTGTAGTGTTATTTATTTGGCTTATGGCCAAGTTTCATCAAAAAATTTGCAGGGATTGAAATATTATGTTAGACATATTTTGGTGTCTTGACTAATGGGGATGTGTATATTGTTAAAAAGTGTTTTTATCGTGCTTACTAATACGTAGTAACCCAGCCATTGTACATGTTCTGTACAGCCATCTGCTAGTTATATCAAAGGTTTATCAATGAACAAAATGTCTATATATATTTTAAATAAATAATTAAATGTTACACTTTATTCATAACCTCTTTGATTGTAAGTGCTACTATAGATTTCATTTCTAAATGTCTCCAAGTCAACCTTGATCACCTGAGACAGTCAAGACTAACCCCTTGGTTTGATTCTAGGGTACTTAATTCTCAATGCTAAAGGTCATCATCACATGGGTTTGCAGTAGGAATACACACAAAGTAGTTCATAGCCCTTGTAGCTACATACCTAGATCATCCTGTTGATTAAGGCCAAGGTGTCTCGTTGAGTACCTCTTGAATATAATCCTTGATCTGGGTCTCCAAGATGTTGGCTATGTCCTCGTGCACCAGATTGGCCACTGCCTCTGTCAGTGGAGCCAAGACGTATCCCAACACACCTAGGCCTTCAATCTTCACATCAATTTTCCTGAAAACCATTGTAAATTGAGAAATTGTACATGGTATTGATGGAGTACAGAGATTAGTACCTTTTCTCTAAATCTCTTAGGATTCACATTACAGCTACATTACAATAAAAATATTGATTTCCTTTTTCTTACTGAGTCACTATATAAGAATATAATAATTGAGCTTCCCCACTTACTTGTAAAGGCATTCACAGAAAAAATGACTGACAGACATATTGGGGTAACGTACATTTATTTTAGAAGTATGGGAAGTTGTTAAACTAAATTGTAAATTACACAATGGCCCATGTAAACAATCACTATCTGAGATTTGAGTGGAGTTACAGACTTACAGTACTGTATTTGTCTGTCATATATTTAATAAGCTTTGTGGTTTAAAGTATAATAGGGTACAGTAAAATAATCAGAGCATCTCGAGGATGTATTGGATTTATGAAATATTGTGGTTCAGCAATGATTGGTGGTCAATGGGTTTAACTAATTAAGTACTTTCAGAATAACACATAAACCCTAAATCACACCTTGGAAACCCATAGTTGATGAGTAATTAACATTGAAAAATGTCAGTAAAATCTTTCAAGGGTCATTTTGGCCACTAATTACTCTGCAATCGAATCGTGGACCACATATTCATAAAGAGCAAGCTCGGGAATACTAAAACTGTGATTTTCAGCAAAATCAAATTTTTGGCCAAAAATGTAAGTCTAACACCTTACAAAATTTTTGACCAAAATACACTTTTTTCTCAGAATTGAAATTTAAGGGGTTTAACTAATTAAGTACTTTCAGAATAACACACAAACCCTAAATCACACCTTGGAAACCCATAGTTGATGAGTAATTAGCATTGAAAAATGTCAGTAAAATCTTTCAAGGGTCATTTTGGTCACTAATTACTCTGCAATCGAATCGTGGACCAAATATTCATAAAGAGCAAGCTCAGGAGTACCAATACTGTGATTTTCAAAAATCTAATTTTTGGCCAAAAATGTAAGTACTTACCTTACAAAATTTTTGACCAAAATACACTTTTATCAGAATTGAAATTTAAGGGGTTTAACTAATTAAGTACTTTCAGAATAACACATAAACCCTAAATCACACCCTGGAAACCCATAGTTGATGAGTAATTAGCATTGAAAAATGTCAGTAAAATCTTTCAAGGGTCATTTTGGTCACTAATTACTCTGCAATCGAATCGTGGACCACATATTCATAAGAGCAAGCTCGGGAGTACTAAAACTGTGATTTTTCAGCAAAATCAAATTTTTGGCCAAAAATGTAAGTCTAACACCTTACAAAATTTTTGACCAAAATACACTTTTTTCTCAGAATTGAAATTTAAGGGGTTTAACTAATTAAGTACTTTCAGAATAACACACAAACCCTAAATCACACCTTGGAAACCCATAGTTGATGAGTAATTAGCATTGAAAAATGTCAGTAAAATCTTTCAAGGGTCATTTTGGCCACTAATTACACTGCAATTGAATCGTGGACCAAATATTCATAAAGAGCAAGCTCAGGAGTACTAAAACTGTGATTTTCAGCAAAATCTAATTTTTGGCCAAAAATGTAAGTCTAACACCTTACAAAATTTTTGACCAAAATACACTTTTTTCTCAGAATTGAAATTTAAGGGGTTTAACTAATTAAGTACTTTCAGAATAACACACAAACCCTAAATCACACCTTGGAAACCCATAGTTGATGAGTAATTAGCATTGAAAAATGTCAGTAAAATCTTTCAAGGGTCATTTTGGCCACTAATTACACTGCAATTGAATCGTGGACCAAATATTCATAAAGAGCAAGCTCAGGAGTACTAAAACTGTGATTTTCAGCAAAATCTAATTTTTGGCCAAAAATGTAAGTCTAACACCTTACAAAATTTTTGACCAAAATACACTTTTTTCTCAGAATTGAAATTTAAGGGGTTTAACTAATTAAGTACTTTCAGAATCACACACAAACTCTAAATCACACCTTGGAAACCCATAGTTGATGAGTAATAGTATATAGTTTACAACTGCTGCATCACAGCTGATGAAGCAAATGTAAAATGCTATATTAACTTGCCTATACAGTATTTTGAAAACTTAGCATTTGCTCAAGGTGTCTAAAAACACCCTCCATAATACCTAACCAATGATGGTCACCAGTTGTGTATTGGTCAAAATGATAGTTACTGTATTTGATTTCCACATCACCTTTTAAAAGGTTGACTGGGCGCTGAAACAAATATTATTTTATTATCCTCCACAGCTATTTTAGGGATACAACACCACACAAACTAAAATTAAGTACAGTAACTTACCCAAACTCAGTGATGACAAACTGGTCAAGATCAACCTTTTTGGAGTAGAGGTCATCACGCGCCACCATGTAGATAGAAATGCGCCCAATGCTAGCAGAGATTTTCACCCCAGTAACATGGCTGCTGGCTGTCACATTGGCTGTGTAACTAACCTGCACAGGTAACCGAGTTAGTGTTGAAATTGAAAGACAGGGGAGGGGGTGAAGGAATGGGACATCCCTTCATCACTTCTATCACAATAGACAGCATTCTTTACAAAATTTTAATCAAACTGTAATTGTTAACTCATGCTGAGAAGATACAATACATAGGTCAGTGACAAAAACTTTTAACCTCACTTTTAAACTCGAATCAAAAAGTCAGTCTAGCTTTTGGTAAACACTGATTAGGCCATATGAGCATTCCTTGTATTCCTACTTTAAAATGGATAAATAAAAAGTAAAAATTGGTATAAGTGTAGATTTAGTAGTGAAGGAATTCTACCCAAACTCTTCTCCATTACCTGTTATTCTCTCTCATTTTAAACCATCTCTTCCCCATCCTTTCTCAAATTTCTCACTTATCTATTATTTTTTATCCTGTCTTTCTTACCTTTCTCATCCACTTAACCTTTCTCATATCTCTTCAACATCCACTCACCCTCATTACTTTTATCCCTCACAATCTCCTTTTTTTCTTCATTTGCTTATTCTTTCTCATTCACTTCCCTTCTCCTTTACTCGATCCTGATTTCTTCCCTCCCATTTCTTCTACTTCTACAGTCCCTCTTATTTCTCCAACACCATCCACCTTTACAACTCCTTACATCCGCTCACCTCTAGGTCCTCGACAGCAATATTGGCATAAAGGAAGACCCAATCAGCAATCTTGTCTAATGTGGCTAGACCATCCCGATGCAATGTCGAAAGTTTAGACAACTGCCCATCGTACAGATCTGCTGTTCCCTGTAGTAATATGACATTCAAGTACAAGATATGCAGGTGTCAGGTTATAATAACAGAGGAAGACTTATCTCCTGGGGATTTGGGAGAGGATTAAGAGATAAGAATGAGGACAAGAAGTAAGGAAAGGAATTGTACAGAACTATAAATCAAAGTTAAGGTAGACCCAAGATGCTATATAGTTCTTTTCCTACACTAACAAGGTGGGAAAATACTAAATACAGGATATGTGATGTAAAACTACTGAAAGAAATAAGTTGTGTTGTAACTCGTTAACTGTTAATGTTTATGAGGCTACACAGCAGCGTGATATGAAGAAAAAACAACAATGGGACTGGAATTTGATGAGGTATTTACACTGTTCATGGAGTTATATTTCCTTATTTTTGTCTGATGAATACACCCTCAGAGGTATGAAACCTTGTTTTTAATCAACCTATATACTTAAATGTGAGTGTGGGGGAGGTCTAGGATATAATAAAATGATCCGTAATAAACCTTACTACATTACTGATTAAAAACATGTATTTTTTTCCACCATTATCATGAAATATTCTAAACAACAGTATTTTTAAGTGTGAAATAATGACTACTGTGTTGTGTCTCATCAAAAGCAGAATCACTATCATATATTTTGTGAAGGACATATAAAAGATTACAGAAAAATAAATGGGAAACACTAGATGATAAGCATCACTGATACATAATATTTTCTTCATCTATAAGCAAAAGACAGGTTATACTAATACCAGTCCAAAGTTGAGTGAGGTTGAAGGGAGGGGGGCGGGGTCCATGCCATTTGAGACAACAAGGTTATTCACGATCCCCAACACGAGGTCCACAAACTTGCCGCCATTACCAATGTCCCCGTAATCACCAGTGAAGTCCAATTCCATGGTTTGTCTGAAGCAAAATCAAGCTTAGATTATAAAGGTCAAATGATAATAACAACGTTGCAAGCAGACTTAAGACTGGCATGGGCATAGTCACGAAAACAATAAATGTATCCATCTCATTCTTTATTGATACTGGGCTCTTATGCGAGATATGGGCTGTTGTATGAACTATGGGGTGTTGTTTGAACTATGGGGTGTTGTATGAACTATGGGCTGTTGTATGAACTATGGTCTGTTGTATGAGCTATGGGCTGTTGTATGAACTATGGGCTGTTGTATGAGCTATGGGCTGTTAATTGTATGAGCTATGGGCTGTTGTATGAGCTATGTGCTGTTAATTGTATGAGCTATGGGCTGTTGTATGAGCTATGTGCTGTTAATTGTATGAGCTATGGGCTGTTGTATGAGATATGAATTGCTGGATAATGCTGTACTGAAGAAAAAATAAAATAGAAGAATATACATTCGCAAGGATTACTCAATGCACAAAAAACACAAGTACGGTGTATATGAAAAATATGAACCACCAACACACAAACACAGATACATTACACATGTGCACTTACATCTGGTCCTTAGTGATGATATCGGAGATGGAAATGTTCTTAAGTATGTGGTTGATACCATCCTGCAGTGCATCTGTCAGTATGGGGTCAATCACATCCCAGATGGCATTGAACATGGGTGGCGCTGACCAGGGAGTTAAGTGCATGAGTCAATTGTTTGTGTGTGCATATTCTTATGGATATATAAAGTCATCTATCTTTATATATCCCGAGTTCACAATCATCATCTTCACTATTTTACGGCCATTTTCCATGCTTGCAGGGGTTAGCCATGATTACTTAGAATGACATGGTGTCCCAGTTGCCCTTCCTATCACCAACCCACTTTAACAGACTGAGAACAGGGCATTATCTGTGCGACTTCCAAGCACTTTCTTGAATGGCAAAGTTAGTCTATAACAGTGGTTCTCAACCTTGTTTGCCCCATGCACCCCTTTCACCGTATGTCAGAATGTCATTCCCCCTCCTTTCCAAGATTGTCTGCCTCAAAAAGTGCATTCCAAATAATATGCATATAATACTGAAAATCCTTTATTTTTTCCATATTAGTATCAGTTCCCCCTGAAAACCTGAGGGGGAAATTCCCCCTGAGAGAAACCCTGGTCTATATATATATATATATATATATATATATATATATATATATATATATATATATATATATATATATATATATATATATATATATATACAGTATATATATATATATAAAGGCGAGTTAAAACTTACAGGTACTGTACAGCGTAATTGACATTTCATTAAGGTCCCAACGGAAAGAGTCTGGTGTAGGACAAAAACTCACCAAACATAACAAAACCTAAAGATATGTACAGAAATATTGTGACATCTACCCGGAGTTTCTGTCCATGAATCAGACACAACAAGCCTCATCTCATTGTTTCGTTCAACAATATCCTGATTATTGATGAAATGTATCACATCAAATATGACTGGCATCGTGACAATTCACAGCAGTTAGCAGTGACAAACTCACCTATTTCACCGATGAGGCTGTTGATGAGGTCGGCCATGTCCCCACAACCCAGGATACACTCCAACACCAACTGTATTAAGAAAATTATATTAATAATGACCACTCCCTCCTACTGCTTACTCTAACGTAAGTAATTTTGGTATTCTAACTTTACTCTTCTTGTGCCCTGCTCAGTGTGAGACTATGAGGATTGTACAGCAAACAAATATACAACAAAGTTTTAATATTCCTGGCCTAAAGGAAGATTGTACAGTAGAGTATTAACAGCAGTACTCCACATAGTACTTCTCGAATCACACAGACAGGTCAAGGAGGATCTGACCTCTACACAAGAAGGTAAGATAACCCTAACATGGTAATACTGTATAATTATGACATCGAAACAACCATCCAAACAAAATACAGTACTGTCACTACTAAGCCAAGAATAAATCTATATGAATTTAGGTAAAACATGCTTATTAGCGAGACTAAATAGTGATTAGCGCAAGTGGAAGAGTCAAGAATGGTACAGTACAGTACTAACATAATATATATAGTTATATAAAAACCTTAAGATCCTTGAACATGATGTCGAGTTGGAGGTTCTTGATGGAGGCGTGGTCGCTGAAAGGGTTGTAGCTGACCTTGGCACCGCCCGAGATACCAGCCCCATAAACGTCCAAACTGTAGTAATGGAAGATTGACCTTAAAATCTAAATTTAAAATCAAGCTCAGATGTCAAAATTAACCTTACTCTTGTACTGTACTTTTTTACGTGAAGAGGACTAGTCTCATTTTACAAAGAAATAAAAAAAGTATATCACTAATTACTCAACTGTAAAAACATGCGAGATTCTAAGTACTTAGATCCGGTATTTGTACTGCTAGGCTTCCCACGACCAGTGTGAATAATTAACAATTCTGCTCCTCTGAATAAAATGTCTACAAGTGAGGTTTATGGCAAGTAATAACATCTATAAGTTGTGTTTATGGTAAGTAATTGCATCTATAAGTCAGGTTCATGATAAGTAATGCTGTTTATAAGTCATGTTTATGGTGTCATTTGGATTTAAACTTCGACTTGTGAAAAGCGTTTGTAGTGTATGGCTGTCTGAATAATCTTTCTTACATAATTACTACTCTTTAATTATACAACATTACAGTATTGGACTTAGTTTTAGGGTAGTGAGCACTGCACATACGTATTTGTAAACCACTTCATGTCTTTTGCGTTCCTCATCCCTGACGATCTTTTTACAAATTGATAAAATAGAATGGCATCCCCTGGGCCTTCCTTTGCATGGGTTAACCTAGCAGCCCACAAGTACAATACCATGGTGATTACGTATTGATGTTGTATTGTGCTACATGAACGCTGCCCATTAAGTCGTCCATAACAAACCTGTCATGTAATGTATACACTACCGCTGAAGACTACCTTACCTGTACTGTTCGCCATCGTAGCTTAATTTTACGTTAGTGTGACTTACATGTAGTTTCCACCACCGAAGATGGGGAAGAGGGAGAAAGCCAGACCGTTGACATCATATTGGCCATCAATATGGAAGTCATCCATCCGCAAGTCAATAGCAAACTTTTCAGAGATACCAAGAGTAAAGTTGACCTGGCATATGATGAACTGAGCCAAGTTCTTCACCAATGTGTCGTTCACCGAGCCATCTAACCTGAAATTAAACGTTTTCACAATTATCATCGAAATGTGTTCAGCAGATCAATGAAATGTAATAAGTAAAATAACTCAAGAACCTGAACAAAAGGATTTACACTGTTTTAGTAACTTGACAGGATAAGCACTTCAGCAGCCACCAGGAATTCATATAGAATACTAACAATATTTTATAGATACATATAACACTCGTGATTTATTAAAGTTTATATCACTATATTTCAAGAATAATGTAAGTCTATCCCTCCATTTCATTATTATTTTCACATAAAATGTTTGCAGGGGTTAAAGACTACAGTATGTAGATAACATTCACATTGTCAGTATACTGTAGGGCAAGGAATGTATGTTCTTAGTGTAGGGTTTACCAAGGAGAGGAAAGCAATCACTGTAACAATGACTGGTATTCAACTTTAAGTGTCGCAAAGGTTATTTGAAAATAATCTGTCTGAGACGAGCACTCTGCTGTTACTCTGCAGAGCCTATGAAAGCTCGGACTGCAGATAAATAAACCTTTTGGATACCGAGTCAAAACACACTAGTCATCTTCACTTCATGCATGCAATGTTAACTTTAGGAGGAACTTTCCCAAGTTCACCAAGAATTGGGAAGATTCCAATAGGTGGGTCACCCACATATTCCAATTGAGTTTGTATTTTCGAAGTGATCTGTTATGGTTACTCATCTCTCTAGATAAGTTTACTACCCATTACAGTATACTAGGACATTAAGCGCGTGCGCACACACACACCTCTACCTACCTGAGACTTGACACGTCAATATGGAAGGGTATATAAGGGAAGGGACCCATGGGGTCGAGTGGTGGAATTCCAAGATCAGGTATACCAGTGGAGAGCAATGGCCGCACGCTCTCCAGTACCTTCACGATGATGGCCGCCAAATTGTTGTTCCCAGGGGGGTCTCGACACCCATCTGCAGGATAATGAGAGGGGATCAGGTGTCATTTGTGCTTGCCAATAATGCAGGATACAGGCATTACATATCTCAACGATGCTATCAGGAAATTTACCCATTAGGGCCAGTGTGGATATAGCACACTGTACACTAAGCCTTCGGGACACAAGGAAGCAGTATGGCCAATACTGCACTAGACCAACTTCACTTCCAGAATTTGTAAACCTAGGTACCCATTTAAAGCTAACTAAAGTATAATGTTTAACATGAATATGTTTGCTGTGTCCCCATTTTTTGTCAAATCAACTGCCTCGTGCTACTATTTTATTTTATAAGTTATGTACCATAGGAATATTAATGTTCACTTTTTACATTATTCAGGACATAATAACAAATCAACCTAAAACCTGTCGTCCATTAAGATCATCCAAGTACTGTAACAGGTGACCACAATGGAAGGTATGTGTGGACCAGAGACCGTGTTGGTCATTCGATTGGTCTTCGTCACTTAATCTTCGTTAAATTGTTATAATTCTCTCACCTAAAAAATATTAATACATGTAAAATAATAATAATTTTCTGATGGTGGGCAATTTCTAAGACAGTAATGGCACCCAGAGGCATATTTAGCATCCTTACAACACATCCATGAGACCAGACCCACAGGTACCCAGGTATCAACACAAACAATGAGACAGATGACCTTACCAGGTAGCTGGGCAAATGTTGTACCTGCCAGCAGCGTCACCACCAACAGTCTGCAGATCACGGGCCCCATGACTGATACAGTAGAGAAGAAGGTGTTGGTGGCTCTTGGTAGTACTGCAGGAGGACAATATTTATAAGCGTGTGTATTTGGGCACTGGCTTCTGGTACGAGAGAGAGAGGACACTAGTACAGGAGAATACCAGAAATTAATTGAATATACAGTACTACTATTGCAGCACTGGCAAAGACAGTGAATGAGCTAAAAAATCTGGGTAATAAGCACACAGAGGGAACAGCACAAAAAACTCCTACAGGGCTTGAAGCAGAGGAGAGAGGAGTCAATGAGGAACAGGGACAGACATGCATGGGTTATATAGTTATATACAAGAGGAGGGTAGTGGAAGCAAGAACGTCAGTGCAGAGCCAGGGGACAGATGGACACCTCCCACCCAGGAGGCGAGCGCCATGTAAACAATATCATCTCTGAACCACACACCGCAAAATACACTGTATTTAGTAAATGCTGCAGCTGCTAAGAACGGGGGGAGGCCGGAGTCACTACCAAGATCAGAGATGTTACCAAGAACAATTCCGGCTTGAATTCATGTACATTAATACCGACATTTTTTTTGATCAGGGAGAGGAGTTTGAAACACTACTGAAGGTACAGTACATCAACCTGATATAGTAAGTTGTTGTACAAGAACAGAAGAATCGACCTGGAGGAATAGGAGTTCAGAATAGACGGATATGACTCATTTACGAAACTTTCTCAAGCAACTTGCAAGAGGGTGTGGTTATCTAAGCTAGAAAGACCTTAGAGCCAGCCAGGAGAGGGTACAGGAGGAGGAACTATTTGAAGAATCAAAGTGGTGTAAAATCAAATTAAAGGGTGTATCTACAGATCCCCAGACTGCAGCTTATTAAACCAAAGGAACTTAAGAACCTAGATAGACAATGCAACGGTGCTCAATCCTAACCACCTCCTTGTCATGGGGGACTTTAATTATGGCGACATCGACTGGAGAAAAGAGACCATGCCAAATGACTTACCCAGCTACTCTTTTTGTAGAAACTTCGAGAGATAATTTTCTGTTCCAACATGTTAAAGACACGACTCATTACAGAGGGGAGCAAACACCCAAGCCACTGGACCTCATCATAACAAATGAGGAGGGTATGGTGGCCAAGCTGGAACACCTAGCCCCCGGTGGCACCAGTCACCACGTAACGGTGTCCTTCAGATTTAACTGTTACTTGGTTCACGACAAAACCAGGCCAAGGTTCAAATATTACACGGGATGAAGGGTATCCACTGGCATGACTCAGTGAGGTATAAGAACACAGACACTACGCTGAATATCATAGTCAGTAAAATGAACCATTTGATCGATAAAAATATACCCAAGACCAAACCCAGTGCTTCCAGGATACAATGAGACTGTTAAACATAAACCATGAGGCAGTCAGCAAAGTTGAGAAGAAAAGTCAAGAATTCGAGACGATTGGGTTAGGACAAACGATGAACAGGGCAAGAGGATGTATGCCAAATCCAGGAACCAAGCAAAGTCAGAGTGTAGAAGGGCCGAAAGGGTTCCAGAGACAGATTGCACATGAGGTCAAGTCAAACCTAAAGGTGTTTTACCGCTACGCAAAGTCGAAATAAAAAATGCGAGTAGGAGTATTGGACCCGAGACTTGAAGATGTTAGTTAGCAAATTCTGAACAGGACAAGGTGGAGGCATTGAACAGTCTTTTCCTTGGTGTTAACAAGAGAGGTCAGGGTGTCTACTGGTCAGACAAAACAAAATTCACTGGCTTTTCCAGGTGTAAATTTGAAAAATTCTATGTATTGTACGAACATTAATTCGGTATTTATTACGATAGAATAACAAAATTAAGAGGTTTTCAATAATATGTATTTAGAATTGGAAAATTTATGATGTTATAAATGATATTAATCAAGACATTGAAGACCCTCTCTGACCCACTCCAAACCCAGTGATGAACATCAGCAAAGACCCTGACAACCCCCCCTTCCGTATTTTTCTCCTCGGATTTGTGCGATTCGTGCGAGTGATCCTGGACGTCCCCAAAAAGCCGGAAATCCAGTAAAACCCCCAAAATCACACTCCTGATCCACCTATATGACTCATGATTAATATGTGGAATAATCCACTTAAATAAAGTCACATACTTATAAGAACAATTCATCTCTGACAATACTCATTGCAGAATTAGTAGGTATAACCTGTAATATTTGGCTATTTGATCACTAACATGAAATATGATTGGTACACAAACAATTCAGTTATTGGAGTGGACTATTTACTGGAATTTGTTCCTAAAAGTTTAATTATTTACCTATTATACAGTACAGCATTAATTTATGGTAAGATTGCTGTCAAAATAATAATAGTTTGAAGTTGAACTGGATTCACATAAATTTTCCAGGTTTCTTTGTATAATTTCTTGGCTTTTCCAGCTACAAATAAAATTTCCTGCCTTTTCCAGGTTTTCCAGACCAGTAGATACCCAGATAAACCAATTTTTTTTAGAAAATGCATATAAAGGTGATTTAAACTTACAGGCACATCCTTAGTCAGCATGTAAAGTAGTACATTGTACTTTTGTATGATATCTAAACAAAATCTATTTTTGGCCCCAAGTGCCGACAAAGTAAATCGATATTTTTTGGGAAAGTGAAAACCAACATATTTCTATAATTAAGATATTCTATATTTTTAAGAAAATGTATAAAGAGGTGATTTAAAACTTACGGGCACAGCATAATTTACTTTTTAATTAAAAAGAAAATATATTATTTGTGTGCCACAGACATTAAAACTGTTTGGGGCATGTAACGAGTAAAAATTTTTTTTTCAGTTGTATTGGAGTAAAAGTATTAGAAAACCATACTTAAGTAAAAGTACTAGAAAATTTGAGTACCCTTTAAATTTAAAAAGTAAATACCCAAAAACGTTACAGTACAGTACTCAAGTAAATTTATTGTTACTTTACAACTCTGCTATTAAGACAATTATCAAAATTTAAACACGTCGACCCACAGATCCTTAATCAGTGTGTAGATGATGTCCTATACCGAGATTTTGCGCAAAATTAATTTTTCGAACCATAAAAAGTATTTTGGGGGGGTCCAAAAATTAAATCTGCTCAAAATCTCAGTATGGGTTGTTTTCTGCGTGCAGATTAAGGATCTGTGGTCAAAAATAATTAAATTGTTATTATTAAGTGTCCTCATATCAATTAGCACAATTATCAAAACTAACCGCTCTTACCAGTGTCCTCGTGCATATTACATACATAGTACAAACCGGTAACATGCGCAATCTCCTAACAAACAATCACATAAGTACCAACGTACCTGCTTTGGCTTCTTGTAACAATGATAAAAGTTACTCAACTCTTTAAAAGTCTTACTGGTGAAATTATCTCTCAAGTTTGTAGCCAAGTCAGTTTTTGCTATTTCACCTTGCTGATTAATTGGTGATTTTTTTTAAGTCTTATATAGGTCAGGTTGACTTTGAACTGACCTGGAGAATTAGCGAGCTTTAAATCTCTTACTGATAAATTCAACTTAAAAGTCTGAACTGATCTTAACCCCCTCCTTCTTCCCTTCCGCGGCAGACTAACCTTCGCGAGTGATCCTCAAGGAGCCTAGAGACAGAATGAGTTGTGGGAGACGCCGTGGGTTGATACAGGGGCCAGTGTTTACCTCCTGTGAACTGTGTGGGCCTTATCGTGCCTCATACACCTGTTGGTACTGCGGGGGGGTTAGTGGATGACGAAACGAGTAGAACAAAAATTCACTCACCAAGCAAAACTAACCTCAATTAACCTACAGTTAATATTGGGATGTCTATAACCTGCCCGGTGAGTTTTTGTCAGACGCGTTTTTTGTTTTTGTTTTTTTGGTCGAGGCTGTTGGGTTGGGTTGGGTTGGGATGGGTTGGTGTGTAGCATGTGGCTTTCCGAATATCAACTCTTTCCTTTTGTGTTAATCCTTTTCTGCCATCTTCGCCGTTGTTTTCTTTGGATTCCCTCACCTGGAAAAGAAAAGAAAAAAGAACATTTATTTTCCTAAGGTGTGATAACTATAAGAAATCCACCAACCTTTAACCTTCAGCTGTAACGTCGACATTAGATTGGAATTTTAGTTCTTGATCAATGGCTGATTGCAAGTTAATACGATGTTTTGTCACAATAATTTCGGCAACATGCTTCGCCGCCATCCAGATTATTTTCAACTTCATAATATAACAGAGAATAATATTAGATTTTGGTGAATTTGAAATAATGACACACAAGACAATGATAACGGATGAAAAACACAATAAAAGGACATACAAATGACGAACAGTAGAAGAGGAATAACAAATGAAGAACAAGACGATAAACAAATGAGTAACGCCACACGACCCAAGAAGCGCGGGCGACAAATGAGTGGAGTGTAGCCGACGCATTATAAACTAGATCCAATTATAGAAAAAGATTCTCAATGTTAACTTTGCCCCCCCCCCCTAAATGATACTAAATAAGCTTACTGTAGTTGCAGTAGAGCCTCGGTATTAATTTTACATTATTTCTAGTCGTTTATTTCATGAATTAGCTACAGACAACAAGATGGGTGCAATTTTACGTCTTCACTTGCAAACAATATTTATTATATTTTGAAAACCTTGACCTTGGCGATACACTATCATGAAAACTATTATAGGATAAAAAAAACAGTAAGTAAAAAATTATGGACATTTCTCACTGATAAACAGAGTAAACAACACGTTCCCCTCAGACTTCTTCAAGGTCAATGCATTTTACGCAATTTTCCTAGGTATCTACATTGTCCCCATAATAATAATAATGTTATAGTAATATGCAACAATGATAAGATTAATAATAAAAGGAAGAAAAAGATGAATGCTACTAATAATAATTATTATTATTTCAAGTTAACCTCCGAAAATAAAAGAAACTCACTGTTTGTTTCTCCCATTCTGTCTATCTATCTCTATCTGTCTGTCTGTCCCTTTCTATCTTCATCTCTGCGTGTTTAACTGTCCCGTCTCTCTTCTGTTCCTTGTCCTCTGTCCCTGGGAACCTGTCAGTTGTGACTCCCTTTACCAGTGGCTCGTGTTGCCACCCACCCATCTCTGGCCACTCTTACCCCCTAACCTCTCCTTCCACATCTATCTATCTTTTCCAGGGAATAATAGTAATTGGAAGCATGTTATTACGATTTACAGAACTCCACAAGCATTTAAAACTCCTGTAGGAGTCCTAAAAAAAATACTAAATAAATAGTTGAAACAGTGTACCGTAGTGAAAAGATCGAAAATTTAATTCTTATAAAAAACGTATGATAATCGACAAAAGTGTAAAATTCTCAAATATGAAAAAAGTGGATTAATAGAAAATGATAAGTATAATAAACGGAGACTAATACTTCAAACTGTTAAAATATGACAAAGAAAAGAATAAACGAGAAGAAACCAGGATAGGCGGCAGGCATGATGTACTGTACAAGAAATTAGCTCTTCGTCTGGTTCCTTGCCCTCATTTTTAAGTGTTTTAACCTAGGGCAGGGTTTTCTACCTAGGGTACAGTACACCTGGGGTTCACGTTTATCTTATCAGAGTCTTACATGTGCGGTATTATGTATGGATATAGTTTCCATTTTATTTAAAGTTAGTGATTTTTTTTTTCCAATTGGACAATAAATTTTGCCATCGAACTTCATGAAGCAAACGAGGCAAAATAAGTGGTTACAGTTGTTAGAATAAATATTAAATAATTGTGTACAGGAGAAAAGTTGAGATGTACGAGCAAATTACATTAATAATTTACATATGCCCTCTTCCTTTCCAAGTTCATTAGGAATTCTTTGGCCCGGACCATGGACGTACTAATTTGACTCACGCAGCGCAGCAAGTGAGAGAATGAAGCGCCTGGCGACAGTCTGTGACACAGGGCAGTGTGATACACGCGGTCAAGATCATCTAAAATCTAAATAATCATTTTTTTATAACACTAAGAATAGGGTTTGTTGCGTTACATTTATAGTCTCGTACACTTAATACATAATGATCAAACATTTATTAGTTAAATTGCCTGCAATTTCTGAAAATGTTAAGTTAATTTTATTTTTCTCGGAAGGTCAAAATATTTAGTTGATTTACGATAAAATGTTTCTAAATACAAGTGATATAGATTAGACAGTTAAATTAGACAGTACATTTAGATACTGACCGTCAGTCACTGGCATGCACAATTCGTAACTTTCTTTTTAATATAAAAAGTTGCTGTCTCAATTCTCGTTACCGTAGACTAGAAACAGTCGATGGTGAAGAACCCTATTCAAGTAAACCGGGTTTAAATTGCGTTGTTAGTTTGTTTACCTTAGTTACAAGAACAGCTGTTCCTGCTCTCAGCTTCTACAACTCTACTGCACCTGCGCCCCAGAGTCTTGACACCACCTAACATTAACTAATCTGTGTGTGCAAGACTCATCCTTATCTAAATTGACCTCACCAAATCGAATCTGTTCAATCTTACTTATCACAACAAACCCAAATCTAACCTCTCCTAACTTAACATACCCAAAGCAAATTTAACCTATTCGAAGTAAATATTTTTCAATAGCAACCAGGACTGACAAACAGAACTTATCACAATCAACCCTAACCTATACAAACCAAACCTGACCAATGTAATTATAGCTCACCTGACCAAATAATCCTCTTAAACTTCCCTTCCTAAAAACTGTGTAACACTCCCACGACCAAAGACCTCTTCATTGTCAAAAAAGGTCACTGAACAGAGGCATTAAACAACTTCTTTTCCTCGGTGTTCACAAGAGAGGATGCGATTAACCTTCCTGCGTTTGAGGACACATGGTTCGACACAGCACTGACCCACATTATGTTCACAAAAGAGGGTATTAGATCTAAACTCTCAAAGCTAAAGGTCCATAAGGAACACAATATTTATACGAACAAGTCATGAGTTTCCCCTTTCACGTTTTCTCTGAAGGTTGGCATCGAAATATTCCCATTTTCTTTAAAGTCTTCAGGCCATCCTGAGACCAGCCGGGCTACGTCAATTTGCTACATCACAAAAATTCAGTCTTACATACAGAAGTAAATTTCTTAGATTAAAACATCTAACAAGTTACGGTTAGTGCCCATCTATGATGACTGTCTCTAGATATTGTACCAGCAGGATGCACTGATAGGTTGTTGCAGCTTACTTTCACAAGAATTCCTTGTTTCGCTGACCAAGGTGGGGGAAGGGAATCAGTGGCCTGTGTAGGATCATCTCATTGTTCGTGGTAGTCTATCAAAGGCTATTTTGAAGTCCAGTGCTCTCCTCGATTACATGGCTTGTAGGTGACAGATCCATGGCTCTGTTACTGATGATCCTCCAGTAGGTGGCTGATCCATGGATGTTACTGACGGATCGTTCAACAGATGGCTGATCCAGGGCCACCTACCTGAGTCAAGAGCCCACGTGTGAAAGCTGAAGATCCTATCAACGGTGTACAGCAAACTCCACGAGTATATGGTTCAGATATTCAAGGAACAGAGGGATACTGCCGAGGCTCAGACCACACCAGCATAGCCAGAGGTCACAGTAGTGGAGGCAGGAGCACTAGCTAGGCTCAGACACCAACTTCTCCTCCTCTACGAGTTACTTGTGAAAACGGCATACCTGGGCTGGTGGTCTCATTTCCAAATTTTCTAACCTTCGAGGCTGATCAGACAAAATGTAGGCGGACAGCGGAGGTGGATATCGTTTACAATTACAGAACCTTTGGGTAAAATTAATCTAGTAAAACACCAATGGCCCACCTGATTCATTAACTCTTACTGTACATGAAGTGGTTAGAGACCTGAGACTGACGACCCATAAATGAACAGTGCGGATACAACCCGCACACTCGGCCGCCTCAGGTGGGTAAATAGAAGGTACCATGGATTGGAACCAGCGAATCTAAAGACAGTAGGCCAGCGCTCTATCCACTTACCCACCGAACCCCTTGTAAGTACCCAGATGAGTACAAAAAACTAACATGTAACTTGTTTTCCTAATCAAGCGTAAAAAGTCTACAGATTGAATGAAAATGTGTCATCCTTAGAGTATACAGGTATTAATGTATTCTAATAAAAAAGTCAAAAAGCTATTGTACTACCTGATTCACGTCGATATTAAGCACAACTAAATCCGATTTAGTTTACTGTGTGAAAGACGAGACTTCCTCACTCAGCCCATCGTGATCCTCCTCAGTAATTCTCTCCCACGATATGACTAGGCAGTATCAAACTCAAACTCATAAACTACCCTAACTGACTCCCCGACGAACCTAATCTATTTCCCGGGCAAGATAAGCGATTTATTTACATGTTATACGCGTCGAATATTCTTTAAGTTATTTCAGTATTGTTTTTCCTAACCTCATATTTCTACGCAAAGTCTTTTTATTTGCCTCAACGTGTCTCATAAGTCATAGAATTTGTTTTTAATTAAGTTGATCTGGGCAAAGACGATTGTTTGATTTCGTTAATGAGATTGGAACTGAATATTTAAACTGCAATTTCGGGACTCCGATATTATAACTGCCATTTCCAGTTCCTTATACAAAGTCTTGACAATGCTGGAAAGACAGACTTTTAGACATAGATGCTTTCCTGTAAATTTGTATTGGTTTCTTATTATGATTTCAATTCATAGGGGAGTAACAAATATTTTCAATGGTTAATTATTTGTGATATTTCTTTTCGTCGGCGTTCCAAGTGTTGCGTGGTCGTAGACGTTCATTCCGAATTTTAGGGATTTTATTATAATGTATCGTAGTGGGATATTTAAGCCACTATCCGTTTATAGTGCGAGGATATTAATGGATTCTGGTGCAACATAATTAATCCTATTGAACATGAACAACTTAGTCACTCTTTATTAACGGAGTGGTACTTCCGATCACGAGGGGAAAGCCAGTGTGTTTGTTGATTTATTTGTTGTTTGAGTGTGGTACTGCCACATCATGTCTCTGCAACACCTTCCCTCATCACACACGACCAACAAGTGGCAGTAGCAGAGCCCAAGTGTGACCCAGGATGTCCCAAGTGTGGAGCGAAGACCAATAAAGTAATCAGAAGACCTTCATAACAGTGGCCAGCAACAGGTTCTCACCAGTGTGAGCCCCGGCCCCGGGCAGACGCAGTGCCCCTTCCTCCACGCCGCAAGTTTTCGCCCTGTGTTTCACCGTGAGCGAGAGCATGAGGCCCCTCCCTGCACTCGTCGTGTGTTTGGCCACCGTCTTTAGCAGGTGAGAAGCCTGTGTGTGTATCTCAACTCCTGGCGAGGACGTGCACAACACAGCCAGGGTGGTGTGTGGGGGCTGGCAGCTGAGGGGCCTACAGTTGTCACCACTCCAAGGGACCAGCCCTTGGTTTGTTTTTCGTTGCACAGTGTTTTCTTTCGTATTGAGTTTCAATACTATCTGTGTTTAGGGAATAGAGAGTGACTATATATTCTGATTTTGGATATGGGGATGTGGTGCAAGTTTGGCAGTACGTGACACAGTTATTGGGTGGTGTGGGCGTGTGTGGGGTTAGTGTGGTCGAGATGGTGGAGGGCAGGTTGGCAGGGTGCACACACACACAAGGCCACAACTGTGCCTGACTGCTGTGAGATACGCAGTCCCAGCCGGTGGTGCCGACCCCCCAACCCCCCCTCATCCCCGCCTGAGGTTGCCAGCTATACATTCACTTATGACCGCATATGGATTACACGATTTCAGTAAAAATATGAGTTCTTCTATGTTTAACATGTTATACCTGTCGTTCATCAAATGAAACTTTATTTTAAAAACATCCGTAAAAAAATTGTTAATTTTTAACCCTCTTATTACCATTTACCGGCAATTGAATTTTCTATCACATATATTAGAGAGAGTCGCGTCAGAAATGACTAAAATGCAGGATATTAGGCTGTCAGGGATGGCCAATAAATTTCTGCGAACTGGGTGGTGGCACTGCCAGGTGGATTGCCAGAGGTTCCAATATCCTCCTCCAAATTTAACCGAATGTATGTTAAGTGTTTTTTTCCTCCCTCACCCACCATACTACTTTAACATTTTGTCTCTCACAATGAAGGTATAAATACCAACCAAGAGCACTAAATTATTGTTGTATTTGAATCCAGATGTAAACTAGTACAAATGCTCTCTGGAACAATAAGCCTCCATTGGTTATTTCCGTTTTGTTTCTCAAGTGAAATCAACTGCTGGCCTAAATTATATATATATATATATATATATATATATATATATATATATATATATATATATATATATATATATATATCAATCCATAACACGCCCAATCAATTCAAGTGTGTTAGGCTAATCTCGTGTCATTTTCCGGAAGCGACACACGTTTACAAAATCGTAACAAAATAACAAATATACCCAGGACATGCTAATACAACAGTACAGTAATATGCGGCTACAGTCTTGGCCGCGAAACGGATGTGACATCATAAAAGGATCAATTAGGTTGTGGCTTGGAATCAGTGACGCGCCCCGCGTATGACTGACGCACGGCTAGATATCCTTGTGTGCTGTTCTGACCCAGCCACATACAGTACCATTACTTCAAAACTTATAGAAGAACATTAAGAGTATGTATTCTTATTAGCTTAAACTACACATATAAAGGTAAATTCGTTATAAATGCTAAGGATTAGTACTTAACCAGGATCAGTCACTGAATTTTATATAATGGTGGAGACCTAAACAAATTTGATTCACTCACAAAAAAAAAACAATTACAACTGGTCTAGTGCTCGTGTCGTTCCTGCCGTCACCAATTCAATTTCAATTGTTTATTCCTTGATAGAGGAAGCGGGATCCTAGTGCTGTCACTAAGTACCCCTGTACAATGATACCAGAAGTATCTGGCAAGTGTGACAAGTATATACAGTATAAATATTATAAAGGGGCTTACTAAAGCCTAAGGAAGGAAGGAAGGATATTCCTTTAACACATAATCAATGTTATTTACATAATATCTGGCCAGTATGGGGTGGATCATCGTGTCTCTGTCAGGGGGTCGTGGAATGGTGATCCAGCAGGCGTCACGGAAGCGTTGTGTGTGGGGGACATCTTAGGAGGTAGTGGATAAGGGTGCTGCTGTCGGGTCTTCTGCATAATGCACAAGAGCGTTGCTCAGGGGATGAGGGGATACCAATCTCCCAAGCAAAGTCATACCCAATGATGATACGGGCAGCAATCACGTCCCCTTTCCGCGACCCTTTCCCGTAGACGTACGAGAGGTGTGCCGTCACCTTGGTATCTTCACCGCCCTTCCAACAACTTCAGATTAATCACCGTAATAAAATCAGAGGCACATCTATTTCTAAAGTAATCCCGTACAAATAAATAAAAACAGACACTATTCAACAACCTATTCACTATAAACCTTCGATGTGATTAGACAAAAAAACAAAAAACACTCTCCAAGTATAGCGAAATGAAATAAACCCGAAACCCGAGTCTATTATAACCGTCACTGGTGTGTGGGGGGTACAACTAATGTCCTACTTACTGTCACGGGAGTACTGACGGGTGGTTGGCTGGCTGGCCCTGTATGGTTCACCTCACCCTTCCCTCACTTCCTCTCGCCACCAGCTGTTTGTGAGGGGCTTTTTATATACGTTCTTCATATCTTGCTTCTTCATTCATTTTTCTCGATGTAAATGTAGAAACCATTATTATATATTTTTTCACTGTAAAATAATGTGGTTAATGATGAAACGATTAATAATACTGTAATTTATTTTGCTATTTTGATTATTATTATTATATTACCGACTTTGATATTTATATGATTTTGATATTTGACTTTTATACCTGACTGACTTTCTTAACTTTGATACTGTACTTGAATTTGAACCCCTTGACTTTGATACTTGAATTTGAACCCATGAATTTGATACTCGAGTTTAAACGCATTGAGTTCGATACTTGAGTTTGAATCTTGACTGACACCTGCATTTGAAATTTGTCTTAAAAAATCTGACTTGAAATCTGACTCGAATACAACACAGTTAGTTTACATAAACAGGTAACTCCTCTAAATCTCAAGTTAATTGAAATCTGTATGAAAACATCTGAAATCTGCCTGTGAGAATCTGTAAACCAAGGATACCTGAAATCTGCCTGCTAGTATCTACGACCTCAGAGATATATCTAAAATCTCCCTGTTAGTATCTGTAACACAGTCACCTGAAGAGGACATATTCTACAGCTATTTTTGAAGAAGCGAGAACAAGATAATTAAAGGCATCACGTTGTAGATATGTGGCTTAATTTCCTGAAGGGATTATTAAGAAGACCTAGAACTTCTCCTAAATTAGTGTAATTCTCTTCTGTTGTCCGATTCCTATAGACCTGAACTCATGCATCTGTCCACACACAGGGATGGTGAAGATTCTGACACTACAGTATAGAATTGTGTTGCGGGGATGGATAAAAAGGTGCAACTGATCTCTTTAGTTTGATATTAAGGTTTGATAAATGAATTCAAATCCCTTAATAGTAATGCAGAGAACTAACCAAACCTATAATCAAACCCACACCTTACCTAAATATCACTTCTGAAGAAATAGCGAAGTAAAGATTGTTTTGCCAATAACTATTTCTGACTAAGGATAAGAACGAATTTTGTTCATTTACGCCTAAGCGATTAATTCATTCTTAAATTTCAAAGAAGCATGGCTACTGTAACTTGTGTTTGGGGCTAATCTGGACTTTTCCTAAACTATCACGTGACCCACCTTTAAAACTATCAAACTTTTCACCCAACGTAAGGCAATCCTCTATATAAACTAGGCAGGATCTCTTTCTTTCATAGCCACTTCGAGTCTTGAACAGAATATAGTACCTAGTCTTAGTAACATCTGCCAGAGTCACTGTTCATAACAGCTGAACTTTCCAATATCTGTCGACCCCATGCTTTACCAAAACACCAACAGGTTACACCACCCTCCTCCCTGCTGTTGCTCTAAGGTCGTCTGGGTACGATTTTATGATTACTCGTTGTTCAGTATCTACTAATTACCTGTATTCCTGTCTACAGCTTCCAACTGCTTTCTGTCTTCAGGCCTTTTCTAATTACTCTCTTTAGGTCCATACTAATTACTCTCCCTTCAGGTCCATACTAATAACTCTACCTTCAGGTCCATACTAATAACTCTACCTTCAGGTCCATACTAATAACTCTCCCTTCAGGTCCATACTAATAACTCTACCTTCAGGTCCATATTAATTACTATGTCTTCGGGGACACCTTTAACACATATCTCAGGCAAGTGTTTGTCATTTCAGCGTGAGTTCTCTGTCTTGCCTACCTTGTCGTGAGGTCACCTGTGAGATGCCAGCTATAGTCAATTACTGCTCATGGGGCCTGGTGCTGGACATGTGTGGCTGCTGCTACGTGTGTGGCAAGGTGCGTATCCTTAAGGGAGTGGGGGGGCATACCTGGTTACCAATACACCTGTGGTAAAAATAATTATTTAGATAGAAGAGCGATAGACAGCCATATCCAAACAGCATCTTATATTTTAGATAAACATTCTTACAGTAAGCTGAGCAGTGATCACCTTGTTTAGTATCAGATTTTAAGTGAATGGTTCATTATCTCACCCAGGTAAATAGTATGAAGACTTAGTTGATAAGCTAATGATCTTATTTGACATCCAAGCAGGTAGATAAAGGTGTTCTATAATAAAGATTAAATCACAATAAAGTCAGGAGGAATCATACCTGCCGTCTCCTCAGTACATCTCAGGTGTGCCTGGACTGTGGTCTTGTTCTCAGTCTTGTCCAGCCTTGCATAAAATGAGTGTTCGAATGGTTGTAGGACTATACTCCACACAGGGTATCTGTCGGAAATTTTAAAGTTAGTGAAACAGACTTTACAGAAGATATAATTGTTTTTGCTTATAATATTAAAGTTCCTGATTATAGGATAAATATTTGAGCCTAAAACACATTGTATTATGACCAGAATGCCTGTATGTTCCTTTATGACATTAATTTTAATGGTCACCAAGTTACTCAGCTTAAACAAAGACGCGTATACAAGATGTGCCCAGCAGTCATCACGAGAAGTAAATATGTTTTATTAGTTGAAATGTGTCGTTACTTTACCCTGAGAGTTAAATATGTTTCAGAAACATTTAGACGTGTTAACTCCCCTTCCTAACTTCGCAGGGACCGGGAGAGACGTGCGGCGGGCAGTGGGCGTGGCACGGGCGTTGTGGACGTGGTTTGGACTGCCGTCACGCCACCGGGAGCAGCAAACCCAGCAGGGGTGGGGGCAACGCGCTTGCCCTACTGGCCATGGATGAGCCTGCCCGCTGCCACCACAGGAACGACACCGTGGCCGACAAGATCAACACCTTCTTCTCCTGGATCTCCTCTCTCTTCCAGAACGCTCTCACGGACGACTAGATCAGCCCGCCCTTTTATCAACTCTAGTTAACAGGCAGGCCCGTCGTCCACTAATCCGCGGCTTTATGCGCTTATTGAGATTCGTCGAAAACTAAATCACGAGACAACATTTCAAGAAATTACTAAGTGTGGGGTGCTGGGGCAGGGGCAGGCATCAAGGTTTATTTTCAGAAATCGTTCAGTCTTCTCGGTTGCGCTCCTCTACTGTGGTGATGGTGTTTGAGCAGGTCGTGGTGATCCCCAGTTGTCTGTTTCACTTGTATTTTCGGTTTTGTCCATTATTTTATATAGTGATTGATGGGGAGGCGTAGAGTATGAGGGGGTTTAATAACAAATTATCAAGGGTTAGAATTTAAATCAATTACCTCAACTGCCCTTGCGTACGACCCCACTGGCTGCAGCAGGAACTGGTTCGGGCAATTGTCCAGCTCCTACTAAAATTAGGAATATATGAAATTATTTTGTACACGCATCTACAGTTTTAACACCTTGATTTAACCAATTAATCCCCCAAAAATAACTCCACTGTTTTTAATTCCCTGGGTGGGGGGAAGTGCCTGCCCCAGACCACTCACCGATTGCCTGAGGTCTGTGGCCATCGGTAGCGCCCCTCACCTGCGGCGCTCGGAACATTGTTTTTTTGTTCTTACGCCATTAGCAGCCCTCTTATTACCGTGACACCTTTATGCTGTAACACCTTTAAACCCTAATATCATAACACCTATATACTTTTAGCACCATAACATATTCGTATCCTTGTAATCGAATACATTTATAAAACTTTGAGCCTTAGTCCTGCAAAATATTTGTATTTGAACTACTAATAGTTTAGTACCTTTGGACTGTAAACATGTGTACCTTAGGGCTTAGGACCTCTGTAGTCTAACTCATGTGTACCTTAGGGCTTAAGACCTTTGTAGTCTAACTCTTGTGTACCATAGGACTTACCACACATCTGTACCTTAGTACTGAAACATTTGTACCTAAGTATTATAACAATTGTACCTTAATACCGACAGATATTTGTGCCATTTTACTCTAAAATCCTTCTTCTAAGATATTATCGAGCCTTCATGATGTAAAAAAATGTACTTTAGTACTTTTACAACTCTTCATTTATATCTACATAACTTTTAAAGGTAACAATAACCATAAAATACTACTGTAACTTTATATTTTTTTCATCATAACTTTTACACATATTTTACTTTCACATATTACCTTCTACTTTCACACCATAACTCTTTCACCCATTACCTTCTATTTTTCACCCATTATCTTCTACTTTCACCTATTACCATCTACTTTCATATTTTACTTTCACATATTACCTTCTACTTTCACACCATAACTCTTTCACCCATTACCTTCTATTTTTCACCCATTATCTTCTACTTTCACCTATTACCATCTACTTTCACCTGTTACTTTCTACTTTCACCCATTACCTTCTACTTTTACCCATTAACCTTCTACTTTCACACCATAACTTTCACGCATTACCTTCTACTTTCACACTATACTGTAACTTTCACCCATTACATTCTACTTTTACCCATTAAACTTTCACAACATAACTTTCACGCATTACCTTCTACTTTCACACTATAACTTTCACCCATTACATTCTGCTTTCACATCATGATAACTAAGACCCTTTAACTTCTATTGTCAATCATAATGGATTCTGTCTTTACTTTCTCCTCTCACGCAATAACAAATATGAACCTTTATATACTTTCTACTTTTTGCATTATATATACTTTTTCTACTTTCACAACAAAAACTTTCTGCCTTTATTTTTTCTACTTTCACAACATTTAAACTATATATCTCCCCTGCCTATAATAAATAACAATACCATGATATCTTCACTATACCTACTACGCTAACTTCATGATATTATACTGTCTTGTCATTCCTTGCGTTATATACTGTACGTAACAATTGTGTACGTTCATAATACCATAAACACAGTACCTAACCTAACCTTTGTAAATTATCAACCTAGTACGTAAGTGTTCAATAAGGGAGTGAGTGGTGGTGGCGTGTGTGAAGGTGGGGAAAAGGCACTAGGCAAGGAGCTCCACGCACACACGCACTAAGGTCGAGATGCGTGATATGGGGAATCTAAAATACTCACTACACTTTATATATACTTTTTACTGAAACACTATTTAGTTTTTAAGTTATTACTCATTCTAATTAAGACTTAGTTTCTTAATAAGAGTCGGTAAGTAAGGTGTGCCTTGGACATACGGACAAGGACGTATCATCAAGCTGGTTGTTGATTTACCAAAAAAAAATTTTAGTGTCATTTGTTTATTCTTGATTTTTTTTCCTAACTCAAGAAACACTGTAGAGATGAGTAAATGTTTGTGGTTTACACTGTAACTAAAACTCTCAAAACACCAATCGTGATCATATGTCGCACGTCCGAATCATTCCCATACGAGGCCCAGTCGAGTAATATGCGTAAAACACTCGCACCCTGCAGTACACTAGGTCGCTAGCCGGGAAGAATTATTTAGCTTACTCTACATTAAACAGTCACCCGTATGCAGTCTATTTAGTGATTAATTTGTACAAGTTTTCAATTTCACTCCAGCTGATCCAACTCATATGCAAACAAAAACAAATAAACAACGAAGCTTAGTGAACTGTGATAATAAAACTGTTGATACATCACACCTGAGACTGATTATAATCGTCTCTAAACTTTAATTCATTCCATCTATCCCACACACTTGGTAGACTAAAACTAGACACCTGTAAGAGCTTTTCTGCCTATGAATTATATAAATGTGATTATGTTTAGGATTTAATCTTGAGGGACCATTTATAGGTTATTCTTTAGTTCGTTTACTTCCGGCTACCGACCCATACTGTTGTACTGTTCACCAACCTTTACCATACAGTATACTGAGGCCTCGACTCTCACTGTAGTTCTACTTGTATATTTAACAAGTTTGTTATTAAAGTACATGTTCTAGTAATTACATAAAATATATTAATAAATCATGGCTCTTTGTGTTTCATTGACCAGGATAAACATGCAGTCCGGTACAGGTGTCACTCACGGATACAGCTTGGTAAAGTCCAGTGGTACAGCGATACAGCAAGAGAAGCCTAACAAAACAGTGTGATGACGTATGTTCCTGCAGGTGTTTTGCTTGCTTATCACACACACACACACACATGTGTATGTTAACACGGGTGACAAGGTTTGGTGAAGCCCCAATTGACGACGTCCTAAGAACCGTCTATATACACATTTATTAGTAACTGGAAACAATTGGACTTTAAAGGGTGAATCATTTATGACGATGAGTGTGCTGGAGTGTGTTGTGTCATGAGTATGTTTGTGTGTATTACTTCATGCGTGTGTTGCGTTATTGGTGAGCTGGGATGTGATGCGTCATGAGTACGTTGCGTCGTGAACCGTACTATGCACTGCGTCACAGGTGTTGCACTTTACATGCACTGCGGCAGGAGTGTTGCGTCACGAGCTTTGTGTTACAAGTGCGGTGAGAGCGGGACCAGCTGCATGCCTCATCACACGCTCCAGGAAAACCCAGAAACCGGTTTGTTTCTCTCTCACTTGTAAGAATCAAGGTGATCGGAATTACGTTTATCACGAACCACGAGGTTAAAGGGACGAGGAGGAGGACGGTCTTCCCTAACGATTTGTTATCACCTTTCGTTACTCTTTCTCCTTTCAGTTTTTGAGTGGCGTTATAATACTCACCATTAACTGCCGACATGCCCATATCCACAGACATACCCCCATGTCAAGTGATAAATCCCATATCAGACTTCCCCCATATCAACAGTCCGTATCCGCCGACTCGCCCAACTTTCGAGTACCAGTTTACTAATTTTTTGTGACTTTATGACCAAATAATAATCGAGAAGTGATTCACAGCCCGATTTACGCTTGTAGGACCATCATTTGACTTCATTGCGGCTACATTTGGGTAATTACTCGCTCCCTGGATACATGCACGCGATCTATTAACTCAGATTAAAGTAAGCTTTCCATTTTTTTTTACTTTGTGACACCAAATACTAGTCGAGAAGTGATTAGCAGTCCGATTTATTCATGTAGGACCATTATTTGACTTTATTGCGGCTACATTTTGCTACATTTGGGTACATTTCGGTAATTAGTCGGACAGTCAAGAAAGTGCTTAATGAGGTGAATAACTACTCACTGACATACGTAATAGGTACTTATCAAAGAAATGAAAAATATCCGCTACAATTTCAAGATATGTCAAAACATCCGGTAAAATTAATGCACACACCAGCCAGTGAGGTTGACAGTACAGTACACTCAATATCACGAATATAAAAAATTCTTATTTCGGATAATATTCGTCCATTGACTGTCCGCAAGTTCCCGCCATGTTTACCTGAGGTTATACTCCTCACTTTGAGTCAGTTGTCTCCTCCTTACCTCCCCCTCCTTGTTGGTTCCTTTGGTATGAGAAGTTTTTATTTTTTTGTGTGTTTTACTCAAATTTTACCTCCATTGTTTTGCAAATTATGTTTGTTAAAAATTAAAATGTTATTTTTTGCCAAAACCGCCAATTTGCAAAATAAATTAATGTCGGATTTGAGTAAAACACTGAAAATTTTCAAAAAAATAAACCTATTCGCCTACCAAAATCTGAGAACAGCCAATGGACGAATATTTACCCGAGTTTCTATTCCTTTCGATCAACCAAAACTGGCCATTGACATCAACCAGTCTCTCATGTCAATATACCTGCCGGGCTTACCTGTCTGACCGGTCCATCTTGGTCAACAGTTCGTGAGGAAATACAACACTCGAAGAATCACAAACAGATGACTCTTAAGTCCAAAACAATCTTCATCCACCACCTGGGACAACACCATCACCTGCACTTGCCAAAACAACTGCTGAACTGACTGTCTTTGACGAAGTTGACGCTTCAGGTGGAGACAGCTGTTGGCGCCACCCCGGAAATGCTTTCAGACTTCAAACGTTTTCATAACAATTTTGCCTTGTGTAATAATTATTAAGGATACGATAGTAATTAATGTAATGATATTAAATAATACGTGTTAAGTGTCTGAAACATTTGCTTAAGTTTAACAGTGAACTTTTGCTACGCACTCAGGCTTCTTGAGGATGTTTGATTTCAAGGACAACGGGATAAGAAATATATTAGCTGAGAGAAAATTGTAATAATGATATTTTGTATATTTGTCGAGGTGCGATTAGTTCCAAATTCTCATTTTAGACTTTTCGTAAAGTTTCGCACATCCTTGACACGGATCGTCGACTTGTTTTACTTTCGAGGCTGAAATTTTTCGGTTTTTATAATACAGTATATACTATTGTTATATATTTGTCAGTTGCTATTTTATCTATAATGAAAGGAGGATTACAGTATTTTGGATAATAATGTTTGAAAGAATTTACACAACTACTGGTTTGAACCTGAAAGGTAACGAAAATTATATGATTTAATGATATCAAGGATTTTGTATGTACAGAATCCTTGTGGTGACTGATACCATAAGAAACTTGAATTAGTAATAAAAATGTTATATACTACAATGAAGGTTAAAATACATACGCCAGTGATCAGACTTTGATATAATTACCATTAGATAATTCTATCAAAGTTTGATCACTAAGGTATCGGAAAGAGTAAAAAAAAAAAGCTGTCGACAATTTATGCTATTCGTAATTAAACTTCGAGTATATCGTCAGTGATGTAATTGCCGGCCACAGGAAGCATCGACTGTATAATAAACCTATAAATGTATCACCAACATTAAATGTCATACGCAAGAGATTTCTTACGGATGAAGAGAAGGAAAAGTAATTCATCTGACCACAGGAACACGGTTTCACAATTCAGTCTATCTGTGTGTTTATGCTGGCGGCACGTAGGCTGCTGAGTGCTGACCTTGCCACAGGCTTTATACTGTATGTTGGATAGGGGTTGTTTTACCTTTGTGTTGACTATTACACGGTCTAGATTTTTTCCTGTCGATATTGTGGAGGAAATTCATTCAATTTACGGGTAATTGGGATCAAAGTTAGTGGAGATAATTTTGGCGTTTTTTTGTTTTCATACACTCTTAAGCCATCATCCACAAATAGTCAACTGTTGATTATTATTATGTTAATGGGCACAGGGAATCAATTTAGAGGAATTTTTGAGGTATGCTCTTTGGGATATGAAAAATCTTACCATTTAAAATGAATGATGAAAACAGGGATGGTATTTTTATACAGATTTTATGTGACAGTTGACAATAAAAAGGCGTGTATTCAAGAAAGCGTAATTTTTCCCATGATGAAGTAAAACGAAAAATTTACAAATTGACATTACTAAATCAAATTAACATCTCGACAAACACGCGGTACATCCAACCATGAAAAAAATTACTGTTGTGTTTTCTTCTGGGGATGGAAGATGATGGGCACCGTCTTGGGCATGAGTAGCGCCATCGAACACACGCCCTCACCTTCCGGGTCTTGTGAGGTGCAGCCCATTCCGGGACCACATTTGCCAAACTCTTCAAGGCGGCCCCCGCAGCTCTCTCCTAACCCCTACATGGGAAGGAATACAGAAAAACAGGGGTTAATAGAGTAACATGAATGAAATTTACGACATGTGCAATGCTATTGTAAGCCCTTCATAAAGTACTGGACCTGTCGCCAGCGAGTATAAAAACTGAAAACCGTGAGAGGATATTGCCCTCACCAAGCCATGCCACTGTACCTCTTTATTAAAAATAACTTTCCCATAATCACAATAACATGAAACATGATATTTAAGGGATTTCTAGTCTTGAGAATCTAATGATGGCCAATAGTTTCAAGGAAATAAATAACCAAGTATTTTTGCATGATTTCTGATATAGTTTGCAATCGTAGTTTTTATTTCTGAAGCCAGCAAGCACAGTACAGTACCTGGAAACTAGTGAAGTTTGATGTGTTATGCTTAGTTGGTTAAGTGCTCTAGATTATATTGTTTGAAGTTCTCCTATATTTCTTATGTTATGTTTATTTGTGCTAAGCCAATTCTATTACTTGAAGCTTAGTCATTCTTAATTTGTACGTAATTCCTGTTTATTCTGTTTATTACTGATCTATGGATACTGATGTTGCATTAAGTTGAATAAAGCCTCCCAGTGTTTACCTTCGTTTTCATAAAAAGTGATATGTTTTGTGACCAAGTATTGGTAATAGTTCTCCGCGTTTTCCTCCTAATTTTGCCGGTTTTCATGTTTGTGTAATTTCTATAGAGCTCATCCACTGTTGGCACTATTTATGCAGATTTGAGTTTCAATAAGGTACATACATCTTAATTAAGTAACGACCTTTACCTTGGCACAGCGATTACAACAGAAACAGCTATCCTTGTGAATCCCCCAGAGACAGTCACTGGAGGTCAGGGGGTAACATTCACTGAGGTCACAGTCCCGACATTCCTGGCACCTCATGCTGGAACACAATACATCAAGTCAACCCAGAGCTGTATCTCATGGTTAGTGATGGAATGAAACACTGACTACTGAATATAAAACGAAAACTGCATATACAGTACTGTACAATTTATTTGATTGTGCAGTGACTCACACAAGGTTGAGGCTAAACAATTTTTTTATGACGTTAAGTGTTAAAACTAATGACAATTAGTTATACTTCAAGATTGGTGCTGAAATAAAGTACACATAAAATTTTAGATGAAAAAATGCTACAGTATAATATAAATAAAACAGGTTTTACAATGAGTTTAATGTATAAATTAATGAGACACGAGGTTTGTACTAATGTATAAAATAATTAAGTCACTAAAAGAATTTCTACGGAATCTTAAGGTATTTACGAAAAATTATCAGAGTTCATATGTTGAAAAAAATGAAGCAAGACACAAATCGCTTTGATGCTTCAATATTCAAAAACCTTGAGAAAACAGGAAATGACCCCGGGCCCGTCACACAGTTCTGTATAAGCGTGAAAATGTTTAACATGAATATACTAGGAAGATTATCTACTTTAAGACCTTAGCTGCTGCAGTATTGATATTCTTTATATAAAAAAATATAATTCTAACTAAAATCGGCGAGAACACTGTGATTATGTCGTGAATGTCATTTTACAACTCTCTCTTGTTTAAATACAAGGCTAGTGCTTGGTTCCTGGCTGCTAAAGCACCTTGATATTAAAGGTGCCGACTGCTGAGACAAACTGAGAATCAACATTCTTACTTCATCGGCGAGACATAGTGAACATTCTTGCCTCAAAGGCGAAACATAACGAGGGATTAATCTTACCTATGGTGAGAGAGTGAGGGAAAATTCTTGCCTTATTAGGGAGGCTGAGAGAACATTCTTATCTCATTATTGAGTGACCATTTTAACCTCAATGGTGAGTGAGAAAATATTCTTCCCTCAATGGAAACGGTGTAGTATAATTCTTACCTGGCCAGGAGGACGAAAGAGAGACAAAATGCCAGTACGCGTGCACACGTCATCTTACCACTGAGGTCACCACAACACTACCATACCAGGCGCCCAGCCCCAAGCTCCTCTTGCCTCTTGGATCCTGGGTCTCCCCCCCAACTTCACCCGGCTCGGCTTGTCACCTTCCAGACCCAGGGATACCTAGTAGGAAAAAGCGGGAGTTGTTGGGCTGGAGGATTACCAGTCTGGGAATGAAATAATGATTAAGTTTTTTGGTGTCCTCGTCGGGGAAGGCTCATTGATCATTGTCATTTGTGTATTAACAATGGCTGATGACTCATCCAATAATAAAAAAATATGGAAATATTAAAGACTTTAGTTAGTGAAAAATATCTTTAGAAATCCTGTCTTTTGTTATATTACTGTATTTTACAGAACTTCTTCACCGTAAGATCTATTCTTGTGGAATACATTTCAAATTGGTTAATTTTAGTAAGATTCATTTAGACATAATTTGATTCTGGGAGCTTTTATTGTGGGTCACAGTACGTACTGTACTGTACATGCGTGAGCGGTGGGAGGGGGGATGGGGGGCCGCAAGGATAGAAGTGCATTCATGTGGCATCAGCACAACGAGTCACTCTGGAGTCAGGTTTCGTTTACCTTGGCCCAGAACTTTCAGGTAAACCCCAGCCCCAGGCGGTACTAGCACGGTGTCCCCCTCCCCATCTCCTATAGGAAGTCAGTCCTACGCATACCTCAACCCGCCCGACTTTCTTGCTCATCTTTCCCGTGCCCCTGATACAAAGTAAGGTCTCAGCAGAACACAGCATGGATACTGTACCTATATTGTGCCAATGCCATCAACAGAGATGACCACCAGAAAATTAAACCAATCAGGGGCCGAAGAGGATAACATAATTACTATCAAGCTCAGATAAGTCAACTAATACGAAAATCTACCAAACGACTATTACTGAAAGTAACAAAGATTATCATTATCTCTGTAACATAGGTGCGTGCACACAATCAAAAATACATTAAAAATTTTGTGTAAACAAAAATTATGACAAACGGATGAAGGATTTTGACAACCCCAGGAGTGATCACGGTGTTCATTTTGAAATTTATTGGATCCCTCTGTCAAGATTCTACATTTGTGTTCCTTGCCGTTTTGTGCTTGTAAATGTACTGTGTATGCTCAGGGGAGTGTTGCCGTGTTTATGGTCTCAGGTAAAGGTTCATAGTGGTTGGTGTTTTTGTTTGTTGGAATGTGTTTTTATTCACTAGTGACTGTGTTTGTTGGAAAATGTTTTTGTTCACTACAGACAGTTTTCGTTCGCTATAAAATGTTTGTGTTGGCTGGACAATTTTCTTCTGAGCGTGACATAAACAAACCGATGGTGGCGTTGAGATAGTTGTGTAGAGGACGACAGTAACATTTACCGCGGTCACTGAACATGGAGGAGGAGAGCCAGCTGAGCCCCTTCGTGTACTGGGCTCAAACGGAGTCAAATGTAACGTTAAGAATTGAGCTGAGGAATGTACAGGTCAGTGAGTCGTCCCCGATAACCTCTAATCTCTATGCCTCTTAACGTTAACACCACCCATTAATTCTGTGACCTGTGTGGTAGATTTGGGGAAATTAAAAAGACAATCATATTTGTACTTTGCTAGTGAATTGAGTACAGTACTTACCAATCTTTAAATACAAAAATATAAAACTTTTTAGGATTTTCTGTGGTTACACAAATGTGAAATTGCTGGTGTAAGGTGAAGATTGCGAGAGAAACCATAGAAGAAAAGTGTCTTATAATTATCTAAACTATTGATTGCAACCATAAAATTCTTCTGTTAAGGGGTCCAGGGGGCATTAGCAACGTACAGTAATACTTTGGCTTAACTATATAAGGTGGGGGGTCCGGCCGGTTAGGAAGTTAGATAAGGTTAGGTTAGGTCTGTGCATTGTCATATAGATTTTCTTGTTTAGTACCAAGCAAATAACATCTATAAAAATTTCAGTACAATTCCATAAGTTCCTTCTGGGGATAACCATTTTCTCCACGTTTACTGTTAATGTGACTGGTTGTAGCAAAAATTAATATATGATCCTAAGTTATTGTGGTGTAGACAGATGGCAAGGGCCAAGATATATATTTTTAATGTGTGTAAGCGAGTATTTCATTGTAGAGAAGTCACAAGTGCCACCCCAATGTAAATGAGGAAATGGCATTTGTGGTGATAATAATAATGATATTATAATACCGTAGTGTATGATCTTTCTCTTTTTACAGTCTCCTAGTGTAGATCTTCAGGAGCAGAATTTAATTTTCTCAGCAGTCGGTCAAGGTGCTCAGGGAGAAAAAAAGTATGGATTCAACCTCAAACTCTTAAAATCAATTGATACAGAGGTACAGCATACATGTATTTTTTACTGTTTTATTTATTTATCATTTATGGAAATAAGCTGTAGTGCTCTGTTTATATTTTCATCGATTCTACATAGCATATTTTTTATACTTTATATTGTACTGTAGTCATCTTCTCAACCACAAATATTTTTATTTACAGAAGAGTAGATTCAGAGTACTGGACCGTAATGTCGAGTTTAGTCTAACCAAAGCTCAAGTTGAATTTTGGCCACGACTCCTAGAAGACACTAAAAAACCTGCCTGGCTTAAGGTAAGGATATACTCTTGACTGAGGGTGAGTTTGTAATAGGTACAGTATCTCCAATAGTAGGAAAAGGAGAAAGGAGGAAAACTGACAGTGAAGTGGGAAGATGAAATACATTACTATACTGTATATATAGGCTGGATGATGTTAACACTGGAGTGTTCGGTATTATTCAAAGATGGTAAGAGAGTTTCTTGGGTATAGATACACAGACTAGACAAAACTCTTATTTTCAGTCTAATATTCTGTTAATTTTGTGTTCACATAAGGACTGAAAGATAAGATCATACAGGAGGGGGGGGGGGGGATTGAGCCTAGAACAGTTGGAAAAACAAAAAGTCTTTGATTTGTGAAAAGTTTTGATAAATTTTACAATTTCGTTTATGTAACTAAGCTGTAGATTGGCTGTAACATTAAATGGATATGTGTTTATACAGTATTTAAGTACTGTACTGTAATGTGTATTTTGGACTCATTTGATTAATTTCTACAAATACATTAATGTGCAAGTATTGCCAGACTTTGATGACTTTTGGAGTTTCCTTATAAAAGAGAATCAGAGTCAAAGAGCAGCTACTGTAAAAACTAATTCCATAATTGAAGTAACAGATGACAATTCACAGTAAAAAAAAAAAGGCTCAGGATTATTAAATACGATCTTGGCACCATTTTTCTCATATTCCCCCCATCATATGCAGTTTGCTCTGTATATACCACCTCAAACTTTGTACAATACAGTACAAACTTTTGACCTGTTTTGTATGTGGAATTCAAAGAAATCATTCTATGGACTGTTTAGACTTGTATCATCTCTCATGGCAGCAATATAACATTTCTAAATGGCACTTCATTTTACCCTGTTGCATAAGCAAGCAGAGTTTCCGCTCCAATATCTTGTGGGTGAACAATGCATTTTGATCATATGTACCCAAAAACCCTACTGCAATAGCTGAATACCTGTACCATTAAAAAAAAAAACATCTAGTTATTTAATTTTTTTTATTAGATTGATTTTGATAAATGGACACATGAAGAGGATTTATCAGATGAGGCACGAGACATTACAGATGACTACCCTGGATTGTATGAGAAGATGCAAGCAGAGGCTCTGGGATGGCCCACAAAGAGTAAGTTTATGATTCCAGCTTTCTACTTTCTGATAAAAAAGCTATAAATGTTGGAGTTATATAAAAAAAAAATGCCAAATTAACTTACTAAACAAAGTGTGGATTATGAACGGTAGTTATAAATCATTCAAACAACATGGAACTCTTTATTTACTCGGTTCTACTGGACAAGATCAGAGTTAATAGCTTTTTATAGTTACTTGTTGCTTTTGTTCTATCCTAGTTTAATGTGAAATAAAGTACTGTATAGGAGATAAATGGATGGATGGATAGATAGATAGATCAATTGATAAACAAATAGAAAATCTACTACGTTCACAAAGTATATTAATGTACAGTGCTCTCTTTTGCCATCATTAATTTGAACATTCATCAGCTGCAGATTTAGGGATGTGCATCTTACAGTTTTCAAAGTTTAAGAATTTATAAAAGATCTATTATACTGAATAACACAAATTTATGGTCACTGCCGCTGTACCAGCTTAGTTAAAATTTCTGATTCCTAGTTGATACGTACTATGATACACGTAGAGGGAAAATGTAGCAGCACCCTATAAATTCTTAATCATTCATACTTAACTATGATATTCTCAGTCAAATTCCTTAATTACCTTATCATATATCTTACATAAAGAGACATAGTACAGTACTGTACACCACTTATATTAATAAATTGAAATTACTCAACTGAGACATGGATATAGATCCTGCACTGTTAATTAAAGCAAAATAGAATAATAAGAAACAGTTTGGTGTACAATATATTATGTGGTCATTTCCTAGTGATGAAGCTTAGAATTTTTTTTGTTACATAACAAAACAACCTCTCCTCCACTGCATAATTTATGGAAATGTTGGAGTCCTAATGGTTTCTAAACAATTTTCAAAATGTGTTAAAACAGCATAATTTTGGCTGTCCATGAGAGTGGGTAACTTTGAAATGCAGCTACCAAAATGTTAGTTAGTGTATGTAAAAGTGTCTCTTTGTAATATTATAGACTTTTATAGCATTAATGACATTTTATATTTATTTATTAACTTTTTATAGGAGAGAGTATGAAGAAAGTGTACCTGTTCCTGTACAACCTCTGGCAACTTGTTGGCTTCATATATGTTACTTCTGTAATGATCACTCGCTACCTTAAGGATGGATCTGGTGAGTTTATGCAAGATTTTACCTTAAATTTCCCTGTTCCCACAGTATTAATAACTTGGCCATAGTGAACCACTAATGGCAAATAGAGGTTCCTTGTTAGAGTTTGTCCATCTGCTGCACACAATTTACTTGAGAATGGTGGATAGTTGATAAACAGAGGCAAGATATATGTACTGTAGTTATAAAAATCTTGAGCTTTGTGTAAGATACAAACTTTGCCCCTTCCACCTCTCAAGCTTACACAAGAACACATCATACCAACTGAGTTTGATTGGCAGAGACATTTACCCAGGAGAAGGGAAGTACTATCTGCAAGAGTAAACTGTTATTCAGAAGAATTTTGAAGGAAACTTTACTTTTTTTCTTTTTTAATTACCGGTATGTAGTGTATATTTTGGTTGATAGTTCTTTCAGGTTAAGACTCAACAGATAGAAGATATCAACTGATACAGTATTAGTAGACATGTTAAAAGCCCCAGATTGGTTGTACCACATTGATTTGGTTTTTTATGTGATTATGAGTAAAATAATAAATGTTTACCATTCAGGAGTAATATTCGATGTAAGTTATATAGTAGTTAATTTATTCTAATGTTTAAAAAAAAAATATATATATATATATATATATACAGGACAGTATATTCTGTGCATCCTATTTTTGCATTGCCAAAGATTTCTTTCACATACAACTCCACCTCATAGTACAATACAGTTCTATAAAAGCTAACACTAATTTTTAATTAAATTTACATCTTTCCTAAAAAAGAATTTCATGCAGCAATTCCAGGTGCTCCACAGTAATAAAAACTAACCGTATGAAAACAGCTGATATTGGATATTTTTTTCTTTTAGCTCTAGTTCAAATTATTATATGAAATTTCTTCTTTGGGTGCACTTGCTTAGTACGTAGAGTTGCGGAAACGTGTTCCTACACCCCATGTTTCCAAATTGCCAACCTATATGACCTATAGTATCCCTACTCACCAATCACATCTGTCATTACACGACCAATACCCATTCATTCATAGTAATACTGTACTACTACTGCGACGTTGCCGTTTGTAGACACGGGTTACCACGGGGGGTGTAGGAACACATTTCCGCAGCTGTACCATATATGCAACTAAAGTGATATGTTAATACTGAACTGTAACTTTAATTATATTAAATTAAAATCTTATAGAACCATGTTTTCTTTACTTATATTTATCAAGACTTGTTGTGTACTTGTAAATAAAAATTTCGTGCATTTGCAGACTCTATGGCAGGAACATATGAGGCAGTTGGATGGATGATGCATCTTTGCTTACTAACACAGTTCATTGAGGTGCTTCATCCACTGATTGGATACACAAAAGGATCAGTTTTTGAGGCTGTAATTCAGGTAAGAATTTTCACAAAACAAAATTAGTTTCTCTTACATCTTTATATTATTCTTTGTAAAATGGCAAATAACTGACCATTCCTGCCTTACCACTACACAAGGGTAAGCCTATGTCGTAGGCATTGGTAATCCAACAGCATTACCTCTCTTGTAACATTGTTTGGTTTATTATTTTTAACTGTTATAGGGTATGATCAGAAACACAATATTCATCAATGAACCTAGTAAGTATTGTATACAGTATTGTACACTGTTTTAAAGTACAGTACAAGAGACCCTCATTAGAAAATGAGGTTCTTGTTGTTTGGATCAATGTGGATAAGTCTCTCTCATTATTTAAGCCTTTTCTAGAGTGTTGTCCACATCATAGTCTTCCTTATTAGCATACAAGGGAAATTTATTTTCACAATGCAAACTTTACCTATGTTTATGATCTAATTTGAATTCAAGTGGCCACTTGTGGGAAGCAGATGAGCGGTGTCAAGGAGTAATTGGATTTCACCAAGTGATCCAATTTGTCTTGGCAATTTTGATTTTCTGGCCGTGGGATCAGGTATAGAGTTTGGAGAAAATGTTCTTATGTGAAGTGCAACAGTCTGCAAGTTTCTTTTTTTATGATTGGAGGAGGCTTAGAAAAATTTCAGCTTTGGGAGTTAATAGATCTTCACAAAATATTAAATTTTTGGAGGATTGCGCACAAACAAGGGAGAGGAGACAATGGGGGCGGGTGGGGTTAACTCATAATGTTCTCCCAATGGCTCATGAGCTAACCACTATCTGCTTGGCACAAAGTCGAAACCGCAAATTGTAATGTTAGTAGATTATTTCATAAAATATTATGTAACAAAACATCTCCCCTTTCCATTGATCTTTCAAGTATTTTAACCGTTTCTTTCAGATTGGTGGACGAGGCATTATTTTCTTTTGCTTGATTGAAGGAGAGAAGAGGATGCAAACAAAGCCTGTCATCTTCTATCTCTTCCTTGTGTGGTCACTCATAGAGCTAGTGAGGTAAATTGTCTTTTGTGTCTTACTCTTTAAGTAGTGGAAACAAAACCTGCATTTGCACAACCTTTAAATTGAGCATTTAAATGTTTTCATTACTTTCCACATATTCGGTGGTCATTTGGGAGTGATTGTGACCATTGACGGATTAATTACACTGATATACAGGTAGAAATTTTGTCTTTTATAAACATATTTCATCTCCCTGCAGTATCAAAGCATAAGTGAAATCTTTGTTATATTTCAGATACCCATACTACATGCTGAGAGTTTATGATGTGGAACTGAGTTTTATCACTTGGCTTCGGTACACTATTTGGATTCCACTCTACCCACTTGGCTTCATTTGTGAAGGCGTTGTTATTCTTAGGTGAGTTTTAATTAAGGTTTATACTTTAACAGGTTGAAGCTTTGGACTGCTGATATTTTAGGAAGTAGATTTTCTTTAAGGCTACAGTTAATGTATGGCTGGGTTCATTTTTAAGTCCATGATCAAAACTAATGACAAGACAATAATTCTGGAGTCAACTGATGTGGAGTTGCTGGAGCTATTACATGCTCATCCTCTTATACAACATGCTCTTTTGCCAACATTATTAACTCTTCATCACTGAGTTCCTCTCCATGTGACTCTAGTAACTTAACATCATCAGCTTTTTTACTTCCTCAAAGCTTATCTTATGCTGAATGGTTTTCAGTCACATTGAGGAAATCCTATTTAGTCATGCACACATTCATAGTTGACTGTTTCTGTTCAGCCCTGGAAAAAGCAATGTTGTTAACAGTATTCATTATTATGTCTGCCAGTATTCCTTGATTATTGGTTTCCCCTCCCCGTATGGCACTAGCTAGTAGGACATGGCAAAATGTTCTTCTAAGGTAGAATGCCTTTAAGTTGACTACTGTTTGATCCATGGGATGCAGCAAGAAAGTTGTGTTCTTGTGCCCGTGCTCAGCCCTCACATGCGGACACAAATCACTTAAAATAACTGGATGGTTTGGAGCATTACAGTTTCTAAAATAACAAGTCCTTGTTGTTGAGGTTGTTGCAATAATATTCTTTGATATCAGGACAAAAATAATTAGAAACCAATCCTGACCTGAAAATTACTTAATATTATCCATGTTTTCTTATTGGTAGACTAGCCTTGGCAAAGTCCTTCACAGACTTAGGGTTCAGGGAATGATACACTAATAAGCATCAGGTGATCTCTTGTAGCTTTAAAGCCAGGCACAGACTTATCTTCCTTGGAAATTAGTGTTGTTGCAAGCATATGCTTCCAGAAGAGACCAGTCTCATCAAAATTAAACACCTGCTTCAATTGAGCAGGATTTTCTTTTACAGTAACAGTTTAATTTCTTAAACCATGGTGTCAAATCTTCCTTTTGAAAATTTACATTAGGTATAATAAATATTTTATTTTTACCAGGGACATTCCATACTTTGACGAGACAGGAAAGTTTTCTGTGGCTCTACCAAACAAATTGAACTTTGCTTTCCACTTCCCGACTCTCCTCAGATGTTATCTACTGTGTTTCTTCTTCCCAGGTATGTTATTGGCCATTTGTTCCACTTAATGAATGAAATGATGGTTTTCATTTAACAATTATCTATATTGTACCAGAAAACTCATTTTCTGCATACTAATGTAATTGTTCAATATTCTTAACAAATTTGTTTTGTCCTTTATTATTCTTACTGTAACCTATTTATGAATTCTTAATTTCACTGGTGTCACTAGACAAGATTGTTATTTTTTCTTTGGTTTTTCTCTTTTTTTTTGTTCCCCCAGCCCTCTTGTACATTTGAAAACAAATAGTTTTTAGTCATTGATGCCACAAACAAAATCTATAACTTTTTATTCATACTCCCTAATAAAAAACTTGATCCATAAATCCCCTTTCTTTCCTTAACCCATAGAGCTCTCCCAATATACCGCTTTTTGGTAACTTTTCAGTAGTGACACTACCATACACTTTTCCGAGTGTGCTTAACAGACTTAATCCTTTTTAATATTTGCATTAATTCTAACAGGGAACTACGTATTATTACTCATTTCCATTCCTTTGGAATTACTTGGCACTTTTTTTTTTAATCCTTCCAGAAAATAGCCAGTTTTGGGAGTGTTCCAGACACCAGATAAACATCCCATACCTGTGTGTTATAATGTAAGCTACCAGTCAGTATATGACAATTTGCTTAAGTACATGGTTTTAATGTAAAATAAAAAAATTTTTCCTCAGCAATGTACAAGATGATGAATCATATGTACCAAATGCGGTTAAAGAAATTAGGTCCTGTGAGTTGGAAGAAGAAGTTCGAGTAAATTGGGAAGCCCAGTGCAAGTTTTTTTTCCTACTACTGAAGAATGTTACGTAAGTTTCTACTGAGTTTTAGAGAAGGAAAGTTGACTAACCGATAATAAATTCCTGTACATCTGAATGCATAGCTTGAATTTTTTTAATATTTCATAAGGGATTCTGTAACATTTAGTGAGAACTTCATATCAGTGAGAGCATTTTTCATGTTATGCAAGATGTTATTAAGTATTAACTTAGAATTTCTTTAATTGTGAGTATTCTTGGGTGTGTATAGGAATCTATTGAGGATGTTTGTCTAAGTTTATTGATAATTAATGGTTGGCAAGAGAAAGGCTTAGAGTAATCTACTGTAATTCCAATGACCAAGAGCAGGTGATACAGGAGAGATTGTAAATGGTTACTGAATAGGAAAACTGGTGCCATTTCAAGAGAACCTAGTCATTTCACAATATGTATTTCTTGTTTTTGTTTTTAAATATTTATAGTGTATTTAGAAATTGATTATCACATAAATGTTTTTGTATTATTATTGTATAATAACAGACTTGATTGTTAATAGAGCATACCCACATTTAGTCTTTACCTTGTCATGTTTCTGGTCTATTTAAAGAAGTTAGATGAGTACATACACATATCCTCACATATTTGCAAACTCCATATTCATGAAAAATTATTAGTGACCCGCTCTCACTCCACCCAGTACATGGACACAGGAAGGGAGAGTGCACAATATTTTGGGTACTATACATTGCCTCACAGAGTATCTAGGACACCATGATTAATATTCAGCACCCCAGGTAAAATTTGGTTCCAACTGTACACCCAGATATTTTGAGGTCAGTAGTAATTACTTTTTACCATACAAAATTGCCTGGATCTGTTCCTGGAATACCATATTCTGCATATGGCTCATTATTTGAATAAGTGTTCATAGAAGTTAGCAATTTAACCAAACTTTATATATTTTCCAAAGTAAAATATGACCATTAAATGTAAATCTTAAATGTTTTAAATTTTATTCTTTGGTGCTAAAAGATATAATACCCTCAGAGTTTAAATGACAATTAATTTTCGTATAAATACTAGAGAAAATACACTAACAAACATTTATTTAAGCCTATAGCCTTATGCCATCGTCCATCAAGGTGGTGAATATGGAAAATATTTGTTTGCATATTCCATAAAGACATGATATAAATGTGGTTAGTATGAATATTATTTAGATTTTTTTTAATACGTACCCATTTCAACTTCACACAATTAATGTACAGGTACTGTATACCTTTTCATTTTGACATCCAATTTTAATTCCGTAAGTTAATCCTGAATGCCCGAGTGATAATCTCGTCTTGTTTTGAAATGAATCGGCTACTTGTGCAATTAACCAGGCCGTTCACATATATTTATTATTTGGGTTTAAGTAACAAAACCCAAACGGTAGTTCCTTGTTTTATTATAAAAGGATTGTATATATATAATTCCTGAGTGTAGATCGACCATAAGTTCCACTGTATAGGAGTGAATGAGAAAGGGACGGCGTTTATGTATTATAAACGTTAGGTCACGTCCTTACGATATAACTTTCTGTGAGCGACTACTCGAGTAAGGGCCTCGCTGTGCGGGCTTACAGATATGCTGACGATGGGTCTCTACCCTCCTGGGAGAGTTGCCCTCTCACGTGTACAACTCATGTCTTACTCATAGACAGTGGAAAGTTACAGGGGGTGAATCTGAATATAATATCAGATGTATTGACCCATTTATATAATATGTTCTGTTGATGAGACAGGGGCCCATTACAGAAATATACGTACTATTATCCTAACTACGTATAGGATTTTTTCTTAAAATATTCTTAAGAAAACCTGCTATAGCATTTATGAATTAATTTATGTTACTATTTCATAAAATTGCATTGCACTTCGAAAAATTAAAACAAAATATAAAGTGAATCTTGTAGTTGACAGACACCATTTTCTGATTGAAAGTTTCTGGAAATCGTGACATAATTCATTTGGGCGATTGTACAATACAACTGGGAAATGAAGAAGAGTGGTCATCTGCCTGTGTGCACAGTATTTACCCACCTTTCCATGACTTAGTACAGGTAGTAGTTTTTTATACAGTACAGTATCTTATGGAAGAAGTAGTGCTTGGGGAAAGAGCTGCATTTTCTTTTATGGTAACACCATTTACAACTGTCCCTTTCTTACAAATTTGTTATTTGTCCTGGTTACTTACTTCACCTTGACACTTCCATGAACCATGTCCTCACTTGAATGAATGGTATATATACGTATACTCAACTCATTAACTTTATACTCCCGGCCTACACCCAACATACTGTACTTAGCTCTTCTAAAATCACTCTCTTCTCAGCTAGTGCCATAACCTGACTTGCTCTCTCCTTTACATTACCACCCGGAGAGTCTAAATGTGGTGACACGTAAAGATTAACCATGGAATAAAGTTACCCGTTTATCTGAGAGAAACCATGAATGCTCCCTCATCTTGCCTCTCGTCTCTAAAGAAATTTATAGAGAAGTAACTTTGTACTTCAGATTGTTGCTTATATCGGAAGTAGGAAAGAATTTATATATTTTTGTCAGCAAATATATCTCGACCTCTGTCTCATATACAAATTATAACTACTGATGTCAGGCTCCCACTATATCTGAATGGCCCCATTCTTACATTTCAGTCATTTAATTAATCATGCATGTTTAGCAAGTATTTTTCTAAGTAATTTAAAATGTTACAATGTTACTCCTCACAAGACAACATACATTATCGACTTAATGGGCAGATACAGTAATGTTAATGAAAATTTTTAGTTTGGATTAATACCATATTGTACCCCCCCCCCCATTTTTATCCTATTAAAATATAACTCAATTTGAATTTTCTCTGTTGATCCTAGATATTTATATAAAGCTTCTGACAGAGTTTGGCATAAACCTCCTCTTGGCAAACTCCTTTCCTCTTGACGTGGTTGATCTTTTATGGTTCTTGTTTGTAATGAACGGTAGTGTCTGTGCAGTAATATACTGTACCGTACTGTTTACTGTACTCATCAAGTGAACAAAAGTTAACGACCCAGGCAAGCACTGATATTGACAGTTGTCACAAATCAAACTATCAGTGAAATTCATCTGTTTGCAACTATTGCCATTAAGACGGGGAGATTTATAACCGGCAATCACCATTCAAGGAAGGAAGCTATGAGTTGTGGTGCCACAGAATGGATGCTCAACCTTGCCTTTCATTGTCTGTCATCAGCCATATTGGATTTATAGGATCATACCTCAAGTCTGGATGTTTCCCCAGTTTATGAAGGTCATCATCGTCTTGATAGCTCTGTTTATGTACCCAAAACAAAGTACTGTACAATAGTGCATTCCCCTCATAATCTTAGCACATGGAATACTATGGCTGTACTGTACCACATGTTCTTATAGTTTATTCACTCGAAGCTTGCAACCAAGTCCTAGGGTCAGTTTGTAGCAAGGCAGCTGATTGGTTAGCAGAGGGACACCCGAAGAATCAATACAGTTTTTTGTATTTAATGTACTGTATCGTTCCTGGCACTTACAACGCCAGCACTGGCTGCCTCACCAGTCAGATGAAGACTGTGGAGATTGGTGCAGTTCTTGAACTGCTGAAACTAACCACAACTTGCCTTGAAAGAGGAAGAGGCCTCACTGCTATTGCTGTTACTGCTTTCTGCCTTCAGCTTCGTCCAAATATTGGTGACCTTCGCCATAATGATCCCTGTGGGAGGAGGCAAGCGGCATCAAGTCTGGTTTTGAATCCAGTCTTGGAGTAGACTCACGTTTCTTAAATACCCTAGAAACGGAGAGTGGATTCACATTCGGTGCCGCAGCCTTCACTTCCAATGCCTTCTTAATGATGGTAGACACTGTTGACTGGACCAGGCCAAGAGCAATTTAGCATGCTCCTTCACTTCTCTCATGCCATTTCACAATGTCGAGCTTCACCTCCAGAGATACAGTGTTCCTGGGTGCCTTGGCCTTCCCAGACACAGGATCCTGAGTAAAACACTTGCTTGACATTTTCAAAGTTACACTGCTCACTTTACTGTCACAGTCAATGCAAAAACACTTCACAGTCACTGAAGCAGAGAAAACACCTCACAGTCACTAAAACTGAGAACAGTACATGTACTGTATCTGTATAGTACACTAAAACTTTGTAATTTCCTGTAACTGCAAAGGGAAAAATGCTAAAAAAAATAATGATACCGGTTGCCGCTGCTCACTTCGTGTTTGGAGCAACAGAGGCAAAGCACTTTGTAGTCACAAAAAAAAAACATAGCAAAAATAACTTCAGTCACCAAAGCAGAGTACAATATGAATTTTAGTGGTGTTTTCTCACTGTATAAAAAAGGTAGATGCTAAATAACAACACGAATGATGACCAATAGATATAGAACTCTATTTCTTACTCGCATGTAACCAAGAAGAAACAATGGCTGGACTTAGTTCACCAGATGGTCACGAGGCAGCGTTCAGGTAGTTGAGAAATGAAGTGAGTGATCTATTCCATATTCCGAGTTGGCAAGTTGGCGGGATGATGAAAATTGTTACCGTGGGCTTTTTTACATGGCAAATAGGGGAGTGGTCTTAATATACCAGCATCTTTAACGCGAATTGTCGTAGATGGGGACATCGTAAATAGAGGTTTGCCTGTACTACATACAGGCAGACTGTGATTTATGAGAGTTGTTTCTGAAAACATTTTGTAAGTTGAAGCATATTTTTCACGGACTTCCATTGTTAATAATGGGAGATACGACTCTTTTGAAATTTTTTTTACTCAAACTAAGCTAAAGGTCACATCCATGTCGGTCATCGCTTGAATCGAGTAGATAAAACATTTATTAAACTTCCTGCTGCAGTCATCACTATTATCACCAGCAATTTCAGGAGTTTTATTACTAAAGTACAGTAGTCCTGTTAGTCGGGGTTCAAGTGTAGTGCATTTTTTCCATGTCCATCGCTCCCTCCTTTCTACAAGAGGTATGCATGGCTTCTACACCAGTGAGGTAAACACTACCATAAATGAACAAAATCATCCCATCTTGATATCTAAATATTGTAATCAAAATTAGTTAAGATAAATCCACAATACTCTATGTGAAGGTTTCATGTTTAGTTTTTCTGAACAACGTGACACAAATTCTTAAGAAATGTTGCTGCACACATGAAACGTCTAGACTGCACTGTGTACTGGCCAGGCTCAGTATGGGAAGCTTTCCAGATGCATATGTCAGCATCTTACAATGATATGGAAAAAAAATTAAACCAGGTTTTCCATTCATAAAATAAAGCACAGACTAAAACAAAAGGTATTTTTGAAAATTTGTAAACCACATTTGTAAATCTGGGTCTGCCTGTGCTTATATTCTGTGACTGACACCTAGGTAACTACTGTACTACACATTCTACAGTAACTGTGCATTTTTTTCACTCGTGCAGTAAGAAAATTTTGCTTCACCTGTTATATTCCCTTTGTGGTTTCTTCACCTTCAGTGTCATTCACCTCCTCTAACTCTTCATCTTTGGATGGTTCAGTCTCATAATAGCATGTAAGAAAAACCTTTGCTGCCTCCCCTATCAAGAATTTATCTGGTATATCTGCTGCTGTACCATACACCTTCCCCTGTGGACAAGATATTATGTATTCAAACACAAAGGTACTGTAATATGTTTTTCATTAAACAGGTAACTTAAATGGAATATCATTTTAGTAAGATTTTACTATCCTATGCTATGCAACAAACTAAGGATTAATCATATGAATGCCCACCCATCCCAGTTACTGAAACTCTCCCTTAAAAAACAGATTGGAAGTGAAAGTCAACATTAAAAACAGGAGGTCTATTAAAGCAATGCCTACTTAACATGTACAGTTGCAGACAAAATTCCCAGAACACTTGGCAATATCTGGCATCTACTTTTGGGTCATTATATGATGGGTTTATACTGTATTTAATAACACTGCTTTTTATCACGTTATGTTGGAACCTCAAAATGGAAAAAATAGTCTTACACAAAGAAAAATCTAAGAATATATGTTAACATTCCAAAAGCCTTCACCTAATGATCCTCAGATACTGTCAAGTGTCCAGGTAATTTTGTCCACAACTGTATAAACCATTTAGTTTCCTGCCAACTACCTGCTACCCTAATGGAGGGTATCAGAGCTGCCTGGCTATGGGCTTAAGTAATAAAATGGATTTCACGATTAATCCTCCACTTCTAACCTAACTCCCTACACAAGGTGGCTCTCATGACTGCAGCCAGCTAAGAAATGGGAGGTGGTGGTTCAGTACTGTACTATAAGTCCAAGTGCAACATGCACCCCGTCAGGTAATTTTGACTAACCCACGCACACAAGCATGGAAAATGGTGGTGGCAGTGATGACAAATACCCCAATGCCAAAACTCACAATTCATATGATGACCAAGCACCTCTTGTTTCATTAAGAAACTGGTACCTCTTAACCCCTTCACTACAGGGATGTCAGTTTAAATGTTTTATTTGGCCCAGGCAATTTTATTCAGCAGAGAGTGGACCCCATACAAAAATGGTTAACAAGTGTATCTTCAGAAATAAAACACTAATCTCACAAACTGTACTCATATACAAAAATTGTATGATACTTACAAGACCAGTACTGTCTCCTGGGTGGACTCCCACTTCCGTGATAGCTTTTTTCACATCAGTCACAAAACGCTCGGCAAAGTCATCAGAATTTTGTAAGGACGTCAAACATATATGTAGTCTGAATTGAAACAATAAAAATGAATCAGATCAGACAAATGTACTGTATGTACAAGTTGAAGAAAATTATCTATAAGAATTACAGTACCAGTAAAACACATTAGTTTATACATTTTATTAGTTAATCAAGATAGTATGGAAGGTTATTATGCCATGGATCCACAACTTGATACATGAATGACTACTGTATTTTATTATGACGATGAAGAGTTAATGTTTTGGATTATGGGGGCCAAGTACATGTCTCCCATTTTCTTTCATGTACATTCACACAGTAATCCAGTAACTCACCCAGAAGGATACTGGATAAAAGTGAGGTGCCACCCATGCTGACCCAAAATGTCTCCCACTTTAAAAATGTCTGCATTTGTGCTGGTGAAGGCCACAATGGATGTCAGAGGATCCCCAAACAACTGGATCTCAGGAATCAACTTCAGCCTGTGTAGGGACAAAGAACACTTACTTGTAAACTCATAATTCACTGTTCCTGCATTGATATTTTGTTTTGAAGAGATGAAGGCTTGTTAGATCAAGATATGGCTATTCAGTAGAAAGGTAACCATATGGGTCAAAAGTTATGTTGATAAATACTTGTCCTAATGACTGAAAATCTTTAATCGTTTTGCTACACTAATTACAAAACCTGGAACATTTTGATCTTGATTTTGGGCATTTTTCTGTTACTGGTAGTGTACATTACAGTAGTATTATAAATGTATTAAAGTAGTTGAACTTGTAAATTCCAATTAAAAGAGAAAAAAAATTACCAAAGAAAACAATAAGACTCACTGCTTCTTGATGTGCCTAGCAGTAGTGATGATCTTGCGGGTTGTCTCAGTGTAGCCATCAACCCCATGGTAAACTAGTGCTGCCCAGCACACTGCCACCAACCCTGGGTATTACTGCCATTAGTATATTTTTATCTTATATATTATTAACCTACCTTTTATATTAGTGCTATTGACTTATGTTTTATGTAACTGCTGATGGTTTACAATTATTGGTAAATAATTGTAAATTATTTTAATATCCAGTATTACATGGCCAAAATGTAGATACTGTTGATTTATGCCACCAACCCTGTATAAGCCACTGAAAGGGCTAAAGGTTGGCCTACATGAAACCCTAAGGTTTAATCCTGGAAAACCAAGCTAATGCACAGGCATCTTTTAAAACAGTTAAATATTTTATCAGCCTTGTCTTCATCCCAAAAATATAGCAAATTGAAGACATACCCGTAGGCAAAATAATTAATTAATGCTTTACCATCCTTGAGTTAGATTACCTCGAACACAGGAAAGTGGGTATTGATCTATCGCCCACCTGTCCTCTCTCACACACTCCCTTCTCCCTCCCTTTACCTGCCTTCCCTCACTTGCCTCTATCTCTTCTCCAATGCTGTATTTAACTTTCTCTTCCCTCTACCTCTTCCTCACCTTTCAATTCCTCTCACCAACACCTAACTCTCCCCTCCCCCCCACTTGCCTTCCTAAATCCCTCTTACCACCCTAACACTCTCCCCTTACCACCCCATCTCCCCCTCCCTAAATCCCTCTCACCACCACATCTCACCCTTCACCACCCCCCCCCTACTCTCTCACCTCCCTAGGGAAAGCTCCTTAATTAGTGCACCAAAACTTTTTTCACTGATTAGTCTTCTTTATTGATTTCATCCATCCCTCTCTACACTGTCAGTCCCTCCCCCGTCACTACAATGTCAGTCCCTACCCTGTCATTACCTCTCCTGTCACTACACTGTCAATCCCTCCCATCACTACACTGTCAGTCCCTCTCCCTGTAACTACACTGTCAGTATCTTCCCTATCACTACAGTTTGTTTACCATATTTTCTACACTCAGTATACCTCACTCCTACACTCTCAATATACTCCACTACATTACCTCCTGCACGTGACCCCGGTATAGTGGGGGAGGCGTAGATACCACCAGGCCAATCAGGTACCACGAAGTACTGGTAGTGTCGGTACTTCTCACTCCGGTACATGATAACGCTGGAGCCCTTGGGTGCATTCCCATACTGGAGGAATGAGATGAGATTTAGTCTGATGAGTCACAGGGTTTATTCAGAAATAGTATTACAAATATGGCAATACCTCTAAATTGTTTTGCATAAGTATTTCATCAATGGGTGCGTGTCTCATCACCTTGTGTGTGTCAGCGGAAATACTGGTAACTCCCGGAACACGGAAGTCAAAAGGAGGAAGAGGATAGCCAGCACCCTCCATGAAGGGGAGGATGAAGCCGCCCATACAACAATCAACATGGACAGGTACATCGTATTGCTGGCCTAGAGCACCTATCTTCTCCACATCATCAATGATACCATGAGGGAATTCTGGGGCAGATGCTACTAGCTGAAGCAACCAAATGAAAAATATTTTGTAATTTTCAAAACTTCACACATGAAAGATGGCAGAATCATGGAACCTATTAACTGAAATAAAATTACTTATACTCCATGTGTTTTCAACTTCCATTACAAAATACAGTACAAGAATAGAACAACATAATTACAACTGACAATATTCTAAGTACAGTACATAGCATTTTCATACTATGAATGGTTTGACTGCTGATAATTTGATGCTTCCAAACATGATGTGGGATACTAAATACTGAAAATCACCACTTAAACCATCACTATTTGGAGCAGCCATTTGGTAAATTTGGTAATTAGTATTATTAACTCCAATTTTCTATCTCATACGACCACTAGTAGCACCACCACTTCTCATCTCTTATATTGCACAGCCATTTTCTGAAACTCTGGACTCTGTAACCACTCCAGGCGATCCATTATCTAGAGACAACTTACCATGACAGTGTTGCTGGTGATGGCCTGTCGCATTGCTGCTATATTGACCTTACAAGTATTATGGTCCATGGGTACCTAAGGGAGAGAGATCACCTCATAAAAACCTGAACTTCAAACACTCTGTTGTTACAATTACAGTCATATTCTTGTAAACATAAAATACAGTACTTCACACTTATTGTTTCCAGTAATTTGTGATATACCCTGTAATTATGAAGGCTTATTTCTTTTATAGTAGTCCTAACTTCATCCAGAAGACAGAATCTTCAACCATCAGGCAAACAATGTGCCCAATTGTTGCTACACTTGAAGGATATGTGGGGAAGGACACAGGACCTACCTTCCTGATCTTTATTCCTAGCAAGGAGGCAGACTTGTCAAAAGCTGCATGGACTGTCACACAAGCAACTATCTCCGGTTTCTCCACGCCCTTTACCTCCCGGCTCCAGTCTCTCATTGCCTTCATTGCCATCAAGATACTCTCAGATCCACCACTTGTTATCTGTAACGTACAGAAACTGAGAAGGAGTTTTGGAAAGGATGCAAATTTGACTTAGACGAGGGAGTATTGTGACTAGGAGAAGGGTTAGTGAGACCGATGTTGAAAAAGCAGTTGGTGTGTATTGTGATAAGGGAAAGACTAACCTATTAGAGGAAGTATACTGTATCCTGGCTCCTGGGAGAGGAGGTAGTGTGGCCTGGGGTAGGAGAATATTTGTCTTCTTGGAGAGATGGTGTTTCCTGAAATATTGATTATTGTGTGTTCTAAGAGCTGCATATTCTGAAAAATCCGAATTTAATGGGGAGGGAGGGATAAATGTCCACATAGGAAGGGGGGAGGTAAATCCTAATTGATGGATGTCATTTTATGACACGTGAACTTAATACAAGGATCTAAAGAGTGATTAGAAGAAGTCTCCCAGGGTGATGTGAAGAACCAGAGGAACTCTGGGCAAGAGTTACTGGGAGGTGGCAGGGACCAGCAGCGCTTCAGGTAAACTTTAGGGCCACACAGATATAAAGATCCAAGAAAAAACAAGGAAGGTGATGAATAAGAGTACAGTGCAGTACATAGTTATAAGGCTATGGAAAAGTTATTCTGAAATATTATCCAACAGGTCTTCTAAAGTTTGATAACCACACTAAAATCCATAAGTTGGGACTTTATTCCAATAAATGTGTTCAATTGTTGAAAATCTAAATTCTATATTGTAGTCATTGAATAGGGGAACACAGTAGAGGTACTGTATGTAGTGTACAATGAAAGACAAAAGTCGTGTCGTGAAATTTGGTGAAAAAAATATGCCGAAGGGCACATAAATACGGTAATATCAAACATAATTGTTTAAGGCCACATGACATTATTCACAAATCTAATCAACTGCAGCAGAGAAAACTCAAAACATAAATCCCAAATGACAAGACCTTGAATCTGGACAACTCACACATCCACACTGCTCATCAGTTCCATGGAAGAGAGAGATGGTCATCCTGACAATCTCTGCCTCCATCTTCCTCACACCAGGGAAGATGTCAGCATGAAGTGGGTTACTGAAGGCAAAGAGGCCATATATCTTCTCTAGGAGGTTAGTGAACATGTCGTCTGAGCCTGAGAAAGCCCCACCAGAGATCTTTCCATCCCGCCACTCATACTTGCCTGGAATAGAAAGCAGAGTTTAATGCTGAATGGAATATCCACACCTAAACAGAAGGCTGTATTAAGCAACAAATTGGTGTTTTCAGGCAACTGGGCATCTGAGGTGACTGGGTAATTGAATCTCTACTCAAAGCTGGGGGTCTTAGAACTAACAACCCTTCAGACAAGGCACAATAGGGTAGATCTCATTAAAACATTAAAAATCTTGAAAGGGATGGAAAACATAAACCCGGGCCATTTCTATGTGATGCCAAGCACCACCAACACGAGGAAACATAACTACAAGCTCGCCAAGTTATCATGGAGAACAAACCAGGAAATATTTAGTCACATAGATGGTGGTAGACCTATGGTATGGTGTACCAGCCCAGTATTGGGCTTCAAAATAACTTTTGACAATATTATTAAGAACAATAGAGGAATCCTACACAGGCCACTGGCCTCCTTCCTTTGGCATGGCCACCTCTAATAGATGGCCTTTAGGTAAATAAGGTAATAGATGAGACCAATTGGGTCTAGAGGTGTATGAACCTAAATATGGAGGGGATGAGAGCCAGGTATAGCCCAAGAAAGACACGGAGAGGTTGTAAGAAATGACATTAGAGTTAAGAACCTGACAAGAGAGACTACAAGAGACCATGCAGCAAGGGTTCGCTACAATTACCTGATGGAGAGCTCCTGTCGGATAAACCACACAAGAGTTGTAAATGGCTATAAAACGGTGATGCTGATGAGTTACAATCAATGGGAACAAGTGGTTAATAATGCAAACAGAAAAAGAGATACAGGACATACAGAACCATAAAACCATTACCAGAAATACAAATACCTGTAAAGATTTGGAGAAACAGGACTGGAGTGATAATTTCAGTATGGTGACAGTATCAAATTGGTGCCTTAACAGATAAAGAAAAGTTTATTTGGAAGTGTCAGTATAAGTAGAGATTTAGGTCTTAAGTACAGAAACAGCAATCCAGGAAACAGGTGTGTGAGAGGCCAGAAATCACTGACCTTCTCTGAGTATGTTGCTGGCCTCCTGCAGTACTTGCTCCCTGGTCCAGCCAGTGGGTGGCAGTGTCTTCAGTGGTGGCTGGACACTGAGCAATCCATTGTCCTCAAACATGCTTTTCTCTAGATCTATGACAGTAATTAAATAATTATTAGCACATATTTACCATACTTTATCAACAAGTCACAGAACACTAAACATCATTCTACCAGCCATAAAAGGTCCTTAAACTTTTTTTTTCAAACAAAAAATAATATGATCACACATTGTACTCTACCACTGCACCTGTTACACAAGGTAGGACAAAACATTGTTCTCTTGGCAGCAAAATTCACCACAAATCAACTTTTTCAAGACAAAAGGATTGTTATGCTAACTGTGGGCAAGATTCACCACTTAGGCCTACATGATAAATAAATCAATACAATAAATTATAAAATTAAAAGAAAGATTATATAACCCTACTTTATTAATAAGTGAAATAAATAAAACTAAAAAGGTATAGTTTCATGCATTTTTTTAATATTTTTCTTTTGGGGATGTGCACCTTGCCTTCAGATTTGTGTTTCACATCTGTTGATATATATCTCACCTCTGTGGGTGTGTCTCACCTCGGTGGTTATGTCTCACGTCTGTGGTCGTGTCTCACCTCTGTGGTCGTGTCTTGCCTCAGTGGTTGTGTCTCACCTCGGTGGTCGTGTCTCACCTCTGTGGTCGTGTCTCACCTCTGTGGGTGTGTCTTACCTCAGTGGTTGTGTCTCACCTCGGTGGTCGTGTCTCACCTCTGTGGTCGTGTCTCACCTCTGTGGGTGTGTCTTACCTCAGTGGTTGTGTCTCACCTCGGTGGTCGTGTCTCACCTCTGTGGTCGTGTCTCACCTCTGTGGTCGTGTCTCACCTTTACGGGAGTTATCAAGGGACTCTGCTATCCTCCGCTTGACGGCCGGGATGGAGCGACCCGTCCTGAACACCCAGTTCTTGATGCTCTCATACACGTCTACAAAATCAAAGGCAGTTAGTCAATATTCCATAAAATGCTTCCTACTCTATAATATGTTGACATGGCACACGAAGGGGCTTATCCTAGGTACGGCAAGTGTTGATCAGGCAAAATATTAGAATTAAAATCATAGCATTTAAGTTCAATGTGAGCTCCATTGCTGCATGCTATAGTAGCACCACACTATCTAATGCCTACTAAATTCAATGTTCTCACATTTTATTCCTTACTCTCTTCCTTAACAGACACTTTTACTTCTGTATCCGTCACACAAATCATGTATTTTTATCTTAAATCTTTTAGTATAAGATTTCAAGCTCAGTCAACACCATGAATATTCGTCACGGCTCCCTGTGGTTGTGGTGGCAGTCAGGTAAATTAGGTAAATAGATAATGTCATTTACACAAGGGAGTCATTGTGGCAAAACGTTGTGTTGAAAGCACAAAAATATTTGGTATAGTATAGGTTACATATTAAGGTGACCCAGTGGGGGATCCAGGAATATCAAAAGGGGGGAGGTTCAAAAACTTGTGGGTAAGGGTAACGTGGCGAGCACAGCAAGCCTGCAGTGGATACTCTCCCCTACAACTGCCGATTTGTCACTCGCCGTCCGCTTACCAACCAACCAGCGGCGAGCTCCATAGACCGGGCCTCGCTTTCGGATTGCAAGGTGATTGGCCAGTTACCGCCTTCACCTCAGCCAATCAGCAGCGCCGCTCACTTCACATCTCTGGACCTGATCCGGCAGAATCGTATAAATACCCCCAGCCTCGCAGTGAAGGTCATTCTACTCAACGCTCTCAAACAGAGAAGACCTCTCAACAAGCTCCTAGCCACACAGCAACTCCCTAGCACTGCATTGATTTTGATTTTGCCGCTGACAGCGGCTACTTTATTGTGCACCCCACACTCATCCTGTGAGTGGTAGCGCAAAAGGATTACAGAGTAGAGTTTACAAAGGGTCATAATAATTAACTGCATTGTATATATATATATATATATATATATATATATATATATATATATATATATATATATATATATATATATATATATATATATATATATATTGTGAGTTTCCTTTCTCACCTCCATCCTTTGTGCGAGATCTCCTACATGTATGTATGTATGTGTGTGAGCCTAACAAAGAGAAATTTGACAACTGGCCACATACTGTACACTATGCTACAAGCCCACCCAGCTGGAGGGAGGGAGGGACACTGTAAGCCCCCCACCCCAGAAATCTTATGAAATCTGACCAATATCATGGGCATTTTGAGCCATTTTGAAGTACTTGTGTACTTGGTATTAGGAGATATTGTGAGGTCAATGGTAATTACTTTTTACCATACAAAAATGCCCGAGTACAATACTACATTAAAGAAAAAGCATTGGAATTTGTTTTAGAAAAGGAGGGGGTCCGAACCCCTAGTACCCCCCCCTGGCGAAGGTGGTGGGAGCGTTTACGGCAGAGACGGAGTGTTACCATGTGTGTGAGCGTGACATGTGGTAATGACAGCGTGAGAACCATAAACGTCTACTTACCTTCCCTGTTGCTGACGAGATCCTTAGCTGCGAGGGTGGTCAGTGTGATGGCAGCTGTGGCGGCCACGATCTGCCATTTCTGGTACCCATGCACCTGTCTCTCCACCTCCTCCTCTACCCCTGCAACACAACAATTTCTCGATCTCCATTGCTGCAACACAACACTAACCTAACCACTAAACCTTAGCTTATGATCTCGTAATATTTTTCGTTAGGTAAGGTTAGGGTAAGTCAGGTAAGTTACGGTAAGTCAGGTTTGATTGGCACATTTCAACTGTCATCATAAATGGTATAGTTTTGTTTAAAATTCATGCTGGGGTCATTGAATAGAGTACCTTTCGTCAAGATGAGCACTTCCAGGGGCTCATTTTGAGTCTATTAGTCACCTGGTGGTAGGAATTATGAGCACCTGTGAGTAATTTGGCACATCGTGGGGATTTATGAGAACGTGTGAGAGGCTAAGACAGATCCCAACATTTTAAGCAGCAAGGCAGGTTAGGTATACGACGAAGTAATGGAAATGATGCAAATCTACCCATAATGATTTCTAACCGAATAAATGTATGTCTATCTAATTTAATCATCGATCAACCAGTCTAGAGATGTGATTTGAATAAAACTTAACCTTCCCCCAATAATTTAAAAGTTGGAGCATCTGAAAAGAAAAGATCAAGCCACAGTTGAGAGAGAAAAAAGACGCATGAATCACTAAGAATACTGACTTAGGATACCAGTACATGTGAAGTGCGTTTGAGAAAACTTATCAGTCGTAAACACATAATAAGGAACTCTTTAATAAAAGCCTCCAGATAAGGTTGTGTTTTGAGTCTTGACAAAGCAATCCGTACTCCTTACACCTCACCTTTCTACTGGCTGCCTGTGTATACAAACGTACGTGCTAAAATATGATTAGTTGTATTCAAATATATGCCATTAAAGTGTGTATTAAAAAAAATTATAATAGGCACAAAACGTACTGTACTTCCTAAACATTCTGGGATGAATTCGCACAAGTCCTTACGTTATATTTCACGTCAATTCAGCAAAATATGGCTCATTTAAGCAATATAAAGATGGCAGGCGATTTACCCAGTGACGACTCTGAATAAATGTGATCTGCATGGCCCATGATGTAAAAGAAACTTTAACGTCCACATCTTTGAGAATCGGAATCGTGGAAAAGTGCTGGCATGTAACTAACATGGCCTAACCCATCCTAACCTACCTTTACCTAAACATCCACTCCAAACTTAAGCCAAAAAACAAACTGAGCTTAAACAAGTAGGTAAACACACCATGAACCATAAATATGAAGAGGCATGTCAGGACAAAATTACATGCACTTAAAAGGCACACTAGGTCGGCTTCGACATACAAATAAATACAAGTCACATTATACAGGTGTGCGTTTGTGAGCGTACAGGAAACTGATATGGGTATACAAAGTAACAGAGGTAGATCATTTCTCACGCATCTACCTGTATATCTTAGAAAACAACTCTATCCTACCTCTAACACCAATAAAATATATAATCAAAAGGCAACTCCTGTTAGGAGTTCAAGCTTCGATCCCACTTTAACACCGACTATTTTTGGAACTTCCGCCACTGAACCTGAAGGATGGTGACAGTACAGAGGGCCACCTACACAGTAAGGTCCGGTGTAGCTGTTCCATACTCAACACTGAGTACGTGTGATTAGCAGGGAACTCTTGAGCGTGAGGAGTTGAGCACGAGAGATTCAGCAGTGGGCCCGGAGGGGTATGCACACTACGGTGGATGCCCACCTACTGAGTACTGTACTGACTCCGCCTTCTACTACAGTACATAAGACTATCGCTTCATGCCTGTCCCTCACTGATAAGACCATTCCCACAATTAGCAGGTTCTGTACTGCCAGTGTGCTGGTTCTGGGACGGGAGTTGTCCCTAGTTCCGTTACCAGGTACTGGGTCGAAGTTAGGAGATACGACCATCGAATTATTGAGTGTTATTGTTCTTTGTTGGACAAAAGTGCAATCACCTTTCTTGTCCGTATTCTGGGCTCAAGTGGTTAGCTTATAATACTGAAGATTCCATTACTAGTACACCACAGAAATGTGGGTGCACGATTGTCAAGTTTATGATGATAGAAGGAATACATCATGAAAGCGTAACCACCACGTGACGACGGAGGCATCGTAATAAGGTTCTCGCCAGGTGTGCTGGGCTCACACCGGAGCTAATGAGACAATATAGGCCGCACTCAGAGTGCGGAAGGTTGGCGAGTATTCCCAAGAGAGAAAGTTAGTCACCTGACTTCTGAACCCTGGTCTCGTGGATGGAGCTGACTTGACCCAAGGTCATCCCTACACGAAAACAGCTACGATGACAATCTACAACTTGCCATGGTCTTGAATAGTTCTCCCCCTGCACTTTCTAAGACAATTCTTACCAATTGTGAAACATTCAAGACAACCAGGCATTTCTACATGATTTCGATTCCCAAAGAGTCCTAGCCACCGTGGGACGAAATCCCCAGTGGTAGTTGAGTCGGGCAGACCATCGGATTCAGATTTCAGATTCGCCTCACGCATACACTCTCTGCGCCGGTCACTTTCCCAGGAGCCAACAGGGTGCTCACCAGCACCTCAGCCCCCTTGCGGAGCAAATCTGAACTTTAGCACTACTACTGATTCTGAGGGAGAGGCTCCACTTACCACTAAAAAAAAAAAGGCCCCAGGTAGCGTTCCTGTTTCCCATCCTGTGGGCCCAGATTCAAACCCCACAGTTGAGGTCAATAATAATGTGTATATACAAGCATTACATTAAACCTCCAATCAAAAATTGCAACCGCGCTGTGTGGATAAAGGCGGATGAGACCGTTAGACAAGAAATAACTTAAGGAATTGAACACAAACCGAGATACTATTTACATGATACTGATCACAAAAATGGAAGCGAGAATGCACAGAACCTATTAGTTGACCTAACCTAACCTCAGGTACTAACGGTCTCCTCCACCTTTATCGTTATTTCTTTAGTCTTTACATTTTTAATACTCTTAGATACTTCTGACTTCGTTTCAAAATACCCACAACAAATGCTTAACATGGTGACAATATGTAAAACTACTGTACATCGAAAATAGATGCCTCATCAAGATTTGAGTATAACTGTATTATGCCTATTCCCACCATTATCAGACCATACCGGCACTATGATTACTTACCCACCAAAACGTGTGGTATGAACTGACGACACAGCACCGCACACACGTCAACACAAACACAAGCATTGACATATAACTAAAATAAATAGAGAGAAGTTAGAGAACAATAGAAACAAAACAATGGTTAATTGTACCAGAACAGACATTTACTCGTCTAATACTGACATAAAATATAACATCAGCTTTCGTTACAGCCTGACCTTCCATCTGGTGTATGTACGCGACGCTATTCCGTCAATGCAGGTCGACCCGTGGAGTTTTGCGGTTGATATTGATAATTAGTATTTCGATGCATATATTAGGTATTGTCATTACTGTTACATATAAGATTGAGTATAAGTAATATAGCTTTGATTTCGTACTGTTAAGATTGGGTACGTTACGTATAAATTACCTCGTATGATTTATTACGTTTAGATTGTTACATTATTTTTTATTTTCGTTAATTAAGATTATATTAATTTAACCTTGTTTTTCTTACGAAGGTTGCGTTCCATTGGGTACCACACTCCCACCACAGTTAGTACACGTCACTCCAGTAATCATTGAGGTACAGTGCCACATCATCACTTTAAAAGCAAACCTTGCATTGTGTTTGCTGACGCCTCTATCACCACTCATCAACACTATTGCTCGCCTTGCTGTGAATAAAGTGTTCTAGGAATGCACAATGATTAAATAGTGTAAATAAGGTTATATGATTACCATCTTTGAGGCATGTGTCATAAAAATTACACGATTTTTAAATGCGTTTAGTCAGTCCAATACCGTCTTCCCTGCGCTGTCTGATGGATGTTTATCGCGCTTGAACACAGCCACAAACCAGCACTTGGTAATTAATCATAACTAACTTTTGATTGCTCAAAGTTTATAGACTGGAGCTTCCCTTTAAGGCAAAAAGGCCTTTTCAAATTAACATTGAAAAATAATGCTCATATTCTAATATCTTCATAAAAAAAAATATTAAAAATAACTATTACTTCCCTCCTGATGTTTTTACTGCGCCAGATAAGATTGTGGCGAGTAATCTTGTTAAGAGGTAAAGTTCCAGTCTGTGCTATCACGTTTATCTTAACTAACAACACTGACCCCACCTGCATTATTTTTTTCCAAGGATGATCATAATTCGGTCCAGCAATTGGCTGTTTGTGAGTCACCTGAAATATTTTCCTTCCCCCAAACCCAACCAAACCCTACTTTATCAGTCTGATCAATTGGGAAATTTTGATATATCTCTCATGTACCGTAATTACTTACAGTCAATCACAACGCGCGTAATATAATCGGCTATCCTAGGAAAAACAATGACGTGACCCGCCCAGGGAATAACGGCATCTGATAGGCCATCAAGTGTTACCCTTGTGTGATTAGTCCCCAGACACTATACTCTTCAGAAGACTTTGTGGATATATAAATTACTGGGTGTTCACAGGGGTGTTAACTAAGTCCCCTAAGGAAATTACACAACCAAAACATTCGCATCTACTCCATCACGTTCCGCACGTAACTGCTCTCTTTAACATGCAACATGTCCACCTTGATATAAAAGTTTCAGGAGAAAACATAAGACACACACCACCACCCTTGTAGTAAACGTTCCCTACCATTCACTTGTATAGATACCAATGTTTTGAATGTCTCTGTAAACACATAAACACCAAGGGACTTTGTAAACATTCTATACAGTAGTAGAAGAGTACAGTAGAGAGGTGGGCGTGAAGTGTTGACGTTGTCGACATGATAAGTGATACAGGTGGTCGCTCACCCCAGTCAGCTAGTATCTTATCTCTCATAATTTGATGGATCTTTTTATGAAAGTTTCACTCACTGGGTAAGTTAACACTGGACTAACCAAGTGCTTTATGTAACCTACTCATTTTCGTGTCGCTCCGTGAAGTAACCGTCGCCGTATCTTACTCTGGGTTGTATTCTTAGAAGTTCGTGTGAAAATAATACGGAGATAACCATGGGCACCAGTAGATAACCATGGGCACCAGTAAATAATCATGGACATCAGTAGATAACCATGGGCACTAGTAGATAACCATGGGCACTAGTAGATAACCATGGGTATTACTATGAAGATGAACAGGTACTACTAGAGACCAACAGGTACTACTAGAAACCAACAGGTACTACTAGAGACCAGCGAGTATTACTAGAAACCAACAGATACTACTAGAGACCAGCGAGTATTACTAGAAACCAACAGGTACTACTAGAGACCAGCGAGTATTACTAGAAACCAACAGGTACTACTAGAGAGCAGTGAGTATTGCTAGAAACCAACAGGTACTACTAGAGACCAGCGAGTATTACTAGAAACCAACAGGTACTACTAGAGACCAGCGAGTATTACTAGAAACCAACAGGTACTACTAGAGACCAACAGGCACTACTAGAGACCAACAGGCACTACTAGAAACCAACAGGTACTACTAGAGACCAACAGGCACTACTAGAAACCAACAGGTACTACTAGAGAGCAGTGAGTATTGCTAGAGATCAACAAGTACTAATACAGACCTACTAGAGAGCGCGAGATTCGGCAGGTCAATGAACTTCTCACACACACAGGGTTCGAATTCTCAAAGCATCTAACGTGAAAATATTCGCCTTTCACTATCGTCCCCTTTGTATGATTCGGGTCTCCGTTGTATTATCTTTTTCCAATTTTCTGTGCTCTATCTTCATTCCTAGTTGGAGTTAATGCTAAGAAATTTAACATATACAAACTTTAAGAGAATACAGACTACGATTTGTGTATGTAGCTGGAACCGACTGAGCTACTTATTTTTTTTTATCGCCTTTTTTTGCCGGGTTACGCTACGAGTTTTGCCAAGATGCGTGTCACCTTCTGCTACTGTCTGCCATCACCCGTCAACTGTCTGCCATCGTAACCCACAGCTTCCTCCTGTCTGCCGCCACCTCCTAATTATATTACACTACCACCGCCGGCTGTCATTACGTGGCGCTCTGTCAACACCTGCCAATGTCTGCCACCATAATACCATCATCGCCTATACTACCACTTGCCACCACCTGTTCCATCTATCACCATCTGGGACTGCCGGATACCACCATATACCATTGCCTCATACCACTTCCTTATACCTTCACATCATATTAGAGTGCCTTGGCTCTATCATTCCTATATATTTTGACAAACCTTGACACAAATTTAAATGTAGATAATTGTTAGCAAATTTATAAGTTAAAGTAGTAGGTAGATTTAGAATTTGTGCTACAGCATTTTGTTTGGGGAATTTGAAATCACCATAATGACAATAAAAGCTTTGCATATTGTCGGCGATTCGTTCTTGTTATATGTCTCTTAAATAATAAACAACAATATGAAAATTACAGAATAGCCTCTTCACACACACACACACTCGCTCGGTGATTCGATTAACAACATGCAAATGGTGCGGCGTGCAAGAGACATCAACCTGTAGAAGGCCCCAATTTCCGGTCCGTAATACAGGGAGGTCAAGACGCCGTAGCGGTCCTTGCGCCAGTCTAGTCACCCCGCCGACGACACACCCACCGATTCAGCCTAATATACTGTACCTGTATATGAGAGATGTCATCGCTACGTCCTACGATGTTTAATTCCTAACACATTAATTCAGAAAAAAAGAAGTAAAGGCGTACTGATAAAACAAGCCTGCAGGTATCGAATCAACAGTAGAAATTTCGAAATACTAGTACACAAATACAGATACTGTATTCTACAAAATCACTGTACATTATTACCTCATGTCATTGTGTACATAGAAAGTAAAGGCAAACATTAATTTCAGTTTTAGCTACATAGTTTGGTGGTACATTATTACTCCCGTGACTGAGTGGGAATTTACGAAATATCATAGCAGGCATTAACATCTCTGAAGGAATTTGGTTGGATTGGGTAAGGCTGGTTTGGAATACGTTAGGTAAGGTTGTGTTCGGCTCTTTTCAAGCTGGATTTGATAAGTTTAGAGTGAAGTTAAGTTGGGTAATTTAGGCTATGTTACATTGGATATGCTTGGTTTGCTGTCCACAATGTCTCGTAGTTGGAGAGTGGTGGAGTTGTTACTACGTTTCCCTGCCCTGACGACAAATGTACAGTAAACCTTCACAGCCTAAGCCACACACCATCTGTGTCAGAAAGCGAAGCAGTAGCATTTCCTACATAGACCACGGGTTCAGGAATAATTCTGTTCTGTCTAGGACCATCAATGTTATTTGTGAGAAACAAACATCCACACACGTAGATGACCTGTGTGTTCACTTTCTACCAATCTTCCTTTTGTACTGTAACAGCTGAAATTCGTTATTAAATGACTCTCCCCACTTGTCATATATTATCAGCTTATGGCTACTGAATTTGTTAATAAACCGTAAATTATTATTATTAGTAGTAGTAGTTTAAAACTAAAACCAACCAATGTGGACACAAGCAAAAGTAAGTACTGTAATGCTTTGTTATTCGAGGAAGTAACTAATCTTAGCCAACCACTGCTGACATGTGACTGTGTACGATAAAGGGATGGCGAACGTAGCTTTTATTGTAATTAAACAATTTACATACAATATATTCTGTAAGTTTCACCTGTTGAACATAACTGAAGAGATTCAAACAGCTGTGGTAGGTTACGCACAACAGCAATTCATTTCTACAATGTAAAAATCAATCAGCGGTAACAGAGTTCAACGTACCAGCCACATATTTACTTAAATATAAAAGGCGGCTGACTATACACAGGGATTTTAAAAAGATGTAAACAAACATGCGCGACGCTGACTCGTTGTCTTTTCAGACTAACAGTGTTGTTCCAGGACTGGGGTCGACGACAACAAATTGTGGTCTCACACAAACACCATTCTGGAAAATGTTACCGTTTTCATGTTATACTGTACTAGTTTGAACTTTGATTCCTGAGTATTTTGCACTACTATAAAATCAACACATGAGCTGGTTTATGATCATAGTATACTGTACTCACTTCAA